CAATTCTGCTATTTTATGTTTACGCCAAGCCAGTGTCATGACACGCTATTGAGATGCCATGGAGTAGCCATTGGCATCGGTATAAATATCGGTAGTTGAAAATATATTACGTTTTTTGAGGAAATGATTTATTTGTTTTTATTATAATAAATTATTAAAAGAAATAAATAAATTAAAATAACAAAAAAAATTAAAAAATACTAAATAAATAAATTAAAATAACATAAATAGATGGCGATGGCGTAGTGGTTTAAGCGGTCGCCACGCCGCTTCCTACTACGCCGAGTGTTGTGGGTTCAAACCCCACATGGGACGACACTTTGTGTGATCCACAAATTGTTGTTCTGAGTCTGGGTGTTCTTTGTGTCCGTTTCATGTATGTTTGTAAAGTCCCCCGCGACACAGGATTTATTCCTAATGCGGGAGTTGTCTTTTTTTAACAAGACAAATTAACAAGACAAATTAAAAAATACTAAATAAATAAATTAAAATAAGTTATATAAAATATAAAAATTATAAAAAAAAGAAAGAAATAAATAATTAATTAAATAAATAAATTATTAAAAAAAATAAAATTATAAAAAAGGATAATTAATTCGAGGCCCAGTAGGTACTAAGAGAAGTTGATATGTTGGGAAGTTTCGGAAGCGCCAGCCAAGTGCCAAAAGAATGAAGATGATAGTCATTCATAACTACCATTAGTCATGCTGCATAAACATGTAGTATGGCTTAATTTATATTATAATAACTTTAAAGAACAAACACGTTCCAACGAAGCTATTATTATACTTATAAGTAATATAACAGCTAAAATTTTCTCACGAAATCGCAGAAAATGTAGAATAATAATATCTATAAAATACGCTACCGGACAATCTAGATGTTTCTGTTTCTTTATTTGTCAAATTTATTATTTGTAATTTGACGTATGCAGATAGATTCGGGATCCGTACAGGGATAAACATTGATTTAAATAATAACAAATCAACCTACTTGATTTGTTATTATTTAAATCAATGTTTATGATGATCTATTATGTATGAATGCTGATGTTACTCTATTTATTCGACAAATGATTTGCATTCTTTTAAAGAACTTCGTGGTTTATTTGATACCAAATCGTATATTAATTGTCTTGAAGATTAAAATATTAAATACCTAGGTACTGTTATAGTTAAATATACCTAGACGTTTCTTTACTTTGAACCAATGACATTACAAACTTTATTCTTCGAAGTGTGATTTTGTGCTGCTTTATAAATTACAACCTTCAATTATTATATAGATACACTACTTAGTTCCTATATATATATATATCTACAGGAAATTGAGGTAATGTGTAGTATTTTGTTACATTTGACATATCTGTCCTGCATGTTATGCATACTACTTAAATTTAAATTGCAAATAAACCAACACTATAACAAAAAACAGCATTCTTTAACGTACTTTGCAACTCCAACACAGTTTGGCGTTATCGCAATACTGCAAATATTTCCAGTACATACGAGTATAAGTGAGTGTTAGTGATGTCTTTGTAGTACTCGTATGCTGAGTTTATATAATCAATAAACTAAAGGAAAGCTCTAGAAAGCACCTCCTCGACTATTTTTGAGTCCTATTAATTATTAACCAGATCCATTGATTTTAACGTCGTAGCTGCCTGTGGTTCATCTACCTAAATTAAGAATCAGTTCACCAAATTACACACGCTATTATGAAATAATGATTATGGGTACTTTTAACCAGCTTTCACCGGCATCTTTAAAAGGAATTCAGTCTCATACTGCAGAGCCTTACTCCGTCCATGCTTAAACTTCGACTACTACTAATAATAATACAGGATCATTTGTCAGATATTTATAGTCTTGTATTTTTCTTATGAAATAGGGGCAAAGGAACAGACGGTAGATGGCCACCGGATGGTTATTGACCTGGAAGTCAAAAGTAACTACGTAGCCGACCTTTGAGTGCCTTTCCTCAAGAATCAGGGGTTGGGTTCCGGTTACCTTACTCAACCGGTGAAAAGCAACGGAAAAATTGCTTAACAAAGATCTTATGTGATCATCAGTATTATTCTGTATCATTCTGGTCGCCCCTACACAATTATGCCGAAGCTTGGCTCTCCCACGATAATGTGTTGATGTGTTGTAGACAGCACCGGGGAACCAGGTGTACCCTAGGAAGGAAATCCCTGGCACCCTGACGCACCCCGGCCATCTACGGCATGTAGATGACCCCCTCGTGACCCCTTTCTATAAACTAAAGGGCCTGCGACCTGCTTCTGCTAGGGTGACAGATGGCCTCACCCGTCCACTCCGGCGCCTTAGTCTTCTGCGGTGCCTGGCCCGTTCCCGGCCCTGGCGGACCGGAAGAGTTCTAAATCTCTCCCGGTCCCGCGCCGCCGTCTCCTTCGCAAGGCAGATTTGATAACGACAGAGTAAAACTACTAAAAGTAAGCGTCAAAATACTACTACATATTAATAATATTCATCGTCACGCCTGTAAAAACAGCTAATCCTTTGGTTTACTTGATACGTCGTGTAAAATAACATATTGATAAGTTTGAATTCAGTGATTAAGTACGCTACCACAGAGGAAATTGGCATTCCAATATACATCATTTCTTTGTATAGTGTTTGAACACAATTAAGGTCAAGCATTAACCCAATACGTATTGATCGTGCCACAACTCGTATCTCGTAAATCTGTTTGCCCACCTTCTAATGTAGGTGACCTGACTTTGATGCTGACGTCATACTGCTGTTATGTTGCCCTTTCCGCTCATGAACTCATAGCAGCCTCCACCTAGCTTTAACTTCGATAGTTAATGTGTATATATTGATTTGTTTTTTGCTCCAAAACAAGTAGCTCGCATTTAAGAGAATAACAATTTGAATATTGTCAAGAAACTCGTATAAATAGTTTTCCTTAAATGTACAGGAAGTTAGGGTTGCTGTTGTACTAACTAGACTCCTAGTTTTAGATTTAAAACTAATTGAGCCTTAACACTATAGTTCAGTCGACATGGAAATGAATTTTAGAAGTAGGGTATAGTCTATCGGAGTGGGAATTCTATCGGAGTGGGAGTTCTCTCGCTCGATAGCCTGATAGCGGCTATCGTGCGGAGCGAGAGTGCGTGGAACTCTGCCGTCTCCTTCTGCGAGCAACTTATGCTCGCGAAGGAGACGGCGGAGCGGGACCGGGAGAGGTTTAGGACTCTCCCGGCCCGCCAGGCCCGGGAACGGGCCAGGTACCGCAGGCGACTCAGGCGCCGGCGGTCGCAGAACGACCTCCGTCCTCCATAAGCGCAGGCCTGGGGGTGACAGGTGAGGCCATCTGTCACCCTAGCAGAAGCAGGCCGGGGTGGCGGCGAGCGCGTTGCGAAGCGAGCTCGCTTCCAGGGAGCAGAGGGAACACGGGGTTCCCACACGGGGGGGGTCGTCTACCTGTTGTTGTAGATGGCCCGAGGTATGTCGGGGCACCAGGGACTTCCTCATCGAGGTCGAGTCCGACATGCCACCGATAGGTGGTATCCGAGGGGAAATCCGCTCGGAAAAGAAAAGGGTACAGTCTGACAACATTAAAAGAAGAATACAAAATTAGTGCGTCTAAAAGAAATGTCGAAAGAAGAAAGAAACGTCTGGGTCTAGAAGCATGAAATTTTGCACAAATGTTCCCTAGGTAACGTACGTGTGCACTAAGTAAGGATTTTTAAAAATTCCACCCCTAAAGGTGAAAAATGGGGGTTGGAAATTCATATGAAACTTCTTTATTTTTGATATGATATAGTGATATGAGCTGATAGTGAGAGGCGTTGTACTTAAATGTAAGAAAATTATTAATAAAAATAAAATAATGAATCTTGTTAAATAATTTGGGAATAATTATTATTTTATATTTATTTGCCTAAAGAGCTGAGCTTCCTGAGGTCCGTTCTAATAGTATGTTTAAATTCTTACCTAAGTGATAAGTGCATACATATCATCGTCATCATAATAAAAATCATCGACTTGTGCAAAACATTTAATATTTGTTCAAAAATTTACTAGGAGAAAACCTGTAATTCCAGAGGCACATTCTGAATGTAAAAGGAGATAACACGATGTTTTTATCTTCTAAAATATATATTGAAGGTAACGTCACACTTGTCATCACGAACAGTACTCATGATTACATTGTTTATTAATAAAAAAAAAACAGTGTGTAAAAAAGGTGAATTAGACTGTTGACAGGCAAACAAAGTACTTATCATACGGTCACGGGGTCAACTAGACAGTTCATACTTAAATGACTCACTTATTATCAAACGGTACAAATGCCATTAGCATTATCACGATCTATGTTCGGTACTGATCAACGCCAGATGATTAGGTAGGTTTCCTTTCCTTAACAGCGATGATATTTTACCTAATGACCTGCAATAAACAAAATAACTTAATTCTCAAAAACATCCTCCAGCGTAACATCAATTATTTTGAAACTATTTTTAATATTGTGGAATTTTTAGTCAAAACAATTTCACAGCCGTAACTACATCTGTCAGGTACTTCAAAAAACTGAAATTTCGTAGGCGTACTACAGATATAACTACCACTAAAATAGCAATTCTAGATTGAACTAGGTATATAACGTAATAAATTAACCTTGAATAAAGTTAGGGCTGGTGAAGGTCACCCATCGTAATGCCTGGGTAAGCACATTTAAATCCGTACGACTTTTGTCCGAAATGTGATTCTACGCAAAAACAACCACACTACATTCAGTAAAATCTGGGTTTAAATTAAAAACGGTCTAAGTGCACTATACACCGTATCATAATATGTACTTAAACCTTTATTATGAGAATTTTATTTCAAAAGATATAGTATGACATCATCTCGAGTTACGTAGCCGAGCCAACACCGAAGCCGCCTAGTTCTCAGTTAGTGAAGAGCAGTGGAGGTGAACACTGCGTACTTTGGCTTCGAATAGTGTGAAGGAAACTAATATTATTAAACATGGCTAACATAATGGGTAAGTGAATGTTATAATATTAAACTTAATCATGCATTACGAACTACAAACAGAGCCATTTCAAATAATGCGTGTTTACTGTGCCGGTTAAAAGGTTTGAACACATCTTTTATTAGTTTTCGTTTTTTTTTACTCATATAAAGCTTAGATAGGCATTAATTTTTTGTTTTTCATTTGAAATGTAGTATGTAATCTTAATTTTGAGAAACGAAGGCCGTAAATACCAGCCGGCCGGCGGGCGCGCCCGACGCGGCGTCTCCTTGGCGCAAGGCCAATCTCGGGCGTGGTGATGCAGTACAGAAAATTTGGTAACTCAATCAATAGAAACATTCCAGATGATTCAAATTTATATTAGAAAAACATCTAAACCAATATATTTTGCAGAATTTGCAGACTAGTAACGCGCTAAAAATACCATTGTATGAAATATTTGCTTGATATTTACAGTCAAGTCTTTAATATCTGCATTATTAACCGGTTTCTTTACTTAATTATATTTGTTTGCGAACGTTATTTAAAAGATATAATCGTCGTAATGGATGAGATCATAGACAATTACGTGCCTGCTGAAGGTTACCATCTTGTTATTCCATGCGACGACGCGACATAGTTCCATGTTAGGTAGGTAACTGTTTTGCCTTATGCAATAAAGACGGTCAGAGGAAACTTCCGCAAGAATTCAAGACTGATTGGAATAATATGAGATGTAAAAACTATGATAAACATAATAATCGGCGGTGGTGAAAAGGTTAAAGGTGGGTCAGACATCGGAACGGGCGGGACGGGCTTTATCACGTAACCGTATCTGTCTCAAGCCTTATTACAAGTTGTATTGAAGACCAACATTGCCTTGATTAGTTTTAATGCTATATAGGTTTGATAGAAGGTCAGTTAAGTGTTCTTCGCACCAAGCAATTTTACTTGAACTATCTCAAAATGGAACTGGTGTACTTTAGTAATACACTAGATTTCAAGTTTTTCTTTTTCAAGGGCCACAGGGGGTGCCCTTTTTATCAAATACTAGCTGTACCCTGTCACACTTCGCTGTGGCACATTGTGCATGCATTGATGAGAAATGAGGAACGAAACTGAAGTGGGTAATCGTGTCAAAAAAGTTCAATCGGTGCAGAACTTTTTGAGTTTTTGAAGCGTAGGTACACAAATCAACTAAATTTTTTTATAAGTATATTGAGTATCATTTATAAAAAGGTATTGAAAAACTATATGTTTAAAAAAAACTCATAACGGTGAAATGAAAATATTTGCGATTTAATACAATTCTTGAAGATTCAACACACACAGTTCGGATTACGTGTTTAGCCAATGCAATTTTATACTATTTGCACAATATAGCATATTCATAGTGATATAAGAATAAATATTACATTTACGTAAAGTTGCCAAAGTTGTCTTGAACACTTTATTTAAAATATTACATTGGTAAAAGGATAGTGTTGAAATAATTGCTAAATAAAAGAGTATTTTTTGGTTAGAATGGATGAATGTAACTGATACATATTAGGCGATGGAGAATAATTTGTTGAGTGTACCATTATTCTTAAATCTTTACATAGTTTCTCGACATGTGTCCTGGTGTTATCTGTTCTCGAAATTTTGTTTTGGTATGTGTTCATTTATCATGTCAACAAAACGACAGCTTTAAAGCAACTAGCTCTGAAATCATTCAGAAAGCCCCAATAATATTTAAATATGGAAATGAAAGGTCATATTATTATTATTTATACCGAAGTTCTTGTTCTTCTGGAGAAGCAATGACGAAATATCATGTTTTGTTTATATTATAACACAAACAATGCTATCACTTCGTTACTTGTGTCACAGAGTATCAAGGTGCTCAAAAAATGAAACCGAATATAAACAAAAAAGTTATAAAATTTGATGAAACATGAATTAAACTAAATAGCAATTCAGCAATTTATTAAAATAGGAAAGTATAAATACCTATTTCGTTAAGTTAAGAGGACATAAAAAAAGTTAGATTTGTTATACAATAAAATACAAAATGTATGAAATATGGTTGTTTTACAAATTTATGTAAATTTGAGAATTTTTCTGATTATTGTCCGAATCCCTATTTAGAGCGTGACGGTTGCTTTAGTCGATCTACCAAGCAAGACTGACAGGTATAACTTTACTAACTAACGAGGTTTGAAAATGTGTGTGAGAGGTCAGATCGCCTTATCTATTTAATTGCTCTAATTGTTTCACATACCTACTTACTCGTATTGTGTGACAATAGCTAACTCTTCTTTGCATTCTTTAATCAAAAGCTTTATAAACTAGAGGTGCGAATGTTAGTTTTCGAACTTGTAACGAAACAGCTGTTCGGGTAGTGACGGATTAAGAATACGGAATGTCACTACCCCAATTCATCCCGTGGGTGTCGTAAGAGTCGACTAAGGGCGCAATACAACGCAGGACACCAGCACTGCGAAAAGAAGGCAAACTTGACACAAACGCTATACCAACCCGTCTGGCCAGCGTGGTATAGTAGGCCAAAACCTACTTTCTAAGGAGAGGCCTATGTCCAGCAGTGGACTATTCAAGACTGTTGATGATTGATGAATGAAACAGGAAATGTACACGTTAGGACGTAGAGTATGTTTATCGGGGTATGAAGCAATAAAAATAATATATATTTGAACATAGAAAATAGAAGATGATGCAGCTGGATCGAACAACACAGAGTCGAAAAATAGGCAAAAAAACAAACACAGAAAGCTATTAATAACTCACTTTATAAACACACGTAAATAAATTTGTTTTTGCCGCGAAACAGTCCCGTAACAACACCTAAGTAGGTATAGGATACAACCATCATGTACAATGTATTTTGATACGTAGATAATTTAGAAAAATGTCCTATTTGGAATTTGATAATCGGTTGCAAATGTATGCTGCTTTCGTTGTAACAACTAATTTGTTAGTTAAGTTATTGGCCGTGAGTTTTGTGTGAACGGCCGTGATCCACATCTGATTACAATATTATGTACAAAATGGCGCCAACCTGGCCAGCTAAAACATTGTTGTCTAGCTTCGTCATCTGTGTACTATGTCAATATTCCTACACCACGTACGTTTGTAGACGTAACAAATGAACCCACTAACTTTACGGAATAGTAGGCTTTTCTTTACGGCCAATTTCAGTTTTCCACATAATAAAAACAATATTGAGTGCTAGCGACCAAAACATTATTATGTATATGACACTGAATGACGCGAAAGCAAACTAAGCTAGCAGCGAGAATATAATTACCTATATCTATTAGCGCCGGTGCCACGAACAGTCATGAACAACGACTTTATTAAATCCTTTTCTTCATAACATCTACTTAGTATGCATAACAATTTATATGACGCAATAAATTTACAGTACGGCCAGTAGGTATGCCTTTAGGCTTTAAGTATTCACAATCGTAAGTAAGCCTATGCCAGCATACAAATTGATTTATTATGTAATACATGCAACGTAAATAACTAATGGGTTAAGTCGACCGTTAGAATTTTTACGGTTATTATTGATTTAGAATTTCAGACAATGCTTTTATCAACGTTAAAGCTGATTTACAACCATATTCCTTATGAATGTGGCTTCCTTCTACTCCGTATAAACACCACTTTGTACAATTGGATGACATCATCGGGCTGAACTACTTCCATAAACGCAAACAACATTGATTTACTGCGCAATCGCCAAGAATAAGTTTCTACTTTAATGATTTTAGGAAGACATTGACAGGGAACAATGAAAAGCTTTCAATGCCAACAGGGTCGAATTGATGGCCATGATAGGTACGATCACGCACTCTGTGGGTGTTAAGGTTTCGCTAACAAACGCGACACCTTGCCCGCATACAAAATACTTATGTTTAGACCTTATAGATACATATACATATAGTAATGCTAGGAGTCGCTTCTTAAATGCAACAGGCATCAACCACGTAACATTAGACTCGAAAACTAACAGTGTTTGTAGAATATAAATACGGAATCTAGATATGGGAACAAAACTGTAAATTGTCACAGTGAATAAGTGTAGCACATAATTGTATAAATAATGAATAAAAAGGTAACGGTTTAAAATCTTGTTTTAGATATTAACACCCAAGACAAACTGGAATACCACTTCTTTCCGGTGTCGAGCGGTTCCGTACAATTCAAAGTAAGGGCTGCAAATGACGCGCACATTGCGCTCACTATGGGACCTCAAGAAGCTGACCCTATTGTCGAAGTAAGCATTTCTATTCTTCTGTATATACTTCTTATATTTCTATTTTTATATTTACTTCAATGCTTTAATATTCTGGTTCTGAATTACAAAATATTAAGATAATTAAAACTAATTAGATACTTTAATAAATTACTAGATCTTCATTGGAGGTTGGGGCAACACAAAGAGTGTTATCAGGCGAAACAGAACTAAGCCAGAGAAAGTAGAAATCGAAACACCTCAAATTCTGAACGGTGGTGAATTCCGCGGCTTCTGGATCCGTTGGGACGGTGGTATCATTTCAGCCGGCCGAGAGGGAGAAGTAATTCCCTTCATCTCATGGTCTGACCCACAGCCCTTCCCAATCGCATTTGTAGGAGTGTGCACCGGCTGGGGTGCTACCGGCACCTGGAAAATTGAAGGTATAGTAACTAATACGAACTTGACTTATTAATTCATAAAATGTACCCAACGATACGCAATTACATACAAAATTATCGGCGCAGATGGTGTTGAATTCGATACTCCGGACAAGTTAGACTATAAATTTGGACCAGTTGCCGAAGGCTCCGTGAAATTTGATTTCCGCGGTCCACACAACTGTCACGTTTGTTTGACAAGCGCCCCCGCTGAGGTGGACCCAATCAATGAGATAATAATTGGTGGTTGGGAGAATACCCAGTCTGTTATTAGATACTGCAAACAGAAACCAGAAAAGGTAGTACCGTTTGACATCTTTACAATTGTTAATCAGTTCATTAGTTTCGATTTTTAAAACTATCTGTTGCCCGTAGGCAATCGTACCAACTCCAGGAATTGTGAATCCTAACGAGTTTAGGAGTTTTCTGATCCAATGGAGGTGCGGCAGGCTGTTGGTGCGCGATGGAAAATCTGGCACTGTGATCATGGAGTGGGTGGACCCTGCACCCTTCAATGTGACCCACTTCGGTATCCGCACAGCGTGGGGTGCTCAAGGGCAGTGGCGCATCCACCATTTCAGTACCGGCGGCCAAATACGTTGAGTTTTCTGAATATAAGGAATTAGCTTTAGTTGTAAATTGCTACATACAAAACTTATTTTAATGTCACGTGATTGATGTTGAAAAATTACTAATTGTTATGCATCGTGTACTTTACTAGACTGTCATCTTATTAGACTAACAATAAAATATACCTATGAAATTAGTAAAGAAAATTGCTAGCGTGTATAATGTACTTTTGTTATTTAGTTTTATGACGGTACTTCAAATCTTGGCGTCTGGATGGTTTTGAACTGATTGTGGTACGTGATGTTGGGTACATTTTATGTCTAAGTTTGTTTTGTTTTTGCTTTCTACCTGTGACGCCTACCGGTCATATGACTCTTACTGTAATGCCTTGGCATGGCTTTTAATGTTGACGACTGTACAGTATGACATTGTAGGTTATTAATTCTTTTTTTTTGTTCTTCATTACTCCGCTACTCTTCATTTATTTTGGTTATTTTGAAATTCAATTCATTAAGAATTTTATAAGCAAATAAACCCCTTACAGTAAATATTTATTTTCGTGTGTATTATAAATTTAAGTATAAATATAAATTTTTATTTGATCGAGAATCTAATTTCACAAATTAACAGTAAATATTTGCATGCTCTCAATCATGTTGTTAATCTATGCATGCGCATGTAGATTTGAATACACCCATAATTGTTGTACACGCCCGCAGTTAATAATGCAGTATCCTATACTTACCTAACTTTACTTACATCTTTCTTTAAATCAGTCATCTCCAGTAAATATTCAACTACCGAAGTGTAATTTAATTATGATCTTTACAGTTAATTTTTAAATTTTCAGCCCCTCCATCTGCACCTATGGCAGCACCTCTGTACGCTGCACCCCCTGGATACCCAGGAGGAGCTTCCTTCGGTCAGGCGGTCGGTAACTGGGTAGATGCTGCTGGTGGCGCGGTGCCTCCTGGTGCTGTCGTCGGAGGACAAGATTGCAATGGCGAGCCTATCTATGTCGCCAGGGCCCGACATGAGGGTGCTGTAATCCCTGGAAAACTAGTAGCTTCCCACGGAGTCACCTTCGTAGCTTGGGGAGGTTCCGAACACGGCAAGCCTGAGTACCAAGTAAGTTTAGATATTTTTAAAGCAGGAACCTAGTATGTATTTATTATACATCAGCTCGCTCTCGTCGGCGAGTACATTCGGCGTTGCGATTGGTGAAGATTTCACGGTCACCCTGACTATCGAGTTGATGTGAAATAAACTCACACTAGTTCCCCAGAATCACTTGTGGTTGTTATGTATACCATTGCTAAGTTTATGTATCTTTTCAGGTGCTTGTCGGCGGTCCCAACAACTGGATACGCACGAACGGTGCGAACGTACCTCCTGGAGCTTTCCCCGGTGGTGAGTCCGAAGACGGCGAGCCGCTATATATTGGTCGCGTGAACCACGAAGGTAGCCTTACCACCGGTAAAGTGCAACAATCCCACGGCGTCTGCTACATCTCCTTCGCTGGACAGGAGCTCGGCTTCCCCGACTACGAAGTGCTGATGCCCTAAGCGCAAGCTGCTAATTATTCCAATGAATCTCAGGAACAAATGTGTAACGTAGAAAAGCTGCTTTCTTTACACTTTTTTTTAAGCAAATGGTGCATATTTAAGTACATAAAAAACGTCACGCTGTGCCTGTTCGTACGAACGACATTGTTTTTATAATGCACTGCATAATATTATTTTAAATATTTAATTGTTATGTACCATAGAAATAACATGTAAAAGTAATATTTTTGTTAAATTATTATTAAAGTACGTATTTACCAAATTTAACACATTTTTTTTTTATTTCTTACACTACATGACGGGCAAGTACAACGGGAAACAAATATCGTGGAAGTGCCATGCTCAACCGAGGTGATACCATGGCCTCACAGAATACGTCCGGTGTTACGCAGTTATTTGGTTGCTTTCACTGATTGGGTCGAAACACTCGCTCTCCCTGTGATTCTGGGGGGAATGACTGAAAGGGCAGCGACGCATTTGTGACATTTGAGGCACTTACCATCGGGTGACTCGCCTGCTCGTTTAGTCTTATATACCATAAAAAAAAAACAAAAAGGAAATTGGGAACACTCAAAGAAAATTCAAAATATATTTTTGGTCACACAAGCAATAAATTAAAGTACCTATCATTCTTCCGAGACTGTTTAATAAAATTGCACATTCATATTCAACTTACAAAAATTAAGGAAATCTATACGACATTTATTTATTTCAAGCAAGAAAATTAGTTTTAACCGACTGCAAAAAAAGAGGAGGCTCCCAATTTACTGCACGGATGGCGTAGTGGTTTGAGCGGTTGTCACACCGCTTCCTATTGCGCTGAGGGTTGTGGGTTCGATCCCCACATGGGAAAACACTTTGTGTGATCCACAAAATGTTGTTCTGAGTCTGGGTGTTCTTTGTGTCCGTTTCATGTATGTTTGTAAAGTTCCCTGTGACAGGATTTATTCCTAATTCCGAAGTTGTCTTTAAAAAAGAAAAGAAGAATTCAGATGATTTTTAGGGTACCGAAGAAGGACCCTTAGTGTCACCATGTCCGTCTGTCGGTCCGTCAGCTTAAAAACTGTTAAAAATTCATAATCAAATAAATCGATCACGTCAACAAAGTTGGTAAAATAAAATTGTGCATTGATGTCCGTTATACTCTTAGAGCATGTTATACTTCCACTAATATTATCACATATATTTACCACTAGATTTTGACCTCGGCTCCTCCCGCGTATTTGTCGGCTATCACGGTAAAAATTAGTCTATAGCACTCAGGGATAATATACCTTTCTAACAGTGTAAGAATTGTCAAAATCGCATCAGTAGTAACCCGAACATACAAACTCTTGTGAGTTTGTATGTTCGGGGTAACCTCTTTATAACATTAGTATAGACTTGTAGCCCCAAATACATTTTAGGTAGAATAATTGGCAGATTTATTTAATAAATAAAAATAAAGTCTCCAACCAATACCGTCGGCAATGAGCAAATACCACATTTTCGCAGTGCAAATCACTTTTTTTATATTATTCATTCGTTTATTCAATATTTATAATCATTATCTCAATAGTAGGCGTCGGTCAACTTTCGAAAAATCCATAGGTCGATATATTTTCAGAAAAAAAAACGATTTTAACCTCGTGGCCCCGATATATCGATTGCCGAACTATAATGTCTAAAATAATTCAGAGCTTCAAATTCGTATCAAAAGTTGAAATTTTTCAATGCTCTATTTATGCGTGCATCAGGTATCCCAACACCTCGAACAATTCGATTTCTAAGATGTCATGAACGTGACTACTGCTGTGATTAAATAGTTTAAGAAATATGAATTACATTTAGTTATTTCTTTGTTTGTTTCTAAAGAACTTGGTAACTTATAAATCTAAACTAAAGTATAAACTTAGCAAATATATATATATTATATTCATTTTTTTTGTATTCCAAAGCATGGTTTTAGTACTGTTGCTAAACCTAATCCATCATCAATAGTATTATATGTTAAATCACAGGCAAGTTGATTCTGTGAGTTGTTTTACCAAATACTGCTTTAATTTAGCTTTAAATAAAATAATGTTGTTGGTCACCATTAGAGGAAACGCATTACAAAGATGATTAGAAAAGGATGAACCAACAAACTCAGAACTGTGGGTAAACTCAGAACCGAAAGTCTCTATCGTGATTACTACGTAAAAGTTGTCAGTTTAATATTGGGTTATTTAGGATAGTGTGTTAGACAATAAGAGCGAGTAATTTCGACGTAGACGAATGGGTGACCAGTTAAGCTGTGAACGGAAAGACGACACATAATCATATTTACGAAGATTATAGACAAATCGAATGCAGTTATTAGGAAGATGGTCTAACTTATCGGAAAGATCTTTATTTAGGTCATAACTCATAACAGCACAGGTCGCTACAGTCGATTAAGGGGAAGACAACAGTTTGCACAAGCATAATTTTAGGAGATATAGTACTCGAAGAAGTAACTGTCCGGCACTGATTTGCCACTTACGAGTAGTCACGTCAATTCAGAATGTAATCTAAGTGTAAGTCAAAATCCCATATGTAATATCCCTAATACTTAAAAGTAATAGTCGGAAGCGTCTCAGTGTCGACCTCACTCATCAATCGGTGACTTCCAACTACAATGGCGTGACATTTTTTGGGGTTGACTGATAAGCTAAACCTGTTTAAGACTACGTATTATTTGTTTCTAAATCTTTGTTGATCATATCTGTTGTTATCGAAATATCTTCACCTTACTTTGCTAATAGGTCATCGGCATATAGATAATACCTACGCCCAATATAGTTTCAGGGTTAAGGGACTAATATACACAGAAAATAGTACAAGAGAAAAAATACCGCCTTGAGGGACACCATAACCAAAATCTCACTAGTTTGAAGAAGATTCATCGACACAGACTGTTGGCTCCCTGAAGATAAATTAGGAACGATTCCAGTACTTTAGGCGAGATCATAAGATAGGAAAGGATAGATAAGAAGGTATAGTGATTGACGGGATTGAAAGCATTTGAGAAGTCGATCAGTACCAATACAGTAACCGTATTTATTTTATTTTTCAATATTTTCACGTTTTATTAAAAACAATTATTATTAGAATATTGTTAGTATAAAAGGCAGACATAACAGATCACTTTATTAAAGGAATTGCGTCAAAACAAATGTTCTATCATGATATGTAATATTTTTATTTTTTAACTTTAAGTACAACTACAAATGGTTATTAAAATAAAATGATAGAGAGTCATTGAAATTAGTGTAAAAATGGTAAAGCGATCGCTAACATACACACGCAAAATTCATCGGGAACCTTAGTCGGTTTAAATATAATCTTCAAATCATGTAAGATAAGGTATTGAAAATTCGTTTGTGAATATGTCGAAAGGAGATTCCAACTCGAGTAATGTCGAAAGAAGATTAAGACTCTACTAGAGTCCGTACTACCGTAATTATGTCGAGTAAAGCACATCACGAGTTAGTAAGTCGAGTGACACATCACGAGTTAGTAAGTCGAGTGACACATCACTAGCTTTGACATTTAGTGTAAAAATTTATTGAAATTTTGCTATAAAAATGCACGTTAAATCAACATTGGACGAGAATTTTATTTATATTTCTTGTTAAAAAAATTTGTGCTAATAATTAAGTATCGACTTGCTTTAACGCTCTTAGTTTTAGATATAATTGATATAAAATTAACGCAGATATTTAAAATGGGTGATATAGTTGGTAAGTAATGTTATATTCTGTTTATTAAATTGGAAATTAAACATTTTTAGATGCCAATTTATTCGAGTTAATATAAAAATATTGGTCTATTTCTTTAGTAGTTTCGTTGAATTGTCATATATACTTTACACTGGAAATGAATTTCATAATATTGAATTGTACTACATTTATGAGTCATAATTAATCCTAAAGATTTTTACAGAATTCGTAACCTTAAATGGACACCAGAAGATATTCTACAAAATAACAAGCAGTGCCATTAACTTTGAAATTAAAGCTATGGGAAATGCAGTAATTGGATTATCAAAAAAAGTCGGTCCAGAATGTGATTACTTGGTTAGTTTAAGCGAACTCTCATTTAAATAGCATAAATATATCCTATAAATCTAGGTCACTGTAGTTCAGAAGAAGGAAAATACTAAAACCTTTAAATGTCTTCAATAACAAATTAATATTACTGTTATGAAAATATTTTATAAATTTTGATGTTATTATTATATCTTACATGGAAGAGCTATGGTTTGGCACACAAGACTCATAGAATACCTCTGTGACCTGTAAATTTTCTTTTAGTGCAAATCATAAAAAGAATTGTTTAATTATTTTTTTTTGCTTTGCACTAAGTGAGTTAGGTTACTGCTGGAGCTCCAAACCCCTGTCCTCAGGAGCTCTTAGCTCTAGGGGGAGGAGGACTTAAAGGGTGGCAATGCAATGACTTATAACTTGCAAGTAGCAGTGGTCATTCTCCTTTAGGTGACCGGTCTACTCTTACACCGCTATACAATAAAAAAGAATATGAAGGTAACATGAAAAGCTGCAGAGGATGGACTGACATTATTATCTTTGTGTGCATTATTTTTGTAATGTATATTTAAAATTAAAATATATAATTAGTAACAGACAAAAAAATGTAAAACATTACATTTTTTTGTCTGTTAGCTTTGGTACCATGCAAATAACCATATTAGTTCAGAAAAAACTTGTGTTTCAAAATCACAGATAAACATTTGATTTTATTTATATTCCTTATAGTGCATTATATGTATAACACATTAGTTCTTAAACGGCTTAGTTAATAACTTTATTAATGATTCAAGTTTTTTACAGATTGTACTTGGTGACAATCGGCGGTCATGGATAAAAAAATATCATGGCAGACATTCAAGAGAAAAAGCAGATACTCCGAACATTCTGTCCAATGAAGAGTACAGACGATTTTGGGTGTCATGGTTTGGAGAAGCTATTCGACTTGGTGGTGATGGACATACAAATCCTATAGTATCCTACAATAACTACCCCACACTGGATATTAAATATGTCACATTCTTTGTGTTAAATCATGACTACCAATATCCTGTGCATTGGAAAGTTGAATGTAAGTATTACAATAGCAATTAGACTTTGAAAATTAATAGCTATTTAAATAAAGGTGGATAAAAGGTTAAGAAGAAGAAGCCATAATTATGTTGTCAATACTTCAATAACGCTTGTATTTTGTGGATCCCATACAGAGCGAGCAGCCTCGCTTTGCATTTACCGCGCGAGGAAACTGTCCCTGATCGAGCGAGGTAGCCATGGTATTATCGCCTGGCTGCTGCGAGCGGCAAGCTCGAGCTGTTTGTTGGTTCATTCAGTTGAGAGTTGAGACATGGCACCTCAACGTACGTGTTGCGGCGGCAGCTGTTGCTTTTATCCTTATTCATAAGATTATAAAAAGAGAAGATAAATAAATTAAATGAAGACTAAATTGGATCCAGACATTACACAAAATCAGATCTTTATCCATAATTGATATGAGCGAGGCACGGAACAAAACAGGCGTGCGTCCAGAGAGCTCGCGGCACACCACTGAGGCGCCTTTAAACAAAACAAAAAGCTGACACTCGGTGGCTCGGTCGCTCGCCCGCAGCGGCGCACGCACTCTTGCCTCGACCGAAAAAGACCGAGCCACTACGCACGGCAAATGACTTGCGAAGCTGCTCGCTCTGTGTGGACCCCTAATAGGCGGGTTTACACAGAGCGAGCAGCAGCTCGAGCATATCAATCTTTGATATAGGTTGTTTTGAAATACGAAAAGAGATACTGCATTTTTCTGCCATGATGTCTTAACTATCAAATGAACGTACGAACAAAAGCCTTGCTTTGTGTGGACCCGCTTAATTACTAACTTTTGAGTAGGTAGCAGGTTGGAGACCACATGTCAGTAGGGAATATCAGCTAAGAATGTTTTTTTGTGTCTGGCATTTTAATGGTTTTCGCAACTTCTTGTCAAGTTCTTCTTGGTTTTTGCTACTTAAGACAAATAATTTAAGTATACTGAAGGGACCCCATCATACTTAAATTAAAAAGGACTGTAATTTTTAATGATGTGATGATGTGCACAATACAACCAACTTTAAAGACTAAGTTGAACTAACACTTAAGAACAAGACTAACATTTAAGTTAGCTAAAACATTTTTATAAATAAGGAAGGTAGAGTTTCACTCATGTGTGTGTTTCTTTATAAGTTTTTTGTTTATATTGTATTTCTATTATTGTTTCAGTACCACCTATCATACAAAAACCTGTCCTGAAGCCTTTAACTGATGGTGAACTTCATTGGGTACCAATTGACGCGAACACACATGTTCTACCTGATGGAGTACTCATTGGTGGTTATGAAAAAGAGAATCTATACATAATTAGGGCTAAACACAGAGGATCGCTAACCCCTGGTAAATTTGTCCCTGCTGAAGGCACTGCATACATTTCGTGGGGAGGAGATGCACATACCAAAAGTGTATTTGAGGTCAGTAATAAGTGAATAGAAATAAATAGGTACCCGAATAATATGAATAAGAATAAATTTTATTTTTTATATTGAATATGTACCCCTAGTGTTTTCCATTTAAAATGTTGCTTGTTTCGTCATCCACGAATTTACGAAATTATATTTTTAATACGCTTTTATTAGCTATGTATAATGTAACGGAATGATTAATGATGACTTTGACCCACTTCAAAACGTCGAATTAAATTTAAACTTTGCACATTATCAAGGACCGCAATAATTTAAATAGTTTGTCCCATTATCCTAATCAGGACCATCAGGATTACTTTTTCCATACCCAAAAATACGGTAGCGTCTTTTGCCACGTACTAAAGCGTGTGCTGAAGCATATGTGATAAACTTACTTGTTACTTTTTGAGTCTTAATAAGATAATACTCATCATTAATTTTCAAAAAGTTCAAAAAGAAAAATCATTCTATCGTCAAAAAAGCGTCGGCTGCTTTTCAAGGTATTTTATTATTAATAACTTTAACAAATATCTGTCAGTAAAATATTTTTACTACACGATAAAAAGATTTTTCTTTTTAAACATAACTAAGAAAAAAAAACAGAAAGAAACAAATTTCCTGATCTTCAAAACATAACACTAGTCACCCATGATGCTGCAGCATTTATACGTATTACAATGATTAAGAAGCAAATTGCCTACATTGCAATTGGACTATAAACCGTCAATGATTTAAGAAGCAGAATGCCTAGTATGTACAGTGACTATTAGTTTGTCTAAGAGCAGAATGCCTAAGTTATATTGGCCACTATCTGCATTTTAGATATGGTGATCAGTTAAGTAGAACTGTGGTTTTTCGTTTCTAAATAATAAAACTAAATATAATAAATAAAATAACATTTTTAGCTTACTATAACATAACGAAAGGTTTTTCGAAAATTCTGCCTTGTTGGCAAAAAAAGACGTTAATTTTCTATGGAAAATACGTCTTTTTTTGCCAACAAGGCTCTCTACCATTTTTGAGATAGGTAGAGAGCCAATGACAAATGCCATTGGACACATGGGTACCGATTATTTGTAGATGCGTCAGGCATTGAATACTCGTCATCCTGCCACCACTGAAGTATCTTCTAACACCTTTTTTGCCCGTGTTACTGGTAGTAATACCGATAACCTGCTTAGCTTTACTACTGCAGTTGAAAGTTAGAAGATCAAAAATGCCCGTTACTATCTTAATAATAAAACAAAGTATAACTGTATTTTCTTAAACAAAGTGTTTAAGTACTTACAAAAAATAACATTGACAAATCTAATAATAAATAATTAATTACTAATGAATTTTTTTTTGGTAGTAACATGGACAATAATGGCTTCAACAGCACTTACTGGCTAAGGGCAGATTGTGTTGAAGGTCGTATTTCTGGCTGTACAACTCTTCCACCAGAATCGAGCTTAAGTGGGGCTAATATCATAGAGCGGCTGATCAACGGGGGCGGTTTCTTTCTTAGTCCTAAAATATGTATCGATACCTTTATGTACGAAGACAGAAATGGTGTTATGAGTCGTTAACTTAATAACAGTAACAAAAACTTGATATTATTTCAGGTTTTATGTGGATTTAACTGCATGTGGGTTCCATGTTCTAAGGACAAGATACCAGTTGGAGCTATCGTAGGCGGCTATTCAGAGAATATTGAACATGAAAAACTTTATGTTGGAAGAGCTAAATATTTAAATTACATTATACCTGGAAAAGTGCAACCATCACACAAAGTTTGTTACATAGCGTATGACGGTAAAGAAATAGGCGTCGACAATTATGAAATACTTGTACATCCTGAAACAAGGAGGAGTGCAAACAAAGTATTGATTCCCCATTATGATATTCCTGATGAGATAGAAATAGAACACGATGACGACGATGATGAGGATGATGATGATGATGACAATGATTCAGTTATCATATTTTGAATGAATTAATGTTTAATAAATGTATTAGTAACGTGTAATATATAGTGTGTGTATAAAGGATTATTGAAATAAACACTAAGATTGTTTTGATGTATGTCATATAATTACCATAATTACTGTTAAGTTTGTAATTATTTAGCAAATTATAATATATGGATATGTTTATTATTAACTTTTTATAACTGTCTTTGTTGTTTGAACAGGTTTTACATGTAATGACCTTCTGTTACAGTTAATAGTAATTTATTCTGTGATATTTTTGGGCCCTCTGGCTATACATCAACCTTATTTGCCTATCACTGTTTTTTGTTACTTGCATGAGATCTACCGATTATACAATATCACAATTATATTTAAATGTAAATTCAACAATTTCTAAAATATATTAAGAATTAAATATATGAAAACGGAATTGTGTATCAATTAAATGTACCACCCTACATATATTTTATATACACAACACGAATATTTACTATAAATGTATTATATATTCTATTATACTATTCTGAATAAATATACTATATATATATATATATATATATTCAGAATAAATGGGCCGTGTTCGTGCCGTTCAAATTAAACTTACTGTATTAATGCCAAAAAAATAAACTTATTTTTCCACAAAACTAAGAAAATAAAATATTTTTCATATATAAACAGATAATCTACGATAGTTACCAGGATTATTAATATGAGCAGTTTGTGGATGGACTATCGTATCTGCACGACACAAAAATATATTCTTGTAACATATTTTTAATGATATAGTATTGCCATACAAATAATTGTACTCTTCGATTACATATGCAGAAGATAGGTACACATGCCCAATAAAAATCAGACGCCTTTATTAAAAAAATGGTTCCAAAATTTAAGCCACCATAAAAATATTATACCAGTCGAAAGTATACTTTGTTTTTTTTTGCATTTCTAAAATTTAGTCAGCATCTTTCGGCTATAAATGATGCGTCGACCAGGTTGCACTGGCCGACTGTTGGCTTACCCTGTCACCATGGCATTTTGATGACATGAATGTGTGCGCATTTTAATGGACCTAAAAAAAACTAAAAAAAAAACAAAATCCATTAATTAAACACACACGCGATTAACTATCTCTACTATCTAAGAATTGATAAATTTCTTTTACTAAGTAAATTACGCAAAGATAATAATGAGTAAATTATATTGTTTACATGGATATACAATTACCTAATCCACACCTACATCGACCATTTCAATGTATAATAAACAACATACTTTAATGTATGAAAAGTTGTTAAATTCATAGAAGCGTGGTTGTGGTGGTTCGTAAGATATGTAGTGCATTTTGACGACTGGATGGCGTAGTGGTTTGTGTAACGGACTGCTATTCCAAAGGTCGCGGGTTCGATTCCCGCTCAAGTCAAACATTTGTGTGCATGAACATTTGATGTTTGATTTGGTCTGGGTGTTTCTATGTATAATATGTATGTATTTACAAAAAAAAAAGTATATATGTATTTATATCAGTTGTCTAGTACCCATAGTACAAGCTCTGCTTAGTTTGGGACTAGATGGCGTTGTGTGTATGTGGTAGAATATATTATTATTATATTATTATATATTTAAATAACATAAGAGGTTAAAATTACGTACAGCAATAATTTACATGTGTTTACAATACAACAGTTTTATTAAAGTACTTCTATAAAGCCAATCGGCTATACAGAAGTACCTTTATGAAACTTACTAACCCAGTACATAATCTAAGAAATAGGGAATATGCACGTGACACCAAAATGGACAAAATATTTTTATTTGTAATTTTTATTGCTAAAAAAAGATACCCCTACAATTATTTTTGAAATTTATTTTAATTTAATAGTGAAATTTAATCATCAAAAATTGGCTTTTTTAAGATTCCCTCGCAAATTTCTAAAACGCAACGCTATTGGTTGAATGAAACGTGACGTCAACCTACACTGTCAAGAGTGTCAACAAGTTGTGTGTATTTGTTATATTTGGTTTCTGGTGATTATTTATTTCATTTTAAGTTAATAACTAATACGTTTTCAGTGTTAAATTATTAAATTCCCGTGTAGCAAGACTCAACACAATGACTGAATATACTTTGTCAGGTGCAGTTTTGATATTATTTGGGCACAAAGGAACGGCACGATATTAAAAATAAGTTTTTATTGGCTTTTCCATGGTAATAAGTTAATTTTTATCACTAACTTTTTTAAATTTCAGAAACTTTGTGAACTTCACTCTGTTGTTGACATCGAATTCGTCTGAAAGTGTAATCTGACGTCACAAAAAAAGCGCGCCAAAATGGACGTGTTCAAATTGCCCCAAAATGATAGTGATTTAAATAAAAATTTTTTTGCTTAACGGTTTATATTTCGGATGTGTTATATTTATTTTTGGTAATGTAATAACTAGTAGAATCGTTTAAAAAAAAAAAATACATGCATATTCCCTATTTATCAAGGCTTGATATTTAAATTATAGGAAGCAATTTCAAATTTTCATCCGATTTTAGTACCACAGATAATTTTATCCAATATACCATTTCTTTCTTCGCACGATTCCAGCATAAACATTATTAGAAGATAAAATAACAAAAAGTTATTCTTAAAAATAGTTAAATAATAATTAAACAATATATGTACATTCCTCGAGTCATAATATATGGCCGATAACATATGGGGCGCTAAATTAAATGTAGGTACCTATATAATTTTTACTTTTGCTTGTAAATTGAACGGTATAGTTTGTTTTATTTCATCTTCGGGAATAACTAATATTTCATACGAACTAACTTCGATTTCCTGACCGTTGTACGGTAAATAACAAGTTTTGTACCGAATGTGTACTTTGCCTGTTAAAAGCTTGCCGTCGTGCATAGCTCGGCCTATGTACAGAGGCTCATTGTGCACTTCAGAGCGTCCACCGATGACAGCATTGGTTGGAATGTAGTTTAACTTTGTTTTTACCCATATCGCATTGTAACCACATAGGATCTGAAAACACAATAAAATATTAGTTTAATCAATATAGACAATCGGAAAAGGTGTTTCGCTGGATAAATTAGAAATATTTCTTTTAAATTCATTTCAAAGTTTTTAGTTTATTTAACTATTTATGCTATTATGTCATCACGCCAGTAAAATACCAATCTATTAAATTCTCCAATATTTTTCCTTTGTTATATTTAAATATTATTAAGGACAACAGTTTTTTCTAAAGGCAAGAGTACAAATTTACCTAGAATAACCTTTTTTATTACTCTGTATTTTTTAATAGCATATGCCCGCGGTTTCGCTCAAGTAAATGTAGGTTTCGTCAAGCAATGCATCCCCTGGGAATAACAATCCACATGGGGTTCAGATAGAAAATTACTATACGTTTTCCTAATAATGAAGTTAGGTATGTTTAGAAGGATGAGGGATGGAAAAATAACCTAAACGCGCAAGTCGCTGGACAGATTAGTTGTTAAAATGATTTTTTGTCTAACGTGAGTTGTCGATGTCAACTATTGGTATGGTGGATGATTCAGATTTGTCCCATTAGGTGACCATCGTACACGGAAACCATATTATATTTAAATGTTATAGAGAACGTGTACAATTATTTAATTTGTATCGTTCGTATAATTTTATATTATCCAAGAAAATACAAATATCAAAAAATAAACCATAAATAAATTATTGAAGTAATTTTCTAAATATACCTCATAATCTCTCTTCGCGTGTTCTCTGAAACCCCATGGTACATAGGCAAGCTTTTTCGATGGTACATATTTGCCAGGACAAAGTGAATGGTTATGGTGTGCCCTAGCTATGTAAGTAGGTTCAAATTCAAATCCGCCAATCATAGCATTTGCTGGCAGCTTATCACCCTGCGGTGAAACCCAGCAAAGTTTACTTTCAAATGTTCGGCTTGGCATTTCCTTCAAAATAACTGGCGAAGCTGTAATTTAATAATTATTAAATTGTATTACGTTGTACCCACAACTATCAGAATAGTCACTCGTTAGTGACTTGTGGACAGGGGCGACCGTTCAAGGTGTCGAGCAGAGCAACCGCAACAACGGGGATTCCCGTGATTCATTTCGTCTGTCATTTTGACAGGCTTCCTCCTTCCTATCGACTGTCGTCGGCTTATGCTTTTATGTTCGAGCAGCAGTATGTATTTAAATAACTTTCTATTTGGCCTTGCGTTTTGACCGATTTAGGGCAGGCGTGTAAGGAGAAAAAAGGCTGAAAAAGGAATTACCTAATGTTGTTGCAGGAGCGGTAGCCTATCGGGAGAATCATGTGATATCCCATTGAAATAAAATATTGACTTTGATAATTATTTTGACAGTATCGATAATATTACTCATGTTTATAATGTCCGTAAAAGTTAACAATTCACAAATATTTCGATTCGTCTTAATCTCCAAATTATTTTTGACTCCACTACAGCTCTACATACAATCGTTTGACAACGTGTCCGGATACTATATATTTAAGTAAAATAACTTCAATTTCTTATTATTTCTTGTGCAATAGATCTTTTACCCCACCTCAAAAGTATCGACGTTACCGTATACGATAGTACCGATACAATTGATATTTATCGATACTATCAGTTTTAATTTTGATAGTGCCTATCAACTGTATCTGAGTGATTCAATAGAAAGTCTGATGTGTCATGAGCAATGTCAGGACCATTGCAAATAGCATTTTATAGAATGCGTGACTCTATGATATGTACTATGACTACAGAGACAATTTTTTCAAGGTCATAAACAGATTGCTAAACTATAACTAACTATGGCAACAATACTGTTAGGAACACTTTATTTTAGACTAAAGCTCTTCAAAAGCTTTATGGTATCTAAAATTTGCATGCATTTAAGTTTGGCAAATATGTACTAATATTGTATGTTATTAACTACACCTGTAATATTACTGTCAAAAAATCATTTGAAGACTTACTTTCAACAATCCATTCCACTGGTGCCCAATTTCCGCTCAGTGTGTTAAACTGCACATATCCTATTTCTAAATCAGTATGCATAGGATATACTAAGAAGGGATGTTGTTTACCCCATAACCCCATTTTAATTGTCTTGTTGTACCATGTTATCCAAAACTCTGGATGTTGTAAATCAACATTATGTAATGCAAATACAGTCACCTGTTGTTCATCAGAAGTCAAATCTATGACTTTAGTATGGCGACCAATAACAATCTGTAATAAAAAATATTTGAATTAAAACATGTCTTCAAAAACATCATGTATTGTCAACAACACCACTGGGGTGTTGATTACAATATATTTGTGGTAACCACATCACTGCTGACTAGTGATGTATAACATGAAACAGGGGTCCTGTGGTGTTGTTGACAGTACACAAAATTTTATCCTGATCATTGCAGCAGCGTCACATTCACATTGGAGTATGGAGCTGTGTTGGCCGAAATGCCAGTAAATCTTTTTCTAAATGGAGTCTTGGAACCATCCAGATACATTCAGATTGATTTCAGTTATTTTCATGTACTCATTTTATAAACACCTGTTCCAAAGGATTTTACAATCTAGCATTATTCCTAGGCACTTGATCTCAGCAACGGACTATTAAAGGCTGTTGATGTGTGATGTGATGACTTGATCTCCTTGGTAAGAGCTAATGGGCTGCCAAATAGTTTAAGAAATCTACGCTGTTCCAGGTCATGTTTGTTTGTGTAAATTATAATCTCGAGTTTATGATGAATATAATGTCAAACGAAATTCATTTTGCTGTTCGAAGACCTTTAGTGCAGATCTAATTGAATTATTTTCAACACTTAGGGGCTTGCCTCAAAATTAAGTTCGCCAGGTTACTGTGAGGAATGTGTGTGAAATATGCATCCATGCAAAATATTATTACACTAAATATTTCTTGTATAGTTAATGTAATATACAGACCCTATAAAGTTTATGGAATTTGTGTTTTGTAGTAAACGTTATTGCCGGTCCTAGACCAGGCAGTGGAATTTTCACTTTAAATCTCATGGCACAAGCATCTGCTAGTAGAAGAACATCTACTTCTGATGGGGTTATTACTAAAACAAAAATAAAGGTTGAATATCTTAGTTAAATATTACCAGGTACAAAATGTTAGGTACAAATGAAATCTGTATATTTTGTAAATAATACGAAACAAAGTATTACCTCTCATTTCCCCCATTGTTAGAAAATCACGAAGAAACTTAGGACCTAAAACTTAGTCAATAAAATATACTTATATCACGGAGTTCACTACGTTTATATAGAAAATTTACAGGTATTTAATGTGTCAATAGTTCCGATCTATCCCTAATCTATCCATTTATCAGAACCACAGAGTATATTGAATAATCTGCGTTAGAAGTACAAACAAACTACAAAAAAAATATTAATAATATTTTCTTTCAAAATCTGATAGAATCAATTGTAGTGTTGCCAAACTTTGAAATCGTTGTGTCCACTGTAATATTTTTTTGTGAGACAGCAGTAGAAATTGATATTCTTTCTTCTGTTACAATTAAATGAGTTCGAGTTCTTCTGTTACAATTGAAAGAGTCTAGACGGAAAGAGTTCAATAAAAAAATCCATTCCAGGCCCTTTTATCCAAACAATTTGCTTATTTTTATATGAAAAAACCAATGCTAAAATCGTTCAACCGAATTTTCTTGGTATTGCACATTACGCAATTTGAGTTTACCTATACCTAATTACCATGAGATTCTGGTAGACCCATATCTGCTTACTGTACTCGAGTTTTGTAAAACCTGAAAATCAGGGGGTGTAATTTATTTCTGGCCAAATATTTAAACCACAGAGAATTTAAAGGTAGAAGAATACGAAAAAAACATTTGACATCATTCTTTAAAATGCAAGAACCTGAAAAGGACCTGATGTCAACGCTTAAGATATAATAGCCAATTTTTACAACATTTAAGGACTGTTTCTTTATTATATAGGTAAATTAATTACTCAGTATGGCCGCTTCAGCCACACCGTCGGAGATGGCTGAGACCGAAGTGCCACCCTCAGCTCCAGATCGTAAGTATCTAAATGGTAAACATAGATTTATAATATTAAGTTTTAGTAATAGACCGGACAAGCATGTCAACAAAAACTTATTGCAACTTATTATGAATTATTATTGTTTTGTTCAGCAGCTCCACGTACAGGTGGCGGTGCTGGTGGTGGATTTCCTCCATATCCGCCGTATACAACGAAACCGGCGCCTCCATCAGTCGCGGACACTATCTTCGCGGGGCGCACTATTCGCCGACAGCATAAGTCCGGTGCGAAGAAGCCCGCTCATCCTCCTCCGAGGCCGGCTAAAGCCAGGTGTTTCATTGAAATATACTGCTCTATCATTCATAATTTCACTGCTACCTGCAGGGCCGCCGCTAGCAGTTAGAGCGCCCGCGTGCAATGCCGATTAAGCCACTCCTTTTTTTCGTGTGGAAATCACCCCTTCGGATACCGAACAACCGGGGGGTATGGATTTTATGCCGATAGTTGTTTTTGTCCTTATTTCAATGAGTTTAGAAATAATATAACTTTATTACGAAATAATATACAATTATACCACGGCTCGTCGTGGCATGCCGCGGGACGCAGCTGTATGTCCTGTCATACAGTTTCATTCTACGGATTATCATGCCACCGTGTCCCGCGAGCCACATAGGTCACAGGATGACGCGTCTCCGCCTCCCCGCAATCACGGGCTGGAGCGTTGGGCGCAAGAATTTAATCTCTTTAGTTTCAACTAGAACTGCTATTATTACTAAATCTAGGTCAATCATAACTACACAACCAACTTTGGATCCGCGCAGAGCAGAACTGGTTGAATATGGGCCAGCGCTGACTGACATCGTGCCACAGCAGGACACTGTAGGCGTTCTTTAGGTGTACCGTATCGCGACGACAATCAGCGCTGGCCCTATTGAATGGCTGGGCTTTCTGCGGGGTGCCACGAAGCGACGCGACATGCTTCAGCACATGACGGCCCATATTAAAGCGTCCTTCTGCCGAAGGACACCCTGCCGTGATGTGCCTTGCCGTGACGTCGGTAGGCACAGCACGGTAGGCGGTAGTAGCGGGGGAACCAAATGTAACCCAGAAAGCAAATCTCTGACACCCCGACGGACCCCGAGTCGTCTACGACTTACAGACGGCCTCCTCGTGTGTAGTGACCACGGTTTCCGCTCCCTGTCTGTAAAGGGACTCCGGAGAGCGTACCCGGCGACCCTGGCTACCTATATCTTTTTTCGCACAGACCATCGGTCTTTTTTTACATGTTAACATATATCCACGATAATCTAGTTTTTAGTGAAAAGTATATATATTATAGTACGTAATTGTACACGTTACTACTATTCTATACATAGAATTTACCAAAGTTTAATCAAATTTTGACTGAGGTTCTTCGTAGATATAGTTCATCATGATTAGTCGTATAATGTTTCAGATACCCGAAGGCGACCGATGTAAAGCTACCGAGACGAGCAATGAAAGCGCAGGCACGGTGTCTTAAGCGCCATGGGACTGTACTTACCGATCGCCTCGAACGCATAGCTAAGCCTATCCGACGTACTATCATATACTTATGGCGAGAATATGCAAATACTTTACCGCCGGAAACGGTGAGCACCATTCGTGTATTGTAAACGACACATGTTTTCACATGTTCAGCATGTTTTGCGCAGCATGAAGACTTTTGCAGCTGCCGCGCTACATTCTACCAAGCCTATCAAGCACCTATTTGGTTTGGCACCGACTTCAAAGAAGGGACTATTGCTATTATAATGTTACTGCTTATATTGAGGGTATTGTAATAGTTTTTTTACTTAGATTGTGCTCTTTGTCAGTATTGTTTGAAGTCGGTTCAACTTTTTTTTAAAAGGATTTATTTTCTGTATTGATTTATTGTTCATTTTTAATGGCATAGATCGCTCGTCTACGTTCAATGCTAGATGCTGATGAGCCGTTTAAACCGGATCAAGCTTATGAGTATTTTATCAACTTGCGAAGAACTAAAAAGAAAGCAGCTGCGTAAGTCTTTTGATTCTGTTCGTGATGTAGTTTTTCGGTTATATTGATAATGCCACCCTACTACGTTTTCTAATCTTCGTAGTTCAATGGTGGATTCAGTGAAGGAATGTCATGAGAGCAATGACATTCCTGGGCCTAGTTATTCTAAGTGGTAATTCTTCGAAATAAGAATATTGAAAAATGGTTGGTGAAAAGAGTATTCTACAAGAAACAATTTTATAACATGAGACTAACTCTGCACTACAGATAGGTAATGCTATCCAGAAAAATGGGTCCTACCTCATTATTTATTCCTTATCTATGGTACGATTCGTATGTTACCGAAAGCGACTTACATCAGCAGCTAGGTATTCGATACGCAACTTCAAACACTAAGTATCGATAAATTCGTCATATTGACGTAACAGGTATGGGCTGCAAGATATGGGTAGAAAACGAAGCAACGTGTATACTTGAGCAAGAGCTAGCTACATCGTTAAGTATTTTAGGTCAACTGAAAATATACAAAAGTGTAGTCAACGTAACAAAACAAACAACGTAACAATTAACCTTATAGTAAGGGAGCCCATGACGCTAAATGTGGATTTACTCGAGCGTCATGGGGACCTATTGCCTTAGGAGGACCTATTGCCTATTGCCTTATTGAAGGATTAGGTAATAGAATGAATAAAAAATGTATCCACTTTCAGCGGTGGGAAAAGCTTCTACACGTTTTCATATGTGTAAGGGGAGGAAATCGTTTTTTTTTATTCCGGCTCATCAGATATTTTGGGGATATGTTATTTGGACGACAAAAATGCTCTCATTGAAAGGTCTGACGATTGTAAAGTGACACAAGCTCGTAGCGAATTATCGAAAATGCAAACTGTAAATTCGAAATCTCCATTTCGAAATACCCAAGCGTGTTAGATTTTATACAGACTGTTCAGCTTGATGTTCCTCTCATACTACAGAAAAATCTGATGATAATTTGGCAGGTTGTCCAGTCATTATAGTAAGTTCACCTCGGAATTCGAGATACCCAGCTGTAAGTATGTAAATACTTGTATATTGACACCCTAAAAGTTGTCTCAAAACCTACATATGGTAGGGTGTAAGCAACTATTAAATTTCAAGGTCAAAAGTCACAAAAATCGGTTTATTGCGCTTTTTTTTGGAAATATCTCATTTCCTATGGGTTTCTGCTATTTGTATTCATTTTCAATATTGTAGAATACAAAATTCTCTACAAATTTTGTTTAAAAATTTTTTTATACGGTGAACCGTTTTCGAGATAGAGGGCGGAGAGCGCGCGGTCACAGCATCACTTCAGGTCAACCGGTGCCTCCGGTCGAAAACGTGCCATATATAGTTGATGAACTATCGATAAATCAATGATTATAACTAGACTTGCAACGAATATTCGGTTACTATTCGGTATTCGGCCTATTCGGCTGCTTTTATCGTATTCGGCCGAATACCGAATATCTACATATTATTCGGCCGAATACCGAATACTTAAATAATATATTTTGTCATTGAGAAATAATTGGTAAAATGAAAAATTTAAATCGATTGATTACGTATATATTCATATTTTCATTTCTGTTATAATCATTTAAGTAGTCATTGGTGCATAACACAGGTACATAATCATCTTCTGAATTGGAAAAATGGAGGATTCTATGTATTTGAATTATTGTGGTAATCAAAATTTAGAAGAGTAAGGTTCTCATTTCTTTTATAATCATTTATTAAGTAGTCATTGGTACATAAAACTGGTACATAATTTAATTCACGTCTGTACAAGTTTTTGGCGCTAAAATCCAGCCGAATACTTTTGCCTAATATTCGGCTATTCGGTCAGGGGCCTCGCCGAATATTCGGTATTCGGTATACTGCCGAATATACTATTCGTTGCAAGTCTAATTATAACTAAAAATTGTTCGGCCCAGAGATTATTAGAGAGTGGAACTCAAACCTTATTGGCAGTCTATAATGCTCCGAAATCTGTGAAAAGTCTCGATCATCTTCGTTATATGCATTACGTGAAGTCTACAAAACTTAATAAACCTGTGCAGTTTTCAAATATTCCACCAACAAGTGCAGCTGTTCATCAACATTTCAACCGTGTATATTATCAAGTTCAAACTTGGTTAGGACATGATTTGGAACCCCAGGTATGGGGTTGGACAATGCGAAATGATTTTCTGGAGCGTATCATGACAATTTTACCACCTGCTCCAGAAGATTTGCTAAATACAATTTTCTGCAACTGCAAGAGTGGTTGTGGTTCGCGATGCGGATGCAGGAAAGCGGGCTTGCAATGCTCTTTAGCTTGTGGCCAATGTAATGGGCAAGCTTGTCTCAATGCTCTACCATATCAGAGCGACATTAACGAAGATGGAAATTTTGACCCCGAAATCATGGAAGAACTTGAGACAAATGTCGTTGAAGACGATAATGAAGACCAGTTTGAAATTTACCAGCAGCCAGAAGACGACGATGAAGAGGAAGAAGATGATTAAAATTATTAATTGTAGTTTTTGTAACCTTTATTCCATTTTTTTACTTTCAATAAAAATAAATGTATTCAATGATATTTTTTAATAAAGAGATTAATTCATGATTTATTTGTTTTTTTTTCATCATGTAAGAAGTTATTAATATTAATTAGGTTAAAATTCAAATATAATTCCTATAATTTCATTAACAATTCTGCAATTACATGGGCAGGTAAGTGTTTTTAAGTGGATAAGTTAGGAAAAAAATGATAAAATATAATATAATAGTTAATAAAAATTGACAAATATTTATAATCATTGATTTATCGATAGTTCATCAATTATATATGGCGCGTTTTCGACCGGAGGCACCGGTTGACCTGAAGTGATGCTGTGACCGCGCGCTCTCCGCCCTCTATCTCGAAAACGGTTCACCGTATAAAAAAAAATTTTAAACAAAATTTGTAGAGAATTTTGTATTCTACAATATTGAAAATGAATACAAATAGCAGAAACCCATAGGAAATGAGATAAAGCGCAATAAACCGATTTTTGTGACTTTTGACCTTGAAATTTAATAGTTGCTTACACCCTACCATATGTAGGTTTTGAGACAACTTTTAGGGTGTCAATATAGAAGTATTTACAGACTTACAGCTGGGTATCTCGAATTCCGAGATTCTTACCTAATTTAAGCTTAAATGACTGGACTAGGGTATTTTAAATCTGACGGTTAGAAGAAGTATTTTGATTTTTTATTTTTATAAAATGTGACAAATAGTCACGAAAAAATATTTAGACATTTAAAGATTTCTTGCATAGTCTGCTACAAAATAAAAAAAACAAAATAAAAAAAGTGTCAAGGTCATGGGGTTCAAGGTCCCACTGCTTTATGTCAAGCTCATCGTCAGATTTTTTTAAATACACGCTAATGTATATGTAATTGAGTCAACTTAACTAAAATCAAGCATTTCTGGCCATCGTTTTTTTTAACCAACCTGATGGGCTGCCCTAGACCCTCCCCCTATGTGTAGCGCTTATAAATGGTGGAGGTACTCAACTGGGTGTAAGGTACTACTCCTATCTTAATCTGATACGATCGAGTAAAAGGGAAAGTACTATGTAGAAGATTACTAACATATTATACTAATTTTGCAGTGCCCAACAAGTAAACGCAATAAAGAAAGACATCCTCGCAATGTGTTACGATAAACGGTTTCTGTGGGCGAGAAACGCTACGGTCGCATTTGCAAAAGGTATTCAGCAGCGACTGTCGAGGCCTGGGCGGTTTGCACTAGCTGATGGGTGAGTTGACTTTATAGGACAGCATTAAACATTAAGCGATAAACAGTCAAAGTACTAACATATTTACAAGGGATAAAATGAATATTCAGTCACTATCCGATATTCGGCATATCCGCAAAAACGATTGACACCTGAAATAAGAAAGTAGGTATAAAAGTAAATAATTAAGTATTTAATGAAGTAAGAAAGTACTTAAATATAATTATATTACTACCGCCTGTCGTAAATGTTTATATAAATAGTCAAAATTAACGATAATATTAATTATTTTCTAAAAATAACATAACGAACCATAAAAACCTTTTTTATGGATGGAATCGCCCCATGGAAGTATGAAATATCTCAAAACAGAACCTAATGCAAAACCATTATATAATTTCGTTTCAATGAACTATTTAGTTAGGTAAGGGTTAGGTAAAAGTAATGGTGCTGACAGTTCATAAATGTACACATATTTACAGAATGTTAAGGTTGTCTAACATCATCTTAGACGATATGTGTGGTTACATGCATATAAGGACCCCTTCGAGATACAGCAAGTCAAACAAATCTAAGTTTATGCTGGAGATGGCTGACAAGGTAACCTATAACATTATATTTACTAAAATATACATAATGATTACGCACGCTTTGAACAACAAAGTATTGAAAGTTCTAGTGAATGTTTCCTGATATCAGGCACTCGACATATCAAACTGTTTAGATATAACTGTTTTAGGGTGGTAATCTGGAGTAGAGACAATCTCTTGCAGTTTAATACCTCGAAGTGCGTGGCTATCACCTTCTCACGCTTACGCGAACCCATCTCGTATAATTATAATTTAGACGGGACACAGATGGTAAGGGTCACAGAGGTTAGGGATTTAGGGGTTTGTGTTAACACTGAGCTAAGATTTCGTGATCACATAGTGAAATGCTGTAAAAAAGCTTATAGGAATTTGGGTTTTGTTTTACGAACAGTAACGGACTTTAGAAACCTAAATACAATTATAGCATTGTATAACGCGTTGGTAAGAAGTCAGCTAGAGAGTAACGCAGTCATCTGGGCCCCACATGAAGCTAAATATAGCCTCATGTTGGAGCGAGTTCAAAATAAATTTGTTAGGTTTTTGTACTTCAGATACTATGGAGTATACCCATTGTATCCATTAATGTATCCCACGTTATTTATTCTGGGTATGGTGGGATACAATGAACTGAGGGTCAGAAGGGAACTCACACTCGTCTCGTACCTGTTTAGGGTACTTAGGGGTGGGATACATATTGAAGACGTGTTAGGACGAGTCAGCATATGTGTTCCGGACAGATACGTGTGGCGGCGCCGCCGGCCGCCGCTGCTGGCTGTCCCGTGCGGGCGCACCAACCTGCAGAGAGAAGCACCGCTGACGCGCGCACTACGTACTCTGAATATAATTGCGGACGAAGTAGATTTATTTTATTGCTCACTGAGTGAATTCACAATAACAGCATTAAGAATTATTTCTTATAATAAATAAGTAGATGGTATAACACTATTGCATTGGGCTAAGCCTGTAAAAATAGTTGTTTTTAAAGAAAATAAATAAATAAATAAAAATAAATAAATAAATAAATAATATCCACGTGAAGAAAATTTGTAAGGATGTAGGTATAATATGTGTTTCAATAAATCTAATATATTTAGAGTCCCGTATCGAAAAGGTGTTAACGGAACAGGCAAGGGATACCTAATCCAAGCATCTTTTTTAAACTTTGAAAAAAAAAGGGAGTTAAGAATGTCATAAAACTTCTAACACGTATTTATCCAGTTAAATCTTATTTATAATAGAATACCTAGAGCTAAGTGTGTAGAAGTTAGATCGTTTACAAGATTTGTTATTGGAACAGTTAGAAGCACAGACACAGATGTTTTAATTTTGCTGTACAGATTGCCGTTTGGATTGACGAAATACTATCTGAATCAGACGATCGAATGTTGATGATGGACTTTGACGAAGACGAGGGTGAGTTGTTATTTTAATTACACGCGAAGAACAATTGTCATTAGTTTCAACAAAATTTTCAGTGTAAAGGTAAGAAATGTTAACATTTGAAATTGTGACAATTGTTCATTAACTTTTCCATGATATCATTATTATGAATTGGATTTAGCCCGAGAAAAAAAAGAAAAATTATCCGTTTCAAATTATTAATTTGAACAATTGTATACGTGTCAAATATATATTTAAGCTAAACGTGTAAGATAATGAACCCCATAATCAGTCAGTTACGTCCGGGGGCCTTTCCCTTATACAATAGTCACAGAAGCAGGAAATTAGTAAACAAATACTAAACTTTTGAAACATACCTACACAAATCAACTTTTGATATACAGGGTTACTGGTTAAAAGTCGGCCTAGACACTTTAAGGGGTTGTAGTTGTAATCATTTCACATTTGTAATCATTATAAACCATCTACTTTGGCCTAGCTTAAGTTAACTATAATTTTGGTAATTATAGACAACAATTATACCTATAACTATACAATTACACCAATTATAACTGTACAAAAATAGTCAAAATAAAGAAAGTAATAAAGGATATAAGTTTATCGCCAATTTTTATAAAATAATCTTAAACGTCAAATATCTTGAAAATGGTTAGGTTTGGGAGAGGGTGGTGGTAGTGTTCATTGATTCCCGAAAAGCATTTGAAACTAGAACACAGCCAGATCGGCTCGGTGTTTGGGTTAAAGTAGTGGTATTAGGGGTTAAAGTATGAAATTGCAGATTTGTACTGAAAAATCTAAACTCGTTTTTTTCTAAGATGTAACATATTTATTTAATCAAAATATTTACCCTTATTATCTATAAATGCCTTCATAAATATCTATTTATGCCTTTACGGTAGAACTCTGGGGATCTAGATTCGACAAACTGTGTGTAAGCATTTTGTACTGCTGCCTGAGAATAATTTCTTTTATCACGGAGAAAATTGTCTAAATCATGAAAAAATGGTAGTCCTATGGAGCAAGGTCTGGCGAGTATGAAGGATGACGTATGGTTTCTAACTGCAGCTCCTGTAGAGTTACAAAGGTTTCTCGTGCAGTGTGAGGTCTTGCGTTTTCATGGAGCAATAATGGTGACCTTTAGTGGAGAATTGCCCTTGACCCTTGAAATAACCTTCAAGGTTGTGGTCAAGGTCACCAATCGATAGCCAGGAAAATTCCTGTAACTTATGTGTTTAACGTATTCGCGAAAAATGCATCCCTAGCGAATTATTCTGCTGTTCCGGTACTTTAATAGTGTATGTGCATACGTACTTACATATATGTGTATGAGTCTAACTTTATTTTTGTTTTTTTAAAACCACTATGAATAAATCCTGAGTCGCGTGGTACTTTACAAACATACATGAAATGAACTCAAAGAGCACCCAGACTCAGAACAACAATTTGTGTATCACACAAAGTGTTGTCCCATGTGGGGATCGAACCCACAACGCTCGCGCGAGGGAACCTCTTAAACCACAACGCCATCCGTGCAGTCAAACTCGTAGTAGTCAAAGTAACTTGAGTAGATACAAATCAAAAACTGCTTGTACGTTTTTTATATTACCTAGGTAGGTAATGTATATTGTGTTTTTGTATATTACTGTTGTGCAGTTTGACAGTGTGTGTATGATATTTCTGTAGCATGTAATTATGTTGATTAAATATTTCATTTCAGTCTATATTTAAATAAAATTTGATAAACTCGTCATAAGTACCTAAGTCTACATTACGTATACAGCTGTTATGTTTGACTTAGACTCTCATGCATACATACATTCACGTCTTTATCTCCGAAGGGGTAGACAGGGCCGTACTTAGAAATATGTACTTAAGTATGTTTATATAAAATTGAATGGTTATACATAAATGGTATATAATTTCGGCCTTTCAATAGGCTCACATTACACATCTTACATGCAAAAGAAACTCAATAGTAAGGTAGGAGTGTGTCACCTAACATAAGGGGTAACCTAAATATAAAGGAGGTGACCCCCCTTATGGGGGGACATTCGCGTAGTACTCATACGAGTACAAAACAATCTCTATATGAATACCAGTCGAGAAAGTTTTTACTCTAAAATGTAGTCACAGGAATGATACTAGCTGTTACAATTCAATTCGTTCAGTTTTTTTCATTCAAAAGAATTATTTACCCGTGGATATTCAGGACATGAACATACCAATTTTCTCGGAAGCGCAAGTACGACAATCATCGCAAAGGTAGTCTTAATTGTATGTTTTTCTTTTGAAAAGAAATAGAGCAGTGGGACTCCGATTCGGCAAAAGCACCTCAAACGGCCATGCCGGGTGGAGCTTCAGGTGCTACCCCGGTTACGGGTAAAGGATCCTCTGGATCACATACAACCCCTGAGGGTGTAACACCTTCTGAGGGTCCAACACCCTCTGGGGGAGCTACGCCGTCTGAAGGCGTTACACCAAATTCGACTGCACCCGCTACGCCTAAACCATCCGAAAGTAAAGTTTAACAAAGAGTAGGTATCGCTTCCATCCTTATTTGATAACTGTTATATTATTATGGCAAATGAATAAATCTACATTTTTTCTTTGCAGACATTACATACAGTAGTAAGTTTGCAGACGATTTTCTCGACATGATGGGAGACGTAAGTATATCAAATAATAATAACTTGAAACATCTCACACACGGCCGTCTGATTCCAAACTAGGCAGAGCCTGTGCTATGATTACCAGATAGCTGATAAACATACTTATGTATTTCTAAATACATGCATATCATAGATAAATTACACCCAGACACAGAACAAATCAAAACCTTCAAGACAAGAGCGTACTCGCTGAAAATGTCCATTTTCCAAAATATTACCATTTAGACTTAAACAATTCTTTCACTTTCGGGTAAATTGAAATCTTTTTATGCATTTTATATTTCCTTTGCATTATTTTTGTTATTGTCTACATACTATGAAACCTTTTTTAAATAGGTAATATGCATCGAGATCCTTGTTGACACCAATACGTACCAGTCCATTGCTTGTGCGGATGATTTGGAGACAGTTCTTGAATTCAGTTTCGTTTACAAACCTGAGTCTACTGCCGTCACTTGAGACACCCATTGCGAAATGAAATGGTTTTAGTGACACATAGGCTTCACAGACAGTCTTGTATCGAGTTCTTGTAATAAGTAAAAAAATAAAGTAAAATTTTAAAAACGAAATTCGTCTATCTTTTACAACTGAACACGCCATGAATGAGGTAACTACTTTTACAAAACTTCACTAGAATCTTTTTTAATTTTCCATGTCTGATTTAAAACTTAATGAAATTTGATTTGATTTGATTTTATTTCCGTAACAGTTGTGTTCATTTGTATCAGATGGGAGAATTGAGACGGGTTCTAGTAACTATTTAATTCAGTAGAAATTTGTGTATAATTAATAGTTTTTTTTTTGTAGGGAGGCGATGATGGTGGTGGCGGTGGCGGAGGGAGAAATCTATTGGCGCGTAAGTAAAGTTACACACCTAGTACAGTTTTTACTATTCATTTATTCTGAGTTTCTCTAGATACTTAGCGAAAGCTCTATTGCAGAAAGAGTCATTATATATGGTTTTATGTTCATCTATCTTGTTTTATTTAGAAATATAAATTATTTTGTTATTTCTGAGTGAAACACCATTTTTCGTCCGTGTAGTGAGGTATTAAAAATACAGAGCGTCACCACCCTTATTCATCCCGTGGGTGTCAACATATGTATGTGGGTGGGTGAGAACATATAGAACTAAACGGCTCAGTGCAGAGTGCCCGCGACTTACGACCAGTGGTCGCACGAATTGCAGCGACCAGTCGCTAGCGCAATTTTTTGTTATCTATTTTATTAGATATAATAATGGATGCAGGAGATTTAATAGATGCATTTAATCACCTATAAAACTTATCTTCTTCTCATGATTTTGATGATCCGAATCCGTAAAATAGAATTTTTCAACAATAAAAGTTCCGATACTGTATCCTTTTCTGCTCTAAGTACTCTTCTTTACGAAGCTAAGCAATAAGTTTGGTCAATGCTAACCTCAAAAAGGTAACTAAATTACTAATTGTCTAACCGGAAGTCGCCGGGAACAAACTCTGCAGAACAACAGCACTGCAAAGATAAAGAAAACTTAAAACAATCCTGTCTGGCCAGCGTGCTATAGTAGGCCAAAACCTCCTTTCTGGCCTATGTCCCTCAGTGGACTGTTAAAGGCTGTTAATGATGATGAGTGAAACAAGAAAAACCATATTTTATTTTAGCTAACAGACTGATTGACCGAATCGTGTTTTGTTAACGTTAATAGCGATTGATTGGCAAAGGCGGCTTTCTTAGGCGCTACGCGTATTTAATAAATCTTTATAAAGCCGCTTTTCAGGGCAGGAGTCTAAACGTGGTTAAGATGTACGGTGTAATAGTAATTATTGATAATAATTCTTATATTTGCAGCGGACCCAGCTTACTTGAAGTTTAAAGGTAACGATTTCTTTGTATTAGATAACATTTTGATTATATTTTATAAAATTGAAAACTTGAACTTAAATTGAAAATTAATATTTAGGGAAAATGTTGGATGCCTTTATGCTTTTGACAAGCACGATGTATAAAAAAGGCGGTGAACAACTATTCAAGCATGGCAAATTTACTCAAACTTACAGCGAAGGAGCTGATGAGTAAGATCAATTAATATAATGTTACTTAGTAAGCTTCTAGTAGGTATTTGTAAAACATCGGGATCGGGAGAGGGCTGATCCCGCTCGAAGGAGGCCACGAAGGGGACGAGGCAGAGGTCGTTAGCTTCCCAACAGTCGCCTAAGGGTCGCTGCGGCCACATCTTGGGGCTATGTGGCCGCTGCAAACGACCCGAGACAGACGACACTCCGGTGCGTCCGGGGGGTGTTGTCCATGGCGGGGCGCTGTTGCGCCTCCTACTGTATAGAACAGTGAAAGGCGCGGCAGCTCCCCGCCCCAGGGTGACTACAGTCACCCCGGGATGCCTCCTGACCCGGCGATGTGTTCCTGGAGCGCCTCCTGACCGCCGAGGTAGGCCGCCGCGGGGTTAGTGGGTAAACCGGTTCTCCGGGAGTGCCACACACGCCCTGCGTTTCCCCAACGGAGGGTATGGTGCGAAAAGCATTCCCCGCGTTAATAAAAAATAAAAAAAAGGTATTTGTAAAACATAGAACATAATTTTCTTCTGTTCTGATTGAGACGTTGAAGCAAATAAAATATTACTGTTCTTGGTAATAAAGGTACGTACACATGTTATGAAACCTCCCTTACCTAGCTACAGCTAATTTGCTCCCCTTTCCCCCCTTATCCCTATATACCTATATATAAAAAAGGAAAAAAGTTCAACAAATGTATACCTAATACCTAGCAACGTAACAAGAACACTGATTCTCTAATCTACAAATATCCTTCTTATATTTCACATTCTTGTAGGTAATAAATAGTACATGTTTATTGTAACAGAACAAGTAGGAAGCATCTGTTGCTGCTGCTAAAATCATGGTCTATTAACAATTGGATAGAAATTAATTTTAGAATACTAGGTAGTCTAGTATTAGCACATAGCAATATTAGCATATTATACATCTAGCATTTCATTCATATTTTCTCCTGAAGTAAACCTGAATTTCCCCTTGCAATCTTACAGATTAAAGCGAGCCCCGACATTTCACGCGTCTGATTACAATTCCACATTATCAAATGAACTAATTAAGACTCTCACAGATTGCAGTAAGCCAGAAACTCCTAGCGATCTTGCACCTTACATGACAGGTATTTAGTTCTAATTTAACTGTAAAATTAAATGATGCCTATAAACTATCGTTCAATCATCCAATATCTTTTATCCTGTCTCATTTTGTTTAAATCTGAGATCCGAACGCTTTTATAAACATACTCATTGCGTCTCTTGCATCTACTTGGAAGAGAAAGTGCTGGCGCGGCGTCTATCCGGGGGGGACCTGAAATAACATGGTCTGGGTCCTTCTCGGAGTAGGTCGCCTGAGTTCGGGCCATGGGGGTGGTTTTTAGTGGAAACACCACATACTCCTGGCCCCTACATCCCCAAGGAGCCGGAGATCCGAAGTTATTTTTCAAACCGTCAACAAATAAAAAAAAGTCCTCCTGTTCCGACAATGAGATAGTGAAATCTTATGCACTCTCACTTTGGACCATGGAGAGATTGATAGTCTCTAGCTAGAGGCTTCACGCACACCAAACATATTACTTTCTCTGTGCTATATAAAAAAGTAATAAATAGTTAAATAGTTTTTAATGATAATTAAATTAATTAAATTATTTTCTTTGCAGAAATGATTGATATATGCTCTAAATATTTATCACAAAATGCTGAATATAACAGTACGTATTATTTTGTATTTTTAATGAAAATAGAAATCAACACTTTAGAGTAGTATTTGACTATCCGATAAGCTCTTTAATAACTTTCCTGACAATGGTTATCATCGACAGTCATTTTGTGATTTATCTGTATTCAAGCATGTAGTAATATAGTAATATTTGTATTCAAGCATGTAGTATGTAGATATACATTAAGATGTATCTAAAAATACAAGACATAGATGGTTTTATATTTTAATGACAAATAGTTAAGATAGATATTTACACAAGATTTCGATGTAGGTATTATTTTATACGCAAAAAAATGTTGCCTATGTGTGTAAAATTTACAAATAATTTGAATTTTTTTAGAGGAAAAGGGCCCAGCATTTCGTATGTTGGTAAAGAAAATGCGTACTAAGAAGACCGAACAACTATTTCAAAAAGAAAAGGTTACAAGATCCTATGGGGATGCCGCTCATAAGTGAGTTTATTCTAACCTTTCTTTATATTTATAAAATGAATAAATCTCTTCCTCATTAATCTTGCATTATAAACTTAAAATTGATTTTTAAAATTCTTCGTCAGTTTGGCAAACCACGCTATCAAATCGGTAATACTGAATGGTCAATAATACAATAAGCATTCATTATTAGTTTTAAAAAATAAAATTTTCGTGTCCGTGGTAATCATAAACAGCATAATCAGGGCCGCCGGGTACGCGGCAAAAACTAATTGAAACTAAAATTAAACATTCTCATAATTTGCATGTCTAATATATTTTTATTATGTCCAAAATAGCAACATCTATTGATTGGTGTACGAAAATAAATGCAAACGTTTATAAGCTTAGAATTACTTTACTTTACTACGAGTATGTACCAAATAATGGATTATTTCGTACATAGAAACGCTTGGAACTTAATTTTAAGATTTACAACCTACCTAAACTACTTAACAAAATGTAATGCCCTAATTTTAAGTTTGTTTTAAAGGTTTTTTTTCTTTTCATGCTTTTATTGATTTAATTTTCTTACTTAATTTTTGGTATAAGTACATAGCTTAATTTTGGATTGAATTGCATGAAATCTTAATAACACAACAGTATTGTTGTATGAAAATAAAACAGTGTTGTTTTATTTTCATTTTACTGTATACATATACTTACATATTTTTCTATAATTTTAAAACTAAAATATGATTTGATGCTATTTTAAATAAATTTTATGAATTACACTTATTACAATTATTATTACACTTGTCTGACTAAATAATTATGCAGGTCACGCTGTCCTGTGATGCTCTGGAATTTGTTTGTCATAGAGCACGTTACATTTCGTCAAACCATAGAACCGTAGTCGTAGGGTAGTCACTGCGTTTAATATATGGTAGGTCTAAGAGTTTGTTAGTATAGCCTAAGGGTTTTTTAGTAGTTAATTATCATAATCGATTTACTCAGAAACTAATTTTTATAGAATATTTGCTTTTAATAATGCATTTCAGGCTTCAAGTCGCTAAAGGCCTCGAAACCGATTACGATGATCCGAATCTATCTCAAGAAATTCAATCACAACTTGAGAACCTAATGGCAGGTTCTACTCCGGAAGACCTAAAAACCGATATGGCAGGTATGCTATTAAAAGTTCGGGTATGGTCAAACCTACCAAATGTAACTAGGTACCAGATAATTAAATTCCCAGTTTTCGAAAATTTAATGTTACTTAATTTTATCTAAAAACGACTTCTAAATTGATTGGCAATACCCAATTTCGGTTAGCCTATTAGTACAGGCTGAGAATGTTCATATCGAAAAAATATACTGACTGGGTTTTCAATGTGATAATTCGGGTAAAGGTTAAATTGACCAAAGATGGTTGCTTGGTACTCACGTACTTGGTGCGTCGATTGCATGGGTGATTACTTCGAATAACAGAAATAAAAAAGTTTGAAAAAATAAGTGCTTTCACTTATTGCATACAAAACGGCAATTTCATAGGTAAAGATCTATTATTTGTTTAAAATACTTTGAAAAAAAACGGCTTGTGACAAGCTATAGAAAAAATCGAACAGGTGCGAATAAACGGTTAATATAAAAAACAGGTAAAAACAATTTTAATGGAAAAACAAAAAAAAGGAGTTTCTAGTGTAAATGAGGGTTGCTGAAGTCAAATTCTTTTCTTTTTTTTTAAATTTGTTCTTAGCTTGTGTGACTCCGAGGAAATCTGTTCGGGGCATCAATTATAGCGTTTAATACTGTTTCTTTGTAAAAAATTGAGTTCAGGTGCGTCCTTTTTCGAGCCGTGATCGTGTATCTATAGTTTATTTTATAGAAGTTAATAATATTTTTTTAACAAATTATTATGATTACAAGGTATAGTGACAGAGTATATATACCCAAGTGACTTAAGAGCGCAATCATAATTCATGTCCAAAGTACAGGGATGATGATAAAACAAGTTCAAATATTTCAATGAAAGTTACGCCGCCCACCAGAAGTAATCGAATTATCCCCATTATGATCTTCCGACAAAACCAATCAATCAATTTCAAGTTTAAGACAGTATCACCTTTTTTTTTTGGGGGTGTGATTATGTCGGACTCGAACTGACCAAAAACCGCACGCCGTCTCGGGCACCAGTAGCCGGGGAACCAGGTGTACAAAGTAAATCCCTGGTACCCCGATGTCCCTTTGACCATCCAAGGCGTGTAGATGACCCCCTCCTGTGTGGGATCCCCCATGTTCCGTTTGTGCTCCTAAAAGGGTGCGCGCGCTCGGCAGCACGTCTCGCCGCCACTCTGGCCTGCTTCCGCTAGAGTGTACGATGGCCTCACCCCCAGGCTTGCGCTTATGGAGGACGGAGGTAGTTCTGCGAAGACAGTATCACCTATCATCAGAACTACAAATGAAGCATGACAGACTTACTTGATACCTTAGTCTCTTTACATCTATTTTACATAAGGTTATAACTAAACCTTTAAACAAATTCCTTGATGGTGATTTTTTTTCCAGAAACCATTGATGTGTGTTCAAAATATTTATCTCAGGAAGCAATTGACGAAAGTAAGTTGTCGACACTTAAATATTATCGGTATTTATCATTAGTTCTCGCATACAAGTACAATAAATTTTCATATCTATTTTCAGTTGAACGCGGTCCGGCTTTTGACCTATTGATAAATGAGTTAGAACATCACGGAGCTGATCATTTTACCGATTTTCGCGTCGTTACCACAAAATTCAAGGCTGCTTACGTGTGTGTATTCACTATTCAAAAATTATATAAGTATTCAGTCAGTCAATCTAGCTTTCATAGTTCAAGCTCTGCTTGGTTTGAAACTAGATGGCCTTGTGTGTCAGATGGCCCAAAAGTATATTCCATACTACAGAAACAAAATAATATATTTATACCTTTATGAAGGCGACAATTAAGTCTCGAAACTGTTAAAATTTTCATAAGTCTTGTACATTTTCGTTATTTATTTTCATTTTCATGTATGTGAGTTTCTTTATTAAGCCCTAGTTCTTAATCGACAGATTTCTTACATCACCCCGAGTAATACGAGTTAGTTATATTGTTTTTGCAAAATGGCAGGGCCATTTTCAAATTTAGAAAAAACTGACAAGATCAGTTTTCGTTATATTAGCCACTCCCTAAACATAGCTATAACGAAGTATCAAACTTTGGATTAGTTCAATTTCTTCTTTTTTAATTTCATAATTATATAGAATTAACAAATTTAAAAGTATATGACGACATTTATCTTCATCATTCATCTTTAGATTGAAATCTGCCCCTGGTTTATCGGCTGTTACTCCTGATCCTGCTACTGTGCCTGTTTTTCAAACAGCCCTGCACGCTGTAGGTGATGCCGTAGTTCCAGATGATTTAAAAGACGATATGAATGGTTAGTAATTACTACAGTACCATAAAGCCTTTTGAGAAGTTTTAATAAACTGAACAATATGGTTCTATGCACAGTTTCATTATTATTATCTTACTAATATTTTGTCAATCACTTCTAAGTATTCCTAAATATTCCCAAGTTAAGATAAAAACAAATATCTATCTAAAAATAATATTCGAGGGAACAATAGATCTATATATATTTGACTTTTTGGTGAATCTTAAACGGATCTTGAATGATTAATAAAATTACATTTTATAACTTTAAATTAATTTTGCTAAAAGTGTAGTATACTTACGTATTTTCTTATTTAAATTGCTTCATGCACTTTCGTCCAACGGTGAAGCGGCCCAGGGCATTTTCTGCCAGTCGACTTTTGGGTGGTCTAGTAAAAGTTTATACTTATACATATAATGTCTGATGAAGTGTATTACTAATATTAGTAACACTGATAAAGTGATATTGCACTATCTCTCGAATCCATTAAAATAGAAGTATTTAAAAACAAGATGCAAGTTGAAATATCTCGTGGTCTTGGTGGTCCTCATTAACTATCATTTCAAGGTCATCGTGTTCTTGAAACTATGCGGTAATAAACCGCATTCATATTTATATTTTCGAATATACATTTTTACCGATTTGGCACGTGGCTCACCACAGCAATCGCATACGCTACGACTGCACCACCGACGCAGTTATTAAATGTTTAGTCAGTAATTCTGTATATTATGTTTTCGTGTGTCTTCTAGTGATGTGCCGAATCCGTAAAAATGTTAAGACCTCAGTCTGGGGTTCGATTCCCGGGTCGGACCAAATGTTTGTGTTGGTGTTTTCTATGTATAATACGAGTATGTATATGTATATAAGTATTCTATCAGTTACACTAGCTTTAATAGTACAAGCAAGAAGAAATCAAAATGTTAGCAGTGTTTGACAAATGTTGACAGTTTCTTTTGCTGCATCAAAAATTAACATTCTTTCTATTATTTTTTGTTCCAAAAGATTCTGGTAGATATATACTTATAGTCACCTCATTTCTTTGTTTAATTTAAAAAATCATTTTAACGCAAAATTATCAAGGAAAACGCAGCATAAGGGAAATGTACAAAATCACAATAAATAACTAACGTAAATGATATTATAATTTAAACAATGAAGTTTGATAATGAATGTTTCTTTTGCAGCGGTTATTGACCGATGTGCTAACTACTTATCCGCCTTTGTACGCGACCGAGGTTAGTTCCTAAAATCCTATCACATCCTATCAATAAGTTACATAGTATAATAATAAAGCTAACACATGGATAAATAAAATATGTTACCAAAATATCTACTTTTACTTAAATATCTTACTTTTAAATATTGTAGTTTTTAAGTCGAGATCAACTTGATGATAAAATTGTGACATTATTTCATTGACCAGTATAACTTAGATTACATAATTATAAATATACATGTCATTGTGTCGACTAGATACATATAAAAAGCACAACATTAAATATATGTTGGATTCTTGTAGCTTTTTATAACCTTTTTCACAACATTTTTAATTTTAATCTTCTACATCTATGGTAGCTTTAAAAGTTTAAAGGTAGAACGTATACACTTTCATATCTCTTCACACTCCTTCGTCTGAAAACAAAATTTGTTTTTCTTTCGTGTACAGATATTGCAATGGCGAACTTATTGAAAATGATGAAGAGCAAACCAAAAAATACAGTCGCTACAAGACCGACCTATAATATGGACTATGGAACGGGAGCAAAAGAGTAAGTCTTAAACATCATTCAAACATTACGCTCATCATTTATGTACAAGTGTAAATAACTGATGAAATCAAGAATTAAAAAAAACCGAAACAAGTTTAAAGTATTAGAAAGAAATCTATTTAAGAGCTTTATTCCTTAAGTTATAGGTTTGTTAGTAAGGAATTTATTCATATCATATAAAAAATTAAAAGCATTTAATATTTTTCAAAGTAATTTTTACGAAAAATGTTATGAGGTAAACGAAAAATGTATATGTAAATGATGTAAGTTTCGCATTTTTCGATCAAAAGTACACGGTATATGCTGTATTAACTGCATTATAATTAGACAAGGGTCATACTCAGAAAAAATGTACATTTGCCATTTGTTAATAAACTGATAAGAAACGAAATGGAGAATCAATGTGACGAAACTGATATTGTAAAGCAGGGTACATACTGAACAGAATACGCATCAAAACTTAAAAAAGTAATAAAACGTCAGTTTTAGATATTTAAGCACTTTAATATTTATAAAAAAAATCTAAATAAAAACATATCTCAGAAATCTAAATCAGGCTCATCCTACCCGATGGGAATAAGTGAATATTCCAACGATACGAATATATCATTAAGACTTTTTAGTTGTTAAGTTAGTGTGACGTAGTGCAGTGAGTGCTACTCTTGAAGAACAAGTACAAAGTGTATTTTCATTGGAGGAGGAACCATAAGAAAAGTACCAATGGACACACTCTTTAAGTATATAGTCATTTTTTGGCTAATAATTTTAAATTACTCATTACGCCGTAAGGCTTGATTGCAATTATTATGAGGGACCATCCAGCTACAAAATAATGAAAAAAAACTCAATTGTATGAATCAGTATGTACGAGTATAATATGCAATTGTAGGTTTAGTAGTAGTTACAAATTAAAATAAATTACAGTTTTCTCGTTAAATTACAAATTATTGTTTAAATATAAAAATAACTAAGAACAATCATACACATTTCTAAAAAAAACAATGAAATAATCTTAGTAATATTATCAAAATTTAATCGGGCCCTTCCATATTTCGAGCAACTAAAGAAAACAAGTTGTCAAGAACCGTTAAGACCAAATTGAAAAAAAAATAAGCAAGAAAGTAATAACAATATTTCTTAAAAATAATATAATTTTTCATAATGAAAATCAGTCTGCAATCTCCATAACAAACAAATTTATAACAAAAAGATATCACCATTACGTACTGCTCCATTATTTAAATATTTTGGTAACTGAAGAATCAACTTAATAAAATAATATTATTATTGATTATAATTATGAATTTATTTCTAATAAGATCACTTAAATATAACAACAACAATTTTTAAAGCTAATAAGAGGTGCAAGAAAGTGAAAAATAAGGGAGAAAATTCTAGTATCTACTACAAAAATAAAAATAAATTACAAATTAAATTAAATTATTAATTGATTATAATTAAATTAAAATAGAACTAAATATAGAATTATAATTAAATAATAAATATTTCCCAAATACTTGACTACTCTGCACAAATAGTAAAATATTAAGTCAATCATATTTTTTTTTAGTTCAAAAGAAGTGTATTGTCACGTTCGGGAATCAAGCCCGTCGTTTTCATTGTACCACGATTACACTTCTGTTCCCCTAAATTAATGTAATAAAATTTTAATAGATAATAATAATTAATTTTTCAAATCAGAGTAACCTCGTAAACTCAGCTTTACAATTTCTCAGTTTCGTAACATAACGCAATATAACTAAACTGAAGACAAACTCTGAGAAATTATAACCCCGAAAAATAATTCTGTTAGTACCACTTATTGTATACACAATAACTGAATTTATTTGTCCATATATTATTATAACTAAGACGTGGGCATAAAATAGTACAATCAATCATATACGAGTATGCTTACCGAAATTCAAATCGTTTATCACCCTGACAGTATTTTTTCCAATTACGAATTCAAAGCAGCAATGTTGTCAATATTAGGAAAATTATTTCCCGTCAGTTTCGAACAACTGCATTCAGAATTATAAGCACGAAACTAACACTGAGTAACGAAATGTAATAATTTTGGGACAACATTAATTTGAATTTTAATAATTTTATTAAACGTTCTAAAGAATAAATCGTATTACTATTTAAATGATGGACTAAAAGAGACCTAAATGACTGCAGTCAATCCTATGTAAGTCGACTAATAGTCGTACCAATTACTCTTTTATTAAGATAAATCGTTATTGGGACATTAAAAAATTGTATAAAAGATATTTTATAAAAAAAAATCCCATACTAATTATACTATGATATGACGAAAATATTATATTATTCATAAAAAAAAGATCTTATTAAAGACTAAACATAGATGTAAACATGATTAAAAATATGTGCCATAATATTCAAATTCAAAAAAAAGCGCCAAATGTACATTTTTCTGAGTAAGACCCACAAAGACTTACGCAACTACTCTTTGCACATCGTCACATAAATTGCCTACAACCATAGCATTTAATTGTAGTTTGAACTACATCTTCGTTGGTTTAATTTGATTTGGTTATCCCTCTATATTCATGTGGGTACAAGTTCAGCAGGATCTTCGAACATGTAAAAACTAAAAGAAAAAACTATTTTTTTTTAAAACAGGACCGAAACCACGCCATCTTTAATACCCTATCATCCTATTAAAGACATCGCGGATGAAGCAAAGAAAAATTTAACTAAAGATATGCAACATATAACTCCACCTAATCTAGTAATTGCTAATAAAGGTATTTTCATACATTTAATTTATACGTAAAGGTGTTTTCATACATTTATGTTATAAGTGTCCGTGTGGTGACGGATTAAGAAAACTGAGTGTCACCACCCGTACTTATCCCGTAAGAGCATTGCAAAGAGGAGGAAAACTTCAGGTCCGCATATTATAGTAGGCCGAAACCTCCTCTCAAGGAGAGGCCTATGTCCAGCAGTGGACTATTAAAGACACACTTATATGAAAAAAAAGTCTGAAGAATTCACAAATTAGTATAGAGTATTATTTTTAAGTCAGGGTACATACTTAAAATTAACACATTTAATTATTTATCCACAGCTTTGATACAGGATGTGTCAAGACATTTATCGCAACCCTTTGCTTTACGAAGTAAGTAAATTTTAGAACGATATTAAAATGCCTTCAAAATTTCTTAATAAATGTATGCTACAACTTTGGCGATAATCATTTATTTATTTTAAAGGTGGTATTGCCGGTGAGAGATATCCACTAGAATTTTTATCTGCTGTGAAGCATTCTTTGGGGACAAGACCTTTGTTTAAATACAAATCTTTCGGTCAAACATATAGAGGTGCTGCTGATACGTACGTAATTTCTGTTCATTTTCTAATAATAGCAAGTATTGTTTAGGTCTGAGCTTTATTCAATATTTAATTCTACTCATTATAAAAATAAAATGTCAAGTAAGTATTTTTATGAAAGATCGGACTTGCGCTATAACGCACTAGCGGTTGACCGCCTCGCGGCTAGCCGCTTTGCCGGGTTAATATGCAACCGCTTGTCATTGTACGCACTTAACCGATATTCATGAACTTTCTGTTGTTTGTAATGTAGCTTGATGCATTCTGGCCCTTTGGAAGTTGATGTCAAGGGAGAGGCAGCCGAGAACTTAAAGCATAATATCAAAGCAGAAATGAAAAGAGGAGTGCCGGAGCAACTGGCACCTACTATTGCGAAAGAGTTACACCGTAAGTAAGAAACATGGTCTGTAGCAAAATATTATTACAATATGCCTATATTGTAATAATATTTTGCTACAGACCATGTTTCTGAACTTTTTTTTTTAATTTTTAGCTACTATGGAGAAGGCTGCTGCACATTTGGCCAATGTTGGAATGGACAAAGGTAAGCTTATTGTTTTTAAATGATACATACACCACATATCACATACTTGTATTTTCAAACGAGTGGACGGGGGATCTGTAACTTGAAATTGTTAGTCCTCTTTGGTTTTTCAATTCTCAGTTATACTGTCAGACAACTAACTTGGGAATAAATTTATTTTGCTGTTTATCAATCAAACAATCGGATGTAAAACGACAGATAGTTACTTGGTCTTTCATGGCTAAGTTCACTGTAAACATGCGCAAGCGAGATGCAGTTAAACAGCTAGTAATACGGTGAACAATTGCGTAGTGGTTTGTTATGTTAAGTTATGCAAATAAAACGTGGTTTTCTGCAAATTTCCTGGTCCGATTTTGCTCTCCAGGGGTTCATTCTCTTTTTTTATTGCGCACATTTTTTACATTCAATTTATTTTCATAGAAGCTGTAGTTTTCACTCCAGATGCGAAAAACTTACCATTTTTTACATTAGTTGACAATATTTTGTTATAATTTTTATTGCAATCCATTCCTGATAGTTGAATTTTTAATAAAAGAAAAAGTCAATAATTCGACCCGTCTAATAGAAAGAATTAAAGTATACAAAGTGTTTACACTTTTGTTTCGTTATACATAGTATGAATGTTTGCATAATTAACAGGAGACACTTTGGAACATCTTATGGTGATGATGAAAGAAAAGGGTGAGTCTCATTTGGCAGAGCTACAAGGATACGACCAAACTTATACCGATGCAGCAAGGAGGTAATTAAACTTATAAAATATACAAAACATTTCATGCTAGGTTAAGTTTATTGGGAGATCCGAAATACTTATAACATTTTCAGTAGTGTAATCACCAAAAGCCAAAAGCACCACAATTTTATTGTAATTAAAGGTGGCACTAAAAAACCAACGACTTGAAACCGAATGTATGTGTCATACAAGCATTTTAGTTTGTTGTGCTTTTTAACAAGAAGTCATTTAACACACGCTAGTAATGCGAGTACACTCGTAACACACTCTAGTAATAGACTAATAAAAAAAAATAACCTATGTTTATTTTTAAATGGATTTTAGAATAGAAAATGCTCCGAGTCTAACCAACGTTATGGTGCAAAAGGATAAATATGTTGAAGTTAAACAGAAGATTACTGTTATGGCTGATGAGAAAAAACAAAAAATACCAGAAAAGCACGCTGAATTGTTACCAGGTAGTAAAGTTCAATAAAATGTAATTATAAAGAATCAATGTAAGCAACCTAAAGAACCTCGTGTCTCTAGTTTAAGCAGTACCAGTATTTCGTAGCGTATCGTTCAATGATGTCGTAGATTGGTTTAGTCGTAGAACAGAGAATAAATTCAATCTGTGTTCTACAGGTTTAGCCACGTAGATCGGATGGCGGTAGTTCCGATCGCGTTGTGTTGTCTGTTTTTCATAAACTCGAATTTTAACATCACGTAAAGAATAAAATTGACAGAAAAACATGAAGTACGAGTAATTGTTGTAAATTAAAAAATGTGTTTACCTAATTATTAACATTGATATTATATTCTTTATATATATTACTAGTTAATGTTATTTATAGTTCATCTAATCTAAGAGGTACCATTCGTAAATCTGTAAAAAATATATGTTATTTACGAGTATTTATACTTCCTGCAAATATATTGTATAAGGCGGACTTAATGCCATAGGCATTTCCTTCTAGTCAACCTTTGGGTTAAGCAGACTACATACATGTACTGGGTATACATATATATATGTAAATATAATTTATACGTAGTATATAATACTATAAATGTAAAAACATAAACATACACACATATATATATATATATACCTGCAATGATGAAGACACGAGTGGTTATTCTGATGACAAGGCTTTTCGGTTGGTGGATTTCCTGATCTCTTGGTCTCCCAAGACATCATTACGTCCACCAACCATCCACCACCAACAAAGATTTACCGCTTGGACAGTGAAGAAAGAATGAACGATACTGGAGTTATGTGAAGGACAAAGAAGGAGGAGATTATTAACGGAGCAAATGGCGAAGGCCTCTGTCATGGTTAGAGCAGAAATATTGCCAGTGGGATATTAGGTAAGTAGATGAGTGAAAAAAGGAGATCAACATAGTCAGCGCCCGCAAACTGCGGCGCTGTCTTATAGGTAACCATGACAATTGCCTGCGATAAGTGTGTACATGATCGTACTTTCGCAGGTTAAATATGAACCGAATGCAATTGTTGAGAAGTCAGTCTAGTTAATTGAGCAGATCTGCATTCAGGTCGAGATAACACACATCACCATAGTCGATAATTGGGCAAAGTAAAGTCTGCACCAGTAACATCTTTATTTTCACTTGGAAAAAAAATAATTTGTAAATCCAAAGAAATGATATTGGTATCTCTTAAGAATCGGATATTGTAGCAATCGATTTCTTTATTCTTCAGTGTCAGAACTGTCAAACGGTACCTTTTAGATTAAATGGACTATAATTACGACAGAGGTATGCAGTAATAAAATAATCATATTATTTAAGAAACTATCATGAGTTATACGTTTCATATTGCTGTATCAGTATATTGCTGTATCTTTTTTTCTTTTTATGGAATAGGGAGCAAACGAGCAGACGGATCACCTGATGGAAAGCGACTAACGCCACCCATGAACGCCTGCAACTCAGAGACACAAGCGCGTTGCCTGCCTTTTAGGAAGAAGTACGCTCGTTTCTTTAAGGTTTAAAGGTATCGGTCCGGAAATATCGCAAACGATAAAAGGGCAAAAGGTAAAGGGTTTCTCCCGTACTATCATCTGCTTAGCTATAGGTGCTACTTGTTTACCACATGTTATGGATATGCAGAAGAAACTGTGTGGGTGGATAGAACACAGCCTTGCGGAGGACACCAGCATTTACAGATTTCAAGTCGGAGCATGCACCGTTGACAACGACCTTAATGCTTCTGTCCGCAAGGATACTGGTTACCCAGTTACACAATTTCTCGGGCAGCCCATAGGAATGGCAGCGCCTTATGCCAGACCCGATCGAAGGCCTTCGCTATGTCCAAACTAACCGCACAAGACTCTCCCTTGGTCTCGATCGCCTGTGCCCACCGGTATGTTAAAAAAACGAGATCACCAGCCGACCCCGGCGAAAACCATGTTGTCGTTCATTGAGTAGCTGGTGATCATCTAAGTACCGGTGGAGCTGGCAGTTAATTATGGATTCCATATTCTTAAAGAACAAAGGGATTTATATCCGTTGGGATGTTCTTATTTAAGGGAACAAAACATTTTTAAATTTGTTCTATGAAACCTAATTTGTGAGGTTTAATTTCGAGCAAATTTTTATAGTTGCGATTTTATATATTTTATGTTGCCCTAAATAATAATATTTATAATATTTTTTAATAATTACAGAGATAATCGATGAATCTTCAAAATTTTTGGCCAAACCATTGCCTGAGAGTAAGTTTCCGTTTATACAAATAATCTGTTAATAATTTGTCTTCATAAATTAAATACCTCTTTTTATAATAACAGCACACGCCGAAAAGCGCGAGGTACTGGGTGATTTGATAGCCAAAGGTGGTGAAAAGATTGTCGGCCAAGAGGGTGTCTATAAAATGACTCATGTAGAAGGTGGTGAAGAGTAAGTTGTATCCTATAGCTTCTGTTGCTTTGCTATTAACTACCAGATGAATATATATTTTATAATATTTCAGGGTAAAATCAGCTCCAGTCGGTAAAACTACTGCCCACGACAACAAAAAGAAAGACAAAATGGTTGAAACGGTGAAAGCTGTAATACCGAATAAAAAAGTGGAAGAAATGTTAAAAGGTTTCTCGTTTTACTTAATATCACTTGTGGGATATTCAAATAAATGTTTCTTTGTCTTACTGGAATATCAGAACTATTTTAAAAAGTATAAGAAATTTACTTCTACGTTTATATCTTCTTACTTACACTCTGATTTGTTCCACCAGATCCAATTGAAGAAGGAGCTGCACACCTTGTGGATACCATTAAAGGAAGAGGTTTGTTCTCAATAAATAGATATTAGGAATATAAATACATGAAAATTATATGAATATAATTTATTGTAGGCGAAGCGCTGGCTGTAATACAGAAAGATATCGACAAAGAAAAAGAAAAAGACTTTCTGACGGTCGGTGACTTCAGCAAAACACATCAGCAGGCTGCTACAATGTATGTTATTTTTTCTTTATATTTTAATAACTATCCTCCTACTATGAAATGAAAAAGCGTAGGTACTTACCAACTGTAGATAGAATCGTCTGAAAGTAAAAGGCACTTATTTAAAACTCTTAGCAATTGGTATGAATGAAAATGAAGTCCAATTCATATAGTTTTCCAAACACAAAATGGTTTGTCCATAAATATCCACTCAAGAAAGCGTTAAATAATTATACTATGTATATACTTATAAATTAATAATTATACTATGGTTGAGCTAATTCCAACACAACACAAACGAAAATTCACTTATTACCTATAGTAGGTAGTCAAATATTTCCTTAAATGGTTTATTCAGCGTGCAATAACATCTTTAGTTCTAACAAAAAGTATGTTTTTAGGTATCTGAGAGGCCTAATTCTTGTGTTGCTTGTAAATAAAGTTAATTATTGTGCACAGGATAGAAGAAGCACCGCATTTCGGCGGTCAGTCACCTTCCCCACTTTTAGTGGACTTGGTTGACAAAAGAGTGACTGACGCAAGAACTACGCCAACGCCGACACACATACCAGAAATGTACATGAAAGGTAAAATTTTAGTTAACGATACTGATATTTACTGTTATTACGAGTATTATTTACAGCGTCAATATGTACAAGTAAAAGTGAAAACATGTTTATACGATTTAAACGGTTAATGATAGTTTACTCCTAAACATTTCAGATGCACAAGACATTACAACCAAATATCTTGCAGGAGTGGCCACTAAAGAATGTAAGTGAACCAATTTATTTTATATACATGATATATTGGTTATTATGTGAGTACCTACGTTCATACTAACAATTAATTTATAAACAACTAGCTGCCGTAGCGGCGCCAGTATGATACACACTGTAAAATTGTCTACATACTACGCAGTATGAGACACTGCCTTTTTTGGTTGACGAGGTGAAAAATCCCTTCGGCTCTCAAATCTGCCACCAGAGGTCCTCATTCTCTGGCAGCCTGCGGGCCCCGTCGACGGCCAGCCAACAACGTCCTCTACGCTCGGGATTGGCCCTTACCCGATCCCGTTCAGCGGTCTCTTTCTGGAGCATTAGAGTTTCGCAGAAAAAAGCCACTGCGCCCCAGCCATCCTCACCCGCCAGCATTGCAGCAATGATGGCTGGTGGGGACAGGTCTCCTTCGATTTGGTCGACCAGGACTTTGCGTTCAAACGGCCACGCGGGGCAGTCTTCCAGCGTGTGTGGGTGGAGTCCCAGTCGGCTGCACAGTGCTGGCATTGTGCAGTCTCCTCTCGTCCAATCCGATACCGATATTTAATGTGCCGGCTGACCTCGACCTCTGTTCCCCTCACTCTAATAAGCGAGCAGGAACTGCGCCTCTGGCGTTTCCTTTCCGTCTTATGGGGTGCAACCCTTTAACCCAGACCAGGCCAGTGATCTTTTGGATGACAAGCCACCCCTAACTTGGCGAGCTCCAGGACCTTCTGCCATATGATGAGCACGGTCATTTGTTCTGTGTTTGGGTGTATTTTATCTATAATATGTATGTATTTAGAAATATAAGTATGTTAATCAGCAGTCTTTTTACCACAGTACGGGCTCTAAGTAGTTTGGGATCAGATGGCCGGGTGTAAGATGGGTGAAGATACTATTAATGTTTTCTTCTATAGTTTATTGTCGCGTACCGTATTAGATGCCAGCTGAAATTTTAGTTGAAAGACACAATTGATAGTATATATGTTTTTATACTTTCTCTATTAATGATCTTCGCAGGCGGTTTGGACCCGAAGGCTTTAGCAGCGTTGGAAGCGAGTGGAAAACTTGGGAAGCAAGCTCCACCACGTGCTGCAGGGTACATGTCACAATGATATCACATCATCATCTTTAATAGTCCACTGCTCGACATAGGCCTCTCCTTATAAAGGAGGTTTTGGCCTACTATACCACGCTGGACCAAATGTTGAAAGTGTCCCAGGTCGGACCAAATGTTTGTATTATCTGCAGATATTTGTTTCGGGAGTTTGGTTGTTTTCTATGTATAATATGTATGTATTTACAAAAAAGTACATAAGTATTCTATCAGTCAATCTAACATTCATAGTATAAGCTCTGCTTAGATAGAACCTAGATGGCGTTGTGTGTCAGTTGTCCGAAAAATAAAAATTATATTTTTATCTTCCGTTTACCGAGCGCCAGTTCACGCGCTACTTTTGACTTGACCGCGTCTCAGCGCTCTTCGTGCTAAAAAAACGGTTTTTGGAGCGTCAACTCTTGACATATAAGCAAAATAAATATCTTTTTAATTTGGCAATTAATGCAATTGATATCAGAGAAAGTGAAGAAGAACGCCAACGACGCTTATTGAGGGAGGCAGCAGCTGAAGCAGCAAGACTGGAGAGGGAAAAAAAGAGAGCGAGTGCGCGCAATCTGGCTCAGGGTTGGAGCAAAATTTTTAATATTAATCTATATATATATAAGAGATTTCCACGTATATAGTCACTCATCACGATATCTCTGGAACCATTAGAGCTAAAGACTTGAAATTTGGTAGGAATATTCTTTTCACCAAGTAGAGGTTAGCTAAGAACGGATTTTAAGAAATTAAAAAAAAAATATTAAAATGTAAATAGCAAAAAGTTTGCAGGGTCAGCTAGTTTTTAATAGATGTGTTGACTCACTTAGATATTTCGAAGCTATGGCCACTTTAATTTAACGAAATGTAGTTTAAAACCATTAACATAGTACACACATTCTGTATGTAGTTTGTATGTATTTATAGACATGTTTATGTTTATGTTTGTTTTTTTATCATGGAAATCATGACTCAGAATCATGGTCTGAATACACTATTTCTGTATTCGGTACGATGTCCCTTACACCTTGTATAGTATACAAACACAATAATATAGAAATACACTTTAAAGCATATCGCGATAAAGTTTGGCAAATAGTGTGCTTAATAAGTTGCCCGTTATTTAAAAAAATTCACCTACGACAAATAGCACGAGAAATGTTAAAAAAAATTCACCTACGACAAATTTTTAGAAATGAATTTAAAAACCCCAAAAATTTAGGTCCCGTCTACCTGGACGTATTCTGAATTGCTGTAAGTAAATGATGAAAAATTATATTATTATGAGTAGTATTATATTTCCACACACTCCCTGTACCTTTGTTTGTTTGTTTTCTTATTTTATTCTTTTTTTTCTCGTCTGGTCCTCATTTTGAATAGGTTTAGTAGTTTCAGTACTCAGCAAATCAAAATCCACAATAAATTGGCGTTAATGGCTATTTCTGCAACTGAGGTGTTTGGGATATCCTTAACCGAAATATAACACAGTTTTTACTAACATGGGAATAGAAAGGGTTAATCTTCACGGCTTTATGTCATGTTGGTTGTATGTATGGACGACCGAATGGCGTAGTGGTTTTTGTAGCGGACTGCTATTCCAAAGAGCGCGGGTTTGATTCCCCGCTCAAGTCAAACATTTGTGTGCATGAACAATTTAATCTTTGTTCTGGGTGTTTCTATGTATAATAAGTATGTATTTACAAAAATATATATATATGTATTTGTATCAGTTGTCTAGTAGCCATAGTACAAACTCTGCTTAGTTTGGGACTAGATGTTGTTGTGTGAATGTGGTAGAATATTATTATTATTATTATTAACTGTGCAACTGTTTACTACAAAGTTTTACTTTCTAAGGTTTTACTATTTTAGTAAGTTTATATATGCTCTCACTGTGTCTTAGTAAAGCCAAAAAAATTGGTATTTTAATTAGAAACGTAATGGCATTAATATTATTTACCTTTGTTTTTATCTCATCCAGTCGATGAAGTCGTTGATAAATAATGCAAAGACTTTTTTTCTTCCTATTCATTGGATTAAACGTGTGCTCATGAATCTAACTATGGACCGACTAAGTCAGAGTTTACTACAAAAAATTGACAATAATATTGTGCAGTGTGCGGATAGACTTAAGAGTAACCCAGTCCCACATCAGTTTTGCACTGAATAGAATTCGAGCTAGAAACCACTCGGTTGCAAGCCCGACGCCCCAGTTATTACGCTATCAATGCTTGATAAAATATCCCGTGATACCCTGCTATGCCCTGTTATATTGTGATTAAATCAAATAATTTATTACAGGTGCTCGTCCCCAAGGAGATAGTGGTGGTAAGCATCAAATACTTGTATTGATTAGTTAGATCAGAAGGCCGATTTTGTAACGGGCTTCTTGTGTGACGGGCCTGTTGGTCTAGTGGTTAGTGACCTTGACTGCTAAGCCGGAGGTCGTGGGTTCGTTCCCCACCCAGGACAAATCATTGTGTGATGAACGCGATCATTTGTTCGGTGTCTGGGTGAATTTACAACATGAGTCTGGTTCGCATAGTACAAACTCTGCCTAGTATGGTATTAGTGTGATAGTTAGATGTGTAAGTTATTTTTATTATAAGTCCTATTTAAAAAAAAACAGTTCAGATCAACTCTTGATCTCTCACAACTGCCATAAAAAGTATTAGGACGTTTGTCGAAATATTTCATCAAGTTTAGATTGTGTCAGATGTGATCTTTGTTTACGTGAGATGACATACATAACAACATGGCATCTTCCACACACAAAATCTTTCGTAATTATTCAGCAACAAATCATCGTTATACATGTTCATTTCTCTTGAAATGCCTGCTTAGTCTCAAGCAGTGACTTGTGAGTACAAATTCACAGAAATTATGTTCTATAATAAGATCAACGCTTAAGTTTTATTCTGAACTTAAAACTAATTTCAGATAATCGGCGTTCAACCGATACCTGAGACGTCTTTTAAAATACAGGCCTAAGATTAGCACATTACCGATTCAATTTTCGGTTACAATGCAAAATAATCTACAGTCAACGTTGGATGTTTAATACTTACAAAATACGAAAACGAAAATACAGTACGAAATTACCTTCCATAACAGTTGTGAGATCGAGAGTTGACGGAACTGAATTGTGACCAAACTTTTATTACGAGAATTGGCCTTCAGCCTGCTTTGCGGTCCAGTTTTTAAATCAGCCACTGCATGAAACAATACTACTACTTGCTCTTTTAAATTATTAGAAAGTATTATTATAATCAAGACTTGTTTTCGCTGTTTCTATATTGATTAGCTTTGTACGATCCATGAATCGACACAAGCCACGCTATATCAGTTTTTTTTGTATGTATATATTTTCCCTGTATGGTAACCATAACCCGTTCAAGCATTTTTCTCCAAAGTTTGCTTACACAAAGGCACAGATGACTATTTAACAACATCTTAGATTCAGAGAAGGAGCGCGCTGCAGCGTTGGACATTTTACACAAACAATTGCAGAGCCATGGCAATGAAGTGTTCTATGAGCAGCCACATCTGAGCCTCACCCATTCACAAGCGTCCGACTGGTAATTATAATGCACTTATACTATTATGTAGTCAGAACATTGACTATTGCATTTTTAAGATGTATGTTACTATTAGCTATTAATTGCCTTATGCAACTTGTTCTACCTGGATTCGCCATCATTTCAGACGCGCTTAATGACTTTCAAGAATGGGGATTGTAAACCGTGGGTAGAGACAAACAGGCACCTGAAGACGGCCTGTGGCACGTTCACCTCACCTTTTAAAAGGTGTTATGTTAATAGTTAGCAAATTAATGTTTGCCTTAAAAACAACAACAGACCAAAATTTATAACTACTACCGACACTATCCGATATTTTTAATAATTTAATAATGATAATATATAAAAAAGCTGAAATGTATGTACGCGCATAACATATTATAAAGAGGTAAAGTTTATGAGTTTGTATGTTCGGGGTAATCTAAGGAACTACGGATTCGAATTGAAAAATTATTTAATTTAAAAATTCAAAAACCCGACGTGATAGAGCTATTCTGTAGTCCAATTTGGATTAATCGCACCAAAATCCTCCGGGAACTTTACCGAAGGATTTCTGGTTTCTGGGTAAGAAACTTTGATAAATTTTGTTGCAATGTGAGAAAGGTAAAACATAATTTGTCTACGCCTATATAGTTAGCATTTTTAAAGAACGAATAAACGATATACAATTAATTACGTTTAGGCTTAAAACGTTGCCTATCAAAGTGGAGAAGTCAGTGAAGGAATCAGGCGATACAGCGCGCCTCCATAAAAAGTTTGAGAAGAAACTCAGCACTCTCGTCAGTCCAGTAACACCCCCCGAAATGTATGATTCTATGCAAGGTACGAATTTAATTAACATTATTTTGAGTCAAGCACCTAACGAAACTTGAATAGCGAGTTATTCTTGAGTCTCACGGAGAGTACTCAGAGGATATTTTCCGCAACTTTCCGCCATCATTCCACATGGGAAAACTCAAGATGGGGTTGAAAGTTACGAACGTGGAAAAAACGTGGAATGATAGCGGAAAGTTGCGGTAAAATTCTTGAATAGTTGGTCTCGAAAATCTGTGCAACAAATTGTACGATCTTCAAATGTTCAAGAAAAGAGCGTACTCCTTCCTAAAAGGTCGGCAACGCGCTTGTGAAGTGATGCCTCCTAAGTACCTGGAACCCGCTTCCTGTTATCGATATCTAAAAAAAGCAATTGTTAATCGACCAGATTTACATTATGAATTATATAAAAACAATTATTTTATCAAAATCTACGCTATGCTAATAACGGTCATGCCGTTCATATTTCAGATGTCATCATAGAAAGTGCTCGACAGCTCTCGGAACAATTTGTTGGAGCAAGTAAGCAAAATTACTATAAAAATGTTTGTGATGTTAAGTGTGACAATTAAGTGTCAGTGCAACCTAATTTCGTTCCGTTGTGAATAGATCACTAAAATACTTAAATTATTTTAGTGATCTATTTACAACACCCAATTGCACTAAGGTAACTAAATATTTAAATTTCAGGCTACGAGTCACAGTCTCGCACTGTCGTCATAGGAGAAATGCAGAAACGTGGTAACGAAATTATCTCTGAGATAGACGGCGCGTCTGAAACATCTTTTTTCGCCGCTCAAAGGTCTATGATGATTTTACCTACTTGAGTAAATAATAAGTTTAGTTTTTATTTCCCCGGTGACACATAATCATATTTTTCTTCACTTGAACAGTAGTGTACTTGAGTAGGTAATTGATACAGCTATGTTTAAGTTAATTCTAAAAAGAAAAACTCCAGCCCAACATTTTTGCTATAGGTACTAGGACTATAAAAAGTAGTACTAATATTGTTTTTCTGTAAACTCATTTTAGGCTTAAAAGGGCAAAAGATTTAAAAACAGATGAACTGTGCACTGAAGAAGCACCAAAATTACAGAAGAAATTGGATGAGATAATGCGGCATTCTACCATGCCTCGAAAGCTTGGCCCAACCGTCAAAGGTAAGGCACCTTGCCGGTCCTATCAGCAACCGCTCATTTTGCATATTAATATTGCATTTTTACTCTAAATTGACCATCGTAACAGAACACACATTATCTCATAGCTTTTTCTTTTCTGCAGACCTCAACAAGGACGCAGCGAATTATTTGTCTACTCTTGTGACTAAACCTCGTAAGTAACAGTCATTTTTAGGGACGCATTTCTTTTGTAAATACACATCGGAAGCAGCTTAACAGTTTGCTATATGCACATCTTGCACTATAGTTGGATTTAAATGTGAAGTCGACGACGTTGATTAAAGCCGCTTTTTAGTTCGGCAAAAAAGATGATGACAGCTATGTAGTAAACGTTATAACTGAGAAATTATTCCAAAATGCTCTAATTAGAGCACTTCTTCTGTGAGTAACATGATCAAGTTAGTTCTCAAAACATTGAGGTATGAACAGAGCAGTTTTTACAAACTTACTTGCACGCATAGTCACTGCACGGTGTTCCGTCTTTCATAGTCATTTTCAGTCAGTTTTAGCATTGCGCAGGTATAACAAGAGCATCTAGTCAAAGCTATAAAAGTAAAAGCATTGTAACTGCTCTTTTTAAAATACAGAATAATAGAAAGCAACACTTGCACAGGACTTGCATTTCTACTTTTGATAGCTAACTACAGAAACACGTTATTTTTACTGATTAAGCTTGTTACAAAGCAACGTACAACATTGTTTGTCATTATAACAAGAGAGACTAAATAAATTTGTACTGCCCTGGTAGAATCATGCACGTTGGCAACTGTAATATAGGAATAAGCGTATAAAGCCCAGGTATACCTTAGCCTACTTGAAGATTTGTAAAATTGGTTGAACACTTCCAAATAGTGAACACGAATGGATTGACTACAGTTTCGATCAATATAACCTATACTGATTTTATTAAGTGATTGTATTAATCAGCTAAATGAATTTTAAAAAACTGACAATGAAACTTAGTTATTAATTTAGTTTTATTACAAAACTATCTTAACTTTTAAATTAGGTATGTGCCTCAATATTTCATAATGTCCTCCAAAGTAAATGTTCATCACATTAATGTTTTCAGCTTTTTGTAATTCAGATAAGGTATGACCAAATGATTATGATCGTAAAATGCTAATTATAATTTCTCTGTGTCCTCAGATGACGAAATCGAGGCTCACGTAGCGCTCCTAGAAGCAATGGATGAAGCTGGAGACACCTTGCTTGTAGAAGGGCAGATACCGAAGACTCAAAAAGAAGGCGCACATTAGTTAGTACCTTATTCCTAGTTGGAAAAAACTATTTGTTAATATATCTAACTAACACAAAAATATAACCTTTGATATTTGCTTCGCTCTGACAGTCTAAGACATCTGACGTCTTTAGAAGATAAAATCAATCGACCAAACAGTTCGCTTCAGTCCACAATTTCCAGTAAAATGAAAACTGTAACGGCAGATGTTAAATCACCTGGTTTCACCAAGTCTGTTATGGACGGTGAGTTTACTAGTACTAAACTTTTCCATGTGCGCATGAACTCGGGGACAACACTGGTATTTTGCAAAATATAAATCGTACGATTTTTAGTACCTAAACTTGCAACAATTTATAGATCAAATCTAGGAATTTTAAACAAATATACAGCCCTTAAAGTGCGGCCCTTAAAGCCAGATTTCGAAGTATTATTATTGTTAAGGTATTTTGACTACAGACATTTACTAAAGAATTTGTAAACACTACTTATTATTTTAATTAATTTCCTATTTTTCCAGTCTTTTAAACCAAACAATTATTTTACAGGAGTTATCAGTCATAACGCGAAGTTATTGACCTCGTATATAACGCTTCAAGGTACGATAAAATAATTATTTCATTACAGAACACCATCTCGTCTTCTTATAACTACTTTTATTTGTTTACCGTTAAATTAAATTAAGATTGAGAATTCAGTTAATTCATAAAGTTTGAATTAGAATACAACAATAAGTAGTCGCTCGGTATTCGATAACGACCGAATGACAAAAAGCACGAATTTAAGTTACATATTTTTATCCACTTATTAACAAGTTATGAGACCACCTAGCTATGTTGAGTGATCCGAAAAATGTTAAAATAAAAGCCAAGAAGACTACTCAGGTACATACTAAGTTACTAACTTTCAGGTGAAAAAACTGAAGCTCTGAACATAATGGTACAGAAGATGGACGAGGCTGGAAACCGCGTGCTGCTGAGACACGGAAATGTTCGCAAGGGCCACAAAGATGGTGCTGACCTGTGAGTGTGCTATTGCATAAATTTACATTTTCAATATAAAATATTATTATTTGATGTGTGTTTCAAGATCAATAGCGATGGAAATCGTCAAGCTGCTTTGATCCCCGTAAATAAATTATAACTGAGTTGGATTTCTCCGTGTAGTCCATTTAGCCCTAATTTTTATTATTAATTTAAATTTAATTTGTGTGTAACTTTGAACGTAACTCGCTGTTCGTTGCATTATATAACATTTCATATCTTTCAGATTACGCGGTAAAACTGCAGATCAACTGAGCGTACAGAATGCAGATCCTGTTGTTGCTAGGAAAGTGGAGATAAAGTTAATCACTTTGATGCACGATAACACACCTCCAAAATATGAATCTATTATGAAAGGTAGTAAACAGTCTTGCGTGCATTTAAATATAGTTCAAAATAAATTGGATTTGCCCTTTTGTTAGATTTTATTTTAGATTATAATAGTTTTATTTTATTTAACAGACGTCATCAAAGATGCGACAACGTATTTAGCCGTACATTTATTGGAACCACGTAAGACATGTTACATATAACTAAACTTTTATGTATTTACATTCAATAAACATAATCTAATTTTTATTATTGTTTAACACAGAGATCATAAAAATATGCAAATGTATGAAAAATGTATTCGTACAATGCGAGCTATGGTGTGAAGAAATCTTAAGACGTGTAGCTAAGCCACCATGCACATGTTCGAGGCATGTCTCTGTGCAAGATATCAAAGAACTTTCACACACTAAACACTTAAGGATCTGTCCTGGATCTGCACGAGTTATCGCGCCTGGTTTAGAATTAGCCATCACGGAATGTCAAGCCGGATATGGAAAGAATCAAGTATGCCAAGCACGGAAACCCACACCGGAGTGCGGTTCAAATGTTACTGCTTCTTATGTCGTACATTCTACGTCAGTCAGAAGAAATGAGTATGAAATTGACCATCCAACCCATATTCCACCAGAGACACATTCTGTTTCGGATGCCTCTGAGTCTGATAATCAATCTTTCTCCCCTTTTAACACAGACTCGGAACGTTCTTCTACTGTAAAATCTTTGTTACTAGAAATACATTCTCAAAACATGCAATATATGCGCAAACATGAACAAATTCTATGCATGGAAGCTACAAAAGATATCCCAGAAACTTCGCCGCCATATCGATCTCCAGTTGGTATTCATAGAAGTACAGCAGTGCCCCGAAAGCAGTTACCATCTTCAATGTGCTCTAAGATTTTCAAGCGAAGTGATGCTTCGAGATCTTCTTTCTCTTCTGTTTCTGAAGAAGTTACGTCTAAATCAAATATATCAGTATCTAAATCTGGAGAAGCTCGTAAGTGGGTTTATAAAAAAATAAATTACCATTAACTTATTCTAGCTGACGCTTGAAATAAATTATTAAACGACAGGTACTTCCATATCATCGGATACGATGGCTGATTGGCACGCAATGATGATTAGTCTAATATGGAATGTGCAAGCGTGGCGAAAATGGATTCAGGAGAATATAGACCGGGGTTCATCATATAAGTATGATCCTAATGGCCCTGAAGGTAAAAGGCTACTTGTTTTTGTTACGTTAACGTTCTCTATTCGATTTTCATCTTTTTATTTATTACTTACAGAAGAACCTGAAAATAGTAGTTGGATTTCCTTTCAGAGAAGAGTGTCTACAGAGGCCTTACAGTGGCGTCAATACAACATTTTCAGTCGTCAACTTATTACGCGACTTATCACACGTTACCGCGACAAAGAAGTACATATTCCATCATTATTTTTGTTTACAAACATTAATCTTTAATAGAAACGAACACTGATTTTATTATTAATAATTTTTATTTAGATATTGTCCCCAAACCGAGCAACTGTGAGAACTGAACGTTACCGGGAATGTGCATCTGAAATGCTAGACATAATTAGCATGTTCAATAACTGGACCCAATTTCTTATTCTAGTAGTAAGTATTGTTACACTATATACACATAAATATGTTATTTTTAATTAACTATTACTCTAGCGCCACCATCGTTTCAGATAAGGGAGACCGGCTCGCTACAAGATACTACCAGTTGTAATATACCTTTGCATGCAATGTGAGTTACCAATCCAATCTTTTTTTTTCTAGAATATTAAAAGTATATCAAGAATTTCTATAATATACCTACTTATATATAAATAATAGCTTTGTTTTTGTTAACAGGCGCTGGAATCATTATAAAAATAAAATAATTAAATATTCACATGACTGGATTAAATACAATTTGCATCTAAAAGAGTGTTGGGAGAAAAAATATGAACAATTTATCTCTGGTAAGTAATCTTACACGGCTGACATTAAATTTTTTAAATCTATCAATATTGAAACTCTCACTGTGAATTTGAAAAGACATAATATAAATCATTGGATTAATTTAAAAACCGAGTTTCAATCAAGTCAACTTCATAAGCTTTTTTAAAAGCATGGAATGATTAATTTAAAGGGAGATTGTTCTTTATTCAATAAAGCTACCGTTAATATTCGAGCCAGAGTCCTTATGTATAAAAGAAAGGGGTGCAGGATCCGAAACCTCCGCGTGGTGCACCCTGGGCAACGAAGACCTTGCCTTTCCCTGGGCTGTAGAGGCACTGCCGCCTACGGCCAATTCGGCAGAGGTGGGAGCGGCCCTCCCGAGCTTGGAGGCTTTACGTGTGGCACCCACCACTGTGGCCTCTGCCAAACAGTCCCTCTGTTTGGCGGAGGCCACAGTGGTGGCCACATATATATATATATATATATATATATATATATATATATATATATATATAGCCAGCCGACTTGAGCGGTATATACTATACTATATTTACTATACTATATATGGGTAATGTTAGAATGCCTAATTTCTAGAAATGAGGTTAACAAGTATCTGTGTCTTCTATATTAACTAGAATTCTGACAAACTTTTTTTGTAAGGTGAATATGGTAGATGCGTCTGCACTATTACTCCATAAGATAGCATAGAAAAGGCTTAGGCGTATTAGCTGACAAGTGCTGTAGCTAAATCTGTCGACTTTTTGATTTCTCGCACGTCGTAAGCGAATTTTGATAATTTTATTCTGACGTTTTTACATGTTGTTTCCAATTCATGTTTGAATCTATAGTGATACCTAGCAAGTTAAAATCCTTTGTTTTATTTTTGTTCCTCGAAATGTGAAGTTTATATCTTTTGGTGTCTTTTCGTAGGGATGGAGAGATATTGCTTTTGTTTAGGTAAAGTTTATTTGGAGGTTACGTTTATTCATCCAATCAGTTGTTTTGGTAAGTAACACGTTTAGGTCTTCGTTGAGGCTTACATCAGTTTTATACGATATTAAAAGAGAGATGTAATCTACAAACACAACAAAACACGTAAAATTCGGAGATCATCTGTGTCTGATCCGCAAGGAGTCAATGCCTGAGCCTGCCACCACTGAGATGGCCGGACCGTGGACACGGCGCTCTACACGCTGGCAGTATGCCCGGCGTCTATGGAGCAGAGGCGTTGCCTCGTGGCGGCCATCGGAGTGGGAAATCTCTCGATCGGTAACATGATTGCCGCTTTGTTACTTGTTATTATCTGATCCTAGAATGTGTTCCATACATCGCGGAACCACGACCCGTATGGGTGGTTGGTGCTTGTGGAGCTGTACCTAGTGGGGCTGTTGCTGCAGGGATTTATGATGGAGAAGTCATCTGGATTGCTAGGACCACCCATAGGTTCGAATTTTAAAATTTGTGTTTTAAAAATATCATTTGTAGATGTAGATGTATATTAATTGCAGATGCATTCTTCGCATTAGCACTATTGAGTAGTTCTGGTAACCACCTGTAGTCTTTAGCAGTGCTATATCACTTAATGGTAATTTTTTCGTGTTTTGTAAAAAAGCTGGTTACTTTTAGTGTTCAATTCTTAATAAGAAAATAATTTTGAAATCTGAGTTAAAAATTGGCAAATTGTTACATGTTGTTGGTGGAAACTTGCATACAAATAAATGTTATCTATTTTTTCTTTTATCTTTATTTTTAAAGAAAACTTTTTAATTAAATTTAGTTAATTTATGTTTTTAAACCACTTCTACTATTTATAAGTACAGCAGTGTAACTAGCTGTGATTGAAATGTTAATTTATTTTATGAAGCTTTCAAAATGGTCTGATGTCAAATAAACATATTATCGAAACAGTATTAAAATGGTATTAAAAATATTGGCCCAATGTTAAACCAAAGTCAGTATCACTTCTGTTTCTTGTTTCAGTATCACTTGTATTTCAAGATTCGCAAAGTGTTTCAATGTAGTTTTTTTTGACAGAGTATAAAAAATTCTTTAACAATCACTATAGCTAGTCCACACGAAATACTGTTTAACTGCGGTAAATTTTCTCATAAACGGTCTGATATTTACCCAGTGTGTTTTGTAAATTTTGATAGGTCCCATGTTTTGCCGGCTGCGTTGCATCCATCTAAGCACTGCTGCTCTGTATATTCTGGTGGCGCCGTTCATTACTACACAAAGTATCAGGTAAACAACACATTGTTTCAATAAAGTAACTACAAGAGGTGTATCGCATTATGGGAACTTAAATATGGCTTTGTCTAGTCAGTACTACGTGAGTCTTGGCACTTGTGTAGCAACCTGAACGCCAATTTTCGTAATAAAAGTCCGGTCAAAATTCAGTTCCGATCAACTCTCGATCTCGCAACTGTCATAAAAGGTATTTTCGTAGTAAAATATTAAAGTATTACTAACACTTGCAGATTACAGATTCAATTTTCAAGGTACAATTCAAAATAATCACTACAGTCAACATTAGATGTTAACGAGAATACCTTTTGTGGCAGTTGTGAGATTGTGACTTCATCAGAACTGAATTTTGACCGAACTTTTAAAATAGCCTTCTGATATGGCTCTTGATTCTTTCACATTAATCAGGCTCTTTGTACACGGTGCCGATCTGGGGCCTGCCCGCACCGGCTCACTAATAAACCTGTTGTAAAATAATAGCCTCTCCTTTCCTCTGAATCTTTTTACAAAACTGGAATGGGGTTGCTTCAATTCTACTGCGATACGGCTGAACTTAATTTTTTTACGCAAAGCGACTGCCATCAAACCTCCAAAACCAAAGTACTAGACGATATCGAAAAGAAAACAATACCCATTTTTATAAAAATCATATCCATCAATATAATTGAGATTACCTACAAAAGATTTCATTGCGGTCTACTAATTTACACAGGTGATGTGCAATGCAGAAGTCAATTGGGTGGCATGGCGTGGGGGCGAGGTGGGCGCTCACGCCGTCCGCGTCGCTGATGGTGTATACATCGGCCGAGTGCACTACCGGGGCTCTCACCTCATTGGCCCTGTTCATGCTCCACAATACCGCTGCCACGTCGTGATCTTCGGTAGACCATTCGCATTCAACTGCTACGATTTACTAATCCTAGCGAATCTGCCCGGACAGTGACTTTACAGGTTTAGACGTAACTAGGTTCGAAATTCTTGGCGATATTTACGTCAAAATCACTAAATTTTTAGACTAAAGATAGTCTTTTTCGAAAAGTCAATCATTAATCCATACCTACAGGTTATTAAGTGATCTTTAATCTGTTATTAACTGTGATAAGTGATCTTTAACCTGTTATTCACTGGATGTGAGGCTTTTTAACTACTTTGTGGTTATGCACATGCTTTTAGATGCATGCAGATGCTTTTAAAATAATTAAATTTCTTTTCGTTTCCCAAATAATAAGTCATGCTCATTGAACTCTTAACGTTTAAGCTGCATATAATGCATTCATTTAATATTTTTGTGAGTCTAACAATTTTAATTTGATTGTAACTGATTCGTGAGATTGTATGCTGGACGTTAAAGTAATGGCGATAGAATCATATTATTTGCGACCTGTGGTCTTTGAAGAATGTTTTATTATGTTTTATACAATTTTTCATTTTAATAAAAATATTTTTTTCTGATGTATAGTTGTTATTTGAATTAATGCCCGATTTTTTTTTTTATCTTTTTAATTTGTTATGGCTACTATAAAATATAGAATACGTAAAAGGCTATGTGTTTCAATTAAGTACAGCAGATAAGATACATACCGGACGCCAAAATTTCGCTTTAAAGCTAAAAGCTTTAAAGCGAAATTATGCATTTTATTTGCATTTTATATTTTATGGCAGCATAACAATCTCACATCTCACACGACCGTCTGATCCCAAACAAGGCAGAGCCAAGTACAAGAACAATTTATCTTACAATTATATAAATTCTTCATTGAACAATTCAAATCTCAATCAATCAAAAATTCTAATTATCAAATATTAAGTTGAAAGTGTGACGACCGCGTACAAAAAAAATTGAGACCTAATATTGGGACTACGACATGGTTTGACAATATAATAGACAAGTTGATCATAAACCTGGATAACCATTCAGGTTCTGAGGAGGATATGAAATTGAAGACATGTCTAGTAATTAAGAAGAAGATATGGATTAATGTTGTAGTGGTAGTAAAGATATTTTAATTTACTTTTTAAGAAATGTTAATTTGTTTATAAAACTGTTTTGTATCATAAATATTATTAACCATATACATTTTATATCAAAGATCGTATCCATTAAACCATAAGTGGGTTCTGTCCTGAGACACAACATTTATGACGAATATCTATGCATGATAGGAATCACGGAGCAAATACAAAGAGGAGAGGGCCATCTCAATTTTTGTGTTTTTTGAAATATACCTAATTACTTTTATTCGTCACAAGATGATTAAACTTTGTATAATTTAAACTAAAAATACAATGATACGTAAAGCTTACTTTAGTCAGATAATACTGATTTTTTTCTGCATTCAGCAAAATATTTGGATCAAGGCCCTTTTTTTGTTACTGTCATGACGTCAGGAACTAGTTGGAAGCACAGTGCACAGTTGCTTAGACCCTCTCCTCCTCATAAGCCCCTTGAATGTAAATACTCTATCAATATTCAGAGTAGATTTTTACCGCAAGACATTTATTACAAAAGTTGTAGCTTAGTTATTTAAGTCATTTTAAGCTTTGGTTATTTTTATTTTATGAAATTTGTTCTTTTCTCAGATATGCGTTCAAACGCGTATTCAGATGCCTACTTTGAAATTAAATATTTTAGTTGATTTTTAAATAAAATTCCATTCATTATTATAATTTGTTTATAGGGTGAAAATCATAACCCTCTTTGTCTCCGTTGTGGGGACCATACGATAAAAAGATAAGCCCTACACATACATAAATACAGATAAAAGGGAATAAATAAGAACATATTTTAATGGTTATCCGTAATTTACCACTAACGTTTTTGTTCTCACACTAGCAAAAAGCTCCCAGCGCCTATAAGTCCAGGTAATAATCTATCTGCATACCAAATTTTATCCAAATCCGTCCAGCCGTTTGAGCGTGAAAAATAAGACATACACAGTAGGTACATAGCGTGGGATAAGTTAACGACAACGTAAGAGGACAGAAACTTTCGCTTTTATAATATTAGGGAGCCTAGTACGATTATAATATAAATAAGATTTAAACAATAGATGTAAGTATGGTTAAAAAAATATATATTTAAAAAAGCCCACTGGCACGAAAATCCTTAGTACGTCCTTAACATCCTTCACTTAGTGTGAGATAGCTAAACAGCAACATCGACATAGAACGATGCGAGTAGTTTTCCTATTATTTGGTAGATGGAAAAAGGGAAGTGGGCGGAGTTTCATAGGAAAATCTAATTACAACACCTCTTTATATTTGCTCCGTGATAGGAATTATGGAATTAGTCTTAGAAAAGCGTAAGGAATAGCAAATATTAGGAACAATTATACGATTTGTAATTTAAGGAAAGAAATAGCATAACCCACTTGCAAAAGAAATTTATTGTTTGCCAGTTAGAATTATATTTTGCATTGCATAAATTTATTACGCTTATTGGAAAATATTTCTAGAATGGCAAAGATTTGTTTTTAATAACCAGCAACACGACATTCTTCTGAGACTGACCGAACCATTCATATTTGAGTCGCGGACCTTCATTTTCGAAACAGATAGAACATACGAGTAGGTAATACATAATTGACTGATGATCGTAGAGTATAACTCTAAGTAGAAACCTTCTTAGCTGTAATAGATTTAAGACAAATACACATTAGGCTCATTTTAAATCGCATCTAATTTTTAAAAATTACTTTTTTACAAATTCATGAAACACTTTAATGCCCAATCCCAAAACTTAAATACCATTAATCTGCTTTTTATCGTCTTGTATTTCGACTGCCAATTCAACCTTTTCAATGATCCCGCTAGTTCCTGATAATCTTACTGTATCCCCAGTTTTGAATACATCAGTGGCGAAAGCTGCTCCAACGATGCATGGTAAGCCATATTCTCGAGCAATTACAGCACCTAAAAGCGAAATGGATTCATCTTCAACATTTTAAAACAATATTATCTGGCGCTGTTGAGGCTCTGATTTCAGTTTTTATATTTTACGATGCATGACGGTTTCCTGATCTTACCGTGTGATATAAGTCCACCAAGCTCGGTGACTATGCCTGTCAAGAGCGGGAAATATGGCGACCAACCGATGTCTGTGGCATGTGTTATTAAAACGTCACCGCGTTGCAATTGACCAATCTATAAAAGTACAAAATAATGTAGTAATTAATGAATGTAATACTAAATTTCAAACAACAAGAACAAATACAGAGTTTACAGAAATAAATTATTTACCGTCGGCGGTAGTCACCGGTGAATAATTACAATACAGTAAGGACAATTAGGTGAAAAGTTTGCTCGTTAAGTTTTGTTCAATATGTGATCATATAGGGTATTCTACTGTTTTGTTAAAAATAAACAAAAAAATATGTTGGCAAATAAACCGTTTTCGTGCCATAAAATTATATTAAATTTCAAAACTTTTGTATTTTCGCGAAAACGCCATATGCCAAACGACAGGCATTTTTGTGACGTCGTGTTGGTAAAAACAGCGTATCGTTGGTGTGTAGTGTCTAGTTGTACAAATCTAGTATTTGTACAACTATACACTACACACCAACGATACGCTGTTTACAAATCTAGTATTTGTACAACTATAGTCAAACCGCCGTAAGCTTGGCCCTCCTGATGGTTTGGGGGACGCGGGGCGGGGGTGCATTCAACCAATTAACGAGTGCTTCGCTGTCCGCCGGCAGTGACTGACGTGAAAGCATGGCTGTACGTGTTATTTTTCTTAAGACTGCTACACACGATATTATTTTACAACATGGATAATCTGCCGACTCTGCGTCACAAAAAGATTTAAAAACTTGAAGTTCGGCTTCAAGAGGTTCTACTGTTAAAGTTCTAATAAAGAATATTTATTATTTTACTTAATTTTTAATTGTATCTGAATATAATTTAAATGAAAATAAAATCACCTTATCTTGAGATAAGGTGATTTTATTAAAATTATTTTACAGTATTAAATTTTACAATTAATCATAAAAACTTACAATACACTGACACTATAATACATCGTGTGTAGATTAAATCTCAAACAAATAAATCTGAAGATATCGAGTTAGTACATCGTGTCATGTATAGCCGAGCGCATCACCCGCCCCGCGTCCCGCAAACCATCAGGAGGGCCAAGCTTACGGCGGTTTAACTATAGACACTACACACCAACGATACGCTGTTTATAGCAACATGACGTCACAAAAATGGCTGTCGTTTGGCATATGGCGTTTTCGCGAAAATACAAAAGTTTTGAAACTCCAGAAAAGTTGTTTATCAAAGTGCCAGATGAAATTGAAATGAGGATATCATTCACCTTAATCATTTTCAACTAAAAGTCGATTGTATTTATGTGAAGATCATTTCAATGTAAGTAAAACCCCCTAATTATATTATTATAATTAGGGGGTTTGTAAGTGTTAGGTATACCTAATTAGTTAAAAATATTGTAATATTATTATTACAATATTTTTAACCAATTAGGTATACCTGGCACTTACATAGAAAAACAGTATGACATAACAAGTAATACTTACAAAGATGTTTTAACATTCCGGAATTCGGCTGAACATTTATGCTTGCAAAGAACTTTGCAACCATAATTGAATCAATTTTTGGCAGATTCGTACTATCTGCTTTTACAAAACCGGTTTGCATTTTAATAAATAAATAGGTACAAATAAAATACAACGAAAGAACACAATTAATACTTCTTATAGTTAAAGTTGATGGATATGTACCTACCTAGCTGTTTACACTGAATTGACAGTTTTTGCCTTAATGACGTCACAAGATGGCGGCTCGTGTCACTACATATACAGATTAAAAATTACTAATTTCAATATAATAAAAGAATAATGTGTTTTTATGACTCAAAATCAAAATATTTAAGTATATTTCTACATAAATTTTAATTTTAACAAATTTCCCAATTTATTTTTCACTACCTACATTTTTGGTAGGTACCCTATTGATTTTTTGTTTTCATTATTTTGACTACTTTGCGTGTTTATGAATACTATGAATCTGTTGCTGACTGTGTTATCCCTAGAGACCTCTGCATTATTGGTATTCAGATGTCTAGACTCGCACATACCTCTGAAAGATCTTTTACAACACAGGCCCTAGCGACAATCTCTCCACCACAGACCGAGGTGGCCTGTATTTTCACGTCTCCGGCCGTTACCATAGGCCCTTTCATTTCTAAAGGATCCAACCAACCGGTGTTGAGTTCCGCAAACTTCAATTTACACCAATTCGGATAATACTGTTGCCGTTGCAATGCCCTGTGGAGCAGAAAAATAAATCTATTATATTGCATACTTCCGTGTAAAGTAGGTTAATTGTAATTCGTTTTTCTTTATCTTTTTGTGTGTAGTAAATATAGATATTTCTAGGTTAGAAAACAAACTAGACAAATATCACAAGAAATAAGATATTTCTTAAATATAAATGATATTAAAAAGTATGCCCAAAAAAAATTCAAAGAATTGTCATTATTTCTGTTCGCGCTACTCAATTTTAGTGGCTGGTAGTAAAACGTCGTAGGAAGAAAAGAGCACACCAATTTAAAAGAAACAACCCAAGTTGTATTGTCCAAATTATTGTTATATAATACGCAAGACAACGTATCTATGTAATGAATTGAGTACTAAAATAAACGAGCTTAATTTCAGCCTGAATGTCATGTTTGACTACTTTGTTTGTAATTTCAAACATACTTACTTTTTTAACAATGCAGGGTCTCTGTTTTGGTAATAACTTAACAGTTCCTCAAAACGGAAAAAGAACACTAAATCAGGGTTAGGTATATACCACTTTCGCACAAGTAGTCGTCCTAGTTGTAAACATCCTAGTCGTAGTTTATGAATCGCCAGGATTAGGTGAGCTTTTGTACTTTCTCGTTCACGCACAGTACGCTGACATAAAGGTAAGAGCCATCGCAATATTTTTCTGAAAACAGAGCCAGAATTATTCCCATGTACATTAATAGTAATGCTCACAAGACACATACCAAGATATTGATATTGTTTGCACGGAATACATTGTGGAACATAAGGTAGAGTGGACAAATTTTATTGCTGAAAATATTTGCACTGCAATCATATTTATTACTAGCCCGCGTCCATTACTGTTTTATATGTGTGTGTGCAGGAATTAACGCAGTCGTGTAATAAAATATTACAAACTTTGCAAGAGTAGTAGTGTAAGTTCATTTTCTTGTAGGTCAATAATGACCACTGTCCTGAAAAGACTACTTTCTTGAAATGACCACTTTCCGGAATGATCACTTTCCTAAATTGACTACTTTCCCGAAATGACCACTTTTAACCGATTTCAGCAAGGAGGAGATTATCAATTTATTCGGATGTTTTTATGTATTTTTTATGTAAGTTCCGTCATATATAGACGGATTTGCAAAATTATTTTCTTATTCGAAAGGGGTTTATTTCAAAATGGTCCCATTTAAATTCTGATTATGAATTTCGGAGACAGACAACGGAACTCTTCCAATAATGACAGCAAATCAACCGCGATTGCTGCTAGGTTTTCAGTGCACTTTGTTAGTATTCTTTGAAGACGGTTCAACTTTTTTTAAAGGATTTATATTTTATTAGTGATCCGCCCCGGCTTCGCACGGGGGCAATGTAGATACTACCAATACTACTAATGTGGTGTCAGTGTGGAGTAATTAATTATACTATTATTATGATAGCACTATACTGCAGAAAATCTGTAATGCAATATTTGTAGGCCGCTGCAACCCCGGGAAAGACATACGGCTCGACGCTCGTTGGGCCCCCGCATTTCAAACCTCTAATATCTTGTAAAATATTCTTTTTACTGATATGCTGTCACGAGCAGTTTTAATCTACATTAAGTGCACAACGTATCTAACGTATTTAATTGGATAAGGAATAATGAGGTATTGTTTATAATAGCTTGGTACATAATCCATTATTTTTTTGTAATATTTAATAGTAAAAAATGGTTACTGTGGGTTATCGTTAAACTGTCGGGATCATTTAAGATATACAATTCCATAGTACATTATTTAGTTGTATCTCGTAAGGTTTAGCCAGCGTTTACAATGTAAGCGTACGAAAACAAATCACATTGCAAATCATTGAAATTCTCGGATTTTCTTTACTATAATATGCATGTATTATACATATAAACCTTCGTCTTGAATCACTCTCTCTATTGGTTAACCTTATTAAAAGCCGTTTCTTAGTTTAAAAGATCTAAGCGTACAACACAAAAAAGCGACTTAATTTTATACTATATGAAGAAATAAAATCTTTACCTACTTGCCGCATTAACACTAAATTATTAATAAATAGCGATCCTTCCCGGCTTCGCACGGGTGCAATGACTAATGTGGTTACAGTGTGGAGTATTAATTATACTGTTCTGTATTATGATAAGACTATACCACAAGAGGATATCTAAATACGAAATATATATACATCATGGAACGCGAACGCTTAAAAGTTAGTACCAATTCAATAACGTTGGTTTTAAAAAATCTGTAAAATTTGCCTGTATGTTGTTGTTTTATTTAATAATTATATGTATACCCAAATATCTTAGAAACTCATCAACATTTTCAATATATATATATCAATATTTATACCTACTCCTAAAAATTCAACGTTGGTTTGTTTACAATAGTAAATTTAGCCCTCCCCAAAACATTTATATGTTACATACCGAGTATTAGGAAAGTATTGGAACAGTAGCAAATTTCGCTGGGAATGCATTTTTCGGAAATACGTTGAATACAAAAGTTACAAGAATTTTCCCTGGCTATCAATCGGTAACCTTGAAATTGATCTTGATCACAACCTTGAAGGTTATCTCAAGGATCATCAATCAAGTCAAGAGTAATTTTCAAATGGGATTACATATTTTTGAGCCCGGAATTGAATACAGAGGAAAAAATTACAATTAAGTAAAATTAAAAATTAAATCTTCAGTACGCAAATTGTGACCTCTAAAGGTCACGATTCCAAGGTCACTTTAAAAAGATCGTGACCTTGAAAATAGAAACATTGATGTCTACTTACGTATAAGATATAGCGAATCCACCGATAAAAGCTGGCTAAGTAACAATAGCAAGCGCGCAAAGCTACATACTCGTATACCTACAGTTACTAGTGTCCCATACAATATTAAAAAACTAGATATATTGTACTTACTTTGTCATATCTTTCTCAGGGGTAGTTAATGACGCAATGATATCCTCAGTGTTCTTAGTTTTCGTTACTACAGTAGATACTTGTAAATTCTGTAATACTTTAATCAACTCTTCTGGGACCAATACCCATGGTTTTGTCAGTAAATCAAACTGTAATAAAATTATGATTTTTGATTTAGTGATCTCGATACAGTACGTATTTATACAACAAACAATTTTGTCATTTCTGTTATTTTTCTCGAAATGTTTTTTCATGCAAGGCCGTTTTTTATACTACAACTTTTTTCGAATAAATATTATATGTAATCACCTCCATAACGGCTCTATATCCGTGATGCTCCAAGAATGTGCACACGTCCAAGTACACAGCCGGAGCATTCTTTTTAAGCCATTGTATACCTGTCTTAGGATCCTGATCTCTGAACTTTTCAGCTAAACCAGAATGCTCCAACTTTTGAACTATGTTGGCCATCGCTACCGGTAACTCGGCTGATAGGACATCGCCGGAACTGAAGAGGCTGCTTATTTCGTTGCATTGTTCCGGTGTGAAATCTGTTAAATATTATTTATTTTTATATAGCACTAACTAAGAGATGTCAAATCTGAATAGGAGGCAAGAAGCCTACTAACCGGGCACATACATACGTATATATTTCTAAATACATATTTTACAGATAAATTACACCCAGACCCATAAAAGATGGTCGTGCATATCACACAATATTTGTCATGGACAGCGAATCCACAACCTCGACCACAGGCTTAGCGTTCAGGATCGCCAACCAGTAGACCAACAGGCTCGTCAACAATCAATCAGATCCAAAAACTAATTTAATAAAAACAATAGGTCATGTTTTACCGGTCACCCTACCATCATGAAATTTCGCATAAACGTTGTTGCTGAGCATGTCATAGGGTATCTTTTGTACAAGATGAAAATAATAGTCGTAGAGGAATGCTGTCCAGATACTGATTCAATCATCAACAGCCTTTACTAGTCCACTGCTGGACATAGGCCTCTCCTTAGGAAGGAGGTTTAGGATACTGATTACGTTGCCTGAATTGACTTTCTTTAAACTTTTAATAATAGTCATTGATACTTGCAATAATTATCTTGTTTCTGTATAACTATGTTTGCCGTTTAGCACCATAAGCCCTACTTTTATTTCTGCGAGTAAGACATTACTGGCGTTGGCTCATTGAAATAATGAAAATATAATGGAGCATGAATAATAGGAGTCTCGTAGTAAAAAGGTGACTTTTGGGATCGATGTTTTTCTGACCAAAGGTATCATTAACACAATCGTGTGTCTTCGTTTTCGGGAGCGTTTCCATTTTGGTTACAAATTGTGAGGGGTACAGAAACGGAAAGGGAGCTTTTCCATTATACTATCGGAACATATATACATTCGGGTATGTAAAATTTATTCTAGATAAAATTTCCTCGATCGCTTTATTTTAAGCCTCGCTTTTATTGATTTTTTTTCTTTCTTGTTTGATTTGAAAAAAATATCAAGTATACGATAGTCACGACATTAAGTCTATAATTGTAACGAAAATTCAAGAGCTTTACCTGATTTTCCCTCGACAAAAACACTCATAGCTATGATTTGACTGGCTGTGCTCGCACTACTCGTCCAGGCATGATTACCTGAAAGTTCTTCCATGGTCGATTTAGATTGTTTAATACAATTTAACAACCTCTTAGGATCTTCTGTTAATAATGTATAATTCAATGTGTTCACAGTTTGGATGGCATTGTCCATTTTCTTTTTTGACCCCCATAACGTCTGAAATGAAAATGAATCGATGTCAAATCTACTTAGCCAAAAAAATCTAAAGAAAAAACAAAAGTCATCCTATTATTTCAACATTTATTTGAACGTCACGTCGCTGAATTCTCGGTGCTAGAACGCGCTTTCTGGAACATTGCTTATGTCATTAACTATTTTGAAACTACTTTGGTACCTACTAAAGAAAATATCATGTCTATGTGTGCACTTATAACTATTATTTACAAGTCATCCTAAACACATTCGATTACAAAACTATGGTTTTAAAGAACTTAAAGAAAGACGTTTTAGAACAAGATGAACCTGGATAGTTCGTGGGTGTGTCTGATAACAATTTCAGACAGGCTTGGCTTAGGAACCTTTGGAGAGTCATGTTTCGGCACGAATGATCCAGCTCGACCAGAAAGATACCACGACCTCAAATGACGTTAATTGAGTGAAGTCACCGGCGCCAAACCCTCCTTCCCCCGGAATCTAGATCAGGGATTCCCAAAGTGATTGTTATCGACCCCTTGGGGTCGAAACCGGTTTCTCAGGGGTCAACATAAATGACACTGATTTTAAGGCTCAACGAATTCTAAAAATCCCTGCTCTAGAGCTCTATTATTCCAATAAGCTTCTGACATTCAACTCATTTATAAATAATCTTACTAGAAATATTCATTTACCTTGATCATGAACCAAATACCAATTATCTTATCAGTCCAATGTGGTTGTTTTCTATGTAACGCTGTACTATATATTTCATCTCCAGCTACTTTGTGCCCATGGATAGACATCTCCAAAATTCGTATATTTATGTCTATTTTCTTAGGGACTCTTTTATAAATTGTCTGTGAAGAAGGACATATTTAGTTAGGTACAGTTTAGTTTTCATGTAGCACCACTGCAGCACTAACGGCGTTTTGTTTTGCGCCATATGCTATTTTGTTTCTGTTTGTGCCTATGCAATTTAGGCTTGCTGACGTTTCGGAATATTTTCAGACACTTGTCTAAATTGTTAATTTTTTAACATAAATATTTTTTCACTGACAAGTCGGACACCACCCAAAAAAGCTGTTTTATACAGTCAGATTAAAAAACATGGTTTGCTTATCATATATTGCCGCTACTGTACATAAATCAGTTAGAGTGCAGATTAACTTATTAACCTGCAGATTATCTGGTTGAGTCCGTCGAAATGGAATAAATTGTTTCAGTTTTTAGAGTAACTAGATAATCTGCTGTCTTCAGCCATAAATATTTTCGGACGTCTTGTCCGAATTGACACTTTTAATTTAAATAATTTTCACTGACAATTAGGACACCATCCAAAAAACTATTTTGAAAAATACCAGATAAAAAACATGGTTTGCTTATAATATTATATGTGAGCACGGAATGCATGGTGCGACACTCCGAGTTCTCAATCCGTCACCAGACAGATAATTAAGGTTTATATATTTTGTAAATAATCAATTATACTAAGTGAATCAATCTTATTGTTTTCAATTTGATGCATTTTCCGGCAGAAAATTCCAGTGATTTTCGATTCAGAATAATGGTCTGAATACACTATTTCAGTATTCATTACACCGTCCCTACACCCTGTTTATAAATTACAACAAGTTCAAAAGTTATTAGTATATACTTACATTGTACAGAGGCAGAATGCATCTATAATGTGAAAATATAACTGTATTATCATATCCACTGCCGTTACCGTCTGTCACGTAATTTATTCCGTTAACAAGCGGAGTATTGACCAAGTCATAAGACAACGGTGTTACAGGTTTTGGTAATACCTAAAAATATAGCCAGATTAGTTTATATTTATACAAATGTGAATGACACCGCGGTCTCCCAAAAAAATGGCGTTAAGCAATTCTTTCGTTGCCATTCGTTTCGTTCGACCCAGGCTGCCTCCGACGTCGTTCGTGCTTCGTCGTCGTCGCCCATGGAGGAGGTTGTAGAGACGGCCCAGTAATGGACCAAGTCTCCAACCTCCTTGTCCAGACGAACCTGAACCACTGTGCAGGTGCGCAGGACCTTTTCCTACAAACCACGGAGCAGTGGTCGATTGGTGTGGCCGCAGCCGCGGAGCCCTATTATGTTCCTCCCCGTCAAAACTGGTTGGGTGACCGGGACGGCACCGTGGCAGTCGTTGGCTCTACGGCGGCTCATTCCCCGCGCTTGTCGTTAAGAGACAAGGGCATTGGATATGTTGCTGCCGAGCGGGGGGATCACCATATAGTGTTTACTTCTCCCCCAACCGGAGTTTAAGCGACTTCGAGGTTTTCCTCAACAACTTGGAGACCTCGATGCGGCAACTAGCATCTGGGCACGTTCTTGTGCTGGGGGACTTCAACTCAAAATCCATTGCTTGGAGTTCCCCTAGGACGGACCCCCGCCCTCGCCGCACGAGTAAGGAACTGGCGTGTCCTGGAAGAAGTTGAGACGCTCTCCGATCACCTGTATATCTGATTTAAGCTCTCCCGGACCCAAGACCGAAGTAAGGGTCACTACTACTACATTGGGGGGGGGGGGGGGGAGGCTGTTGCTAACTAAACAGGGACCTACAGGAGGAGGCAGCCATTATTCACTCCTCGGGCCTTCGGCGGTCGACGCTGTATTGCGCCTCAGGACTGTGACCGAAGAAGCGGTGAGCCGTGGCGGCGTGCTGTTGGCGGTTTAGTTGGACATCGCCAACGCATTCAATAGTCTGCCATTCAGCTGTATCAGGGAAGCACTCCACTATCATGAGGTGCGCGAGTACCTGAGGCGGCTGGTGGCAGACTATTTAGAGGAGCGTAACGTTATGTACGAGGACTTTGAGGGCTTTGAGGCGTCGGCAAATGCCGTGCGGTGTTCCGCAGGGGTCTGTTCTTGGACCACTCCTGTGGCACATAGGTTACGACTGGGCCCTTCGAGATCGCCTCCCCCCGGGCTGGGCCTTATTTGCTACGCCGATGACACGCTGGTTACAGCCCGGGGAGCGGACTTTCAAGAGACCGCGCCTAGCCCCCAGGGGAGTTTCTCTGGTGGTCGGGCGCATTGAGGCGCTGGGCTTACGGGTGGCCCTGGATAAGACGGAGGCTCTCTTGTTCCATGGTCCCGGTCGTGGTCCGACCCCCGGAGCCTCACGTGGTCGCTTCAGGCCTCGTACCGCTTCAAGCCCAGATGAAGTATCTGGGCCTGATTCTTGACAGAAGATGGCTCTTCGACGAGCACTTCCGACAGCTTGCTCGAAAGCTGGTCTGCGCTGCATGTGCCCTAGGGCAACTTTTACCCAATTTGGGTGGACCCAGCTTCGCAAAGACGGCTGTACACGGGGGTAGTCAAGTCAATGGCACTGTACAGTGCACCGGCGTGGGTGGCGGCTCTGACCGCCCAGAATAGGGCACGCCTCTGGCGCCCTCAGAGGATATTAGCGGTTACCGCACCGTTTCGACAGAGGCGGCGTGCGCATTGGCCGGTACTCCGCCGTGGGATTTGGAGGCGGAGGTGCTCGCCGAAGTACATCGGCGGACGGCTGAGTTCCGGGCGGATAGTGGCAGTAGTCCCCGCCCGAAGAGATAAGCGAGTGGCGTGAGGCCGTTCGTCGAGCCACGATGGCTCGTTGGTCGTCCCGGCTGGGTGCTCCACGTGCTGGCTTTGCCGCCGTTGAGGCGCTCCAGCCGGTCATCGTCGAGTGGGCCGGGCGGCAACACCCTTTCCTTCCGCCTGACGCAGGTCCTTTCCGGGCACTGCTGCTTTGGGAAGCACCTGCACTGCACTGGGTCGCTAGGATGGAATTGAGTCCCGCCTGTCACCACTGCGATTGCGGTGAGGACTCGGCTTAGCACACGCTGGCAATTTGCCTGGCTTGGGCACCACATTGCAGTCATCGAGGGGAGCTCTCGCTACCGGCCGTCATACGCTTTATGGCCGGTAGTGATAGATGTTTCACCGCGGTCGCATCCTTCTGCGAAGACGTCATCTTGCTAAAGGAGGCGGCGGAGAGGGGCCGAGAGGACAACCTCAACTAGGACCCAATCCGTCGCCGTTGAACCGGGCGGTGGAGGCGCCTCATGCCGCCCTGAGTGTGGCCCGCTGGTGGACGGGACGGGTTTTCTCCTCCACCCGCCATAACGGCCAGCCGCGAGGAGGTTACGTCCGCGTGAGCCGGATCGGTCCGATTCCGACACATCACCCTACCGCAAACCCCAGTGGGACGATGGCCCGAGGGGGTTTCCACACGTAAAAAAAAAAGAAGTCACTTACCAGCAGGGTACCGCTCTATTCGTTTGCCTCCTTTTTTCAATGCGGAAATCTACTCAGGCACCCCTCACCGGACGGCCGGTAGCATGGTTTTTTGTACCGAACCGGATCCCGGATCATCTATAGCTTGTAGATGACCCAGTGGTTTGTGGGCACCACGGTGCTCCCTTCCGACTCTCTAAAAGGCGCGTTGAACCGCTACCCAGTTGCTTGCCGCCCTATATCATAGAAAAATATTTTGCCATCGTACAGCCTCTGTGTCAAGCCTTACCTCTCCTGTGTTTCCAAAGGACAAAAGCTCATCATCCGCCATTATAGCGCAGTCCAGTTCATGTAACAACTCTTCTTCAGTCCAACGAGCCAAAGATGTGATTGGTCGTGCTTGCAATAAGAATGTCTCAGTCTGAAATAAATTGATTTTCAAATTAACTTAACTCACGTACTACGATCTGATTAGACAACGATTATCATTAAATCTTACGTATTAAAATTCACACAGATTATATGTTACAGAAGGTAGTCCAGAAGGACAGGCAGAGCGCGATTGGGAAAGGGCCGATTCCGCTCGAAGGAGGCGGCGAAGTGGACGCAGCAGAGTTCCCTAGCTTTTCAATCGCCGCCGCCGCCGTCATTACGGTCACATCTTGGGGCAATGTGCTCGCTGCAAATGACCCAAGACAGGGAACACCCCTGGAGGGTATCGTCTAAGAGGGAGCGCTGTTGTGTGTTTTACTGTGTTAAGCAGTAGGAGGCGCGGCAGCGTCCTGTCTCGGATGTGACTACGGTCACCCGGGATGTGCCTCAATGATGGGGTACGGCAAGGAGGACTCCAGAATTCGATGCATTCCTAGAGCTCCCGAATGCCGGGGTAGGCTGCCGGAGTAAGTGCGTAGGGTGTGGTGCTAAAAGCATTCCCCTCGTATAAAAAAAGGAAATTCAACTAAGTATATTCCCAGCCAAAAAAAAAGAAATACCTAATACTTTTTACTTAAAATATGTACTAACTAAATATACTTAGCTAAAAAGAATAAATTACAGAACAAAGCACATGTAAGAAGAAGAAAAAATATACAACCTCAGTAAGAGCCCACTCAATGTCTCTACCAGCGCCCCAGAGTTCCTCCTGTACTACCCCAATCTGGGCCAACTTCATTACATCTGCTTCTGAGAGACAGGAAACGTTTTTATCTTGTTCAGGAACGTCTTCCATCACGATGCCACTACCCTCTGTCTTCACTCTACGGGACTTCGACCCAATTTCAGTCTTAGCGATGGTCAGTTGGCCGTTTACGTGACGCTTTACTATAATTGTATCAGGGTCCACTGCTCCGGAGACAACGCTCTGTAGACAAAATGCATTTATCTGCCGATGAGGTAAGGATAAGAGAATAAAATACCTGTACCTAAAACATAGCTAACGCTAGTTATGTTTCAAGACTGGTCTTCTATAGTTATGTATTATAAAATAAGAAGTAATGATGAAGTCAGTGCAAATGAAATACCTCTCCGAGTCCATAGTTGGCAGTTATAAGAAGCTTGGTGGGGTCACCGTGCGCGGGGTGTCGCGTGAACATGACACCGGCTGCTCGCGGCGCTACTAGCGCTTGTACCACCACACCCGCCCCACACAAGCAAGGCTGACCGTTCTGTCTAGAAAAAAAAATCAATTCAAGTCGAACCCATCAGAACGAATCTTCAAAAATCTGTTCACGCGGTTGACTATGAACATACAAAGAACTCTCAGTGCGGGAATCAAATCCAGTGAGTTAAAAAAGAAGGAGTAATATAGTCGTGAATATTGCCGGTTTTCAAATTACTTATAACTGAAAGCTAAATGTGGTTACAATTCCTAATATCTAAATTGAAATAATACTTAAATTGTTACAGAATTTTAGAAAGACATTTTTTGTAATAATTATTTTAGTATTAATTTTCTTTTGTTCGTAGTACAAATATCTTGCTTTAATAAGTGAACGATTTTTACATCAGATCCAGTTATTGAAAAACAGTTAATTCTTCACCTCAATCGTAACCTAAAAAACAATAAGTGCAAATGTATTTTTGTTTGTTTATTTGTTCCGCTTATTAACTACTTAAATGATTAATTATCATAAATATGTTGTCATTGGTCCAGAAAAAAATATTAAGTATTAAAGCCCGGTCGATATTAAAGCGTGATTGAAAGTCAATCACTAGTGAAAGAGATGAAAGTATTTTTGAAGTTACCTGCGGTAATATGCACTGGTAAAGGCAAACATGGAGGCCCAACATTTCTGCACTCCATCCAATACATCTGCATCGCTCACACAACCCAGAATCGTCTCATTCTGGCCGGCAGCAGATAATTCTTCACTGTCTTCGCCAACAGCTACGTAGATTTGAATTGAAATTTAAGCTATTACTAGATTGAAATGTAAGCCATTACTCGGTTTATTTGATGTATACAACTTCTATTCTATTCTGCCTACTATCAAAACGTGGAAATTGACAATTGTTTGATGTGTAACATCTGTCCTCTCGTTTTTCTGTAATCTGTGGGAGCGATTTCGTACAAAGAAACGGAAGTGAGTAACATGGAGCCGGCTTCCTCTCATTGGCCACAAGAAATATGATTTAACCACTGAAAGGAAACTGGCATTAGCCAAATCAAGTAAGACCTGACCATTCAGCTAGAGTGGGTTAGCAGATAGCAGGTAAGATGTCAGATGTTAAACATCACATACAACTACTGAGGCCATAGTGTGAGTTTATTTCACTTCTACTCGATCGTCACGAGGACCGCGTTCGCCGTTGTAATTGGCCCAAACTTTTAGTAGTTCACCAATCACAACACCGAACGTCACCGTGACGATCCAACAGAAGTGAAATAAACTTACACTAGGCAATCTGTAACATCCGTTTTCCATTCATCTGTCTTGTAAAATAGTGTTATTTAACTAAATAATTAAAGTAAGGAGAATTGTATATCATGAGTTTAGCCCGTAATTTATTTTGTCATTTTAATCAAAATAAAATTAAAATTTTATCTATTATTTTTAATGCTGTATTTAATTGTTATGGAAATAAATAATGTATGATGGTATGCACTGCTGCAAAAAATATGATGGGTGACATATAAGATCCTCATCTTCTAAATGCTGAACGTGCAGTCCTATAAGTATTAAGGGTCAAGAACACACCCTTAATCTGCACCAGAACTAACAATTTATTAAAAAGTTCCATCATCGAAATAAAAATGAATAGATACTATTTGTCGTTTATTTGTAACTTTTGACTATGTATATATATTTAATAAATGCTTAAAGTAATAAAATTTACCTGACGATCGTACGGCAAAACGTAATTCCGGCCCCAAGTTTTGTTCCAAAGCAGTTATTCTTAATGTTTTCATACTCTTCAGCAGCTCATCTTTGATATCACCTTTTAACTCAGTAGTAATAAAGAGCTCAGAGGTTCTGTAAGTAAAATATAAAACCATTGCAAATATAAAAAAAATAGACATTCAAAAACTATTTTGGGGTATTAAAGCCATGTCCGGCTTAAAGTCTGGCTCGACCGGTGTGATACCACGGATTCGTAGACAACTAGTGCTAAAAAAGTTTTCAAGAAAGAACTCCCACCTCAAAGATCGACAACCTATATATGATCAACGTTCTTTTGATGTGTGTTGATTTCTTGTGGTCCTTCTGTAGCTATGCCAATTTAAAGGTGTGTAGCATCTAATGCAAGAGAATTCAGTTCTGTAATAATTAAGGGCTAGGTTTTTTAATAAGAAGGTTTTTTTTTATGTTATATGAGGGGCAGACGAGCAGACTAGTCACCTGATGGAAAGTGACCATCGCCGCCCATGAACGTCTGCAACTCAGGAGTCACAAACGTGTTCCCGGCCTTTTAGGAAGGAGTACGCTCTTTTCTTGAAGGTTTGACGGTCGTATCGGTCCGGAAATACCGGTTTAGGTTTTTGTATACTTGGTTTTCGATAGTTGGAGAATATCACATTATATACTGCTGACGCTACATATCATTATTTTCTTACCGAATGGTTCTTTCTTAAAGAATGGTTTTGTAATTTGCATTGTAATTAAACATTCTCATATCAGGACAAAAAACACGATACTTGCCTTTTACATTTTTCTTTAAATATCTCTTCATTATAGTTTTCATTAGCAGCTTCGATTTCGCGAATGGCCGTCGTCAGTTCTGGATTTAGTTTAAGATGCTTTTCTAAAGCTTTAGTTGTCAAACAAAATCCAGGAGGTACTCGGTAACCCTGTCAAAATTGTTAAATAATTCAAAATCATTTTAAGAAGTTAAATAAATAAACATTTTATCATTACTCTACTAACTATAATAACTGTGATAATCACACACATCTCACACACGGTCATCTGATTCTAAACTAGGCAGAGCCTGTACTATGATAACCAGACTGCTGATAAACGTACTTATATATTTCTAAATACATGCATATTATGGATAAATTACATCCAGACACAGAACAAATTATTGTGCTCATCACATAATTAAGTATTCAATTTTGTCCTGGGTGAGAATCAAACTCACGACCAACTAGAGACCTAGAGACTCGACCAACAGGGAAGTCAATATTATTAATATAGTTCCAGAAAACCATATTACCTCATCTTTCTGCACGGACGCTAAAAGCGCTAGAGAAGCGCCCTTTCCTCCCACATATACTGGGCATGCACACGCGCGATCTTCAAAGGGTAGGCAGTAGCCCACTTCACCTGCCTCCTTTTCACTCAACCACTTGAGAACACGAAGTGGCATGATGCGTGTTGATGGGTGGCGTATCTCTGCAGTAAATTTTACTTTAATTTACTACTTGTTATTCTACAGGTATTGAGAATAGCTGATTTCTGGAGGCTTTCATGTTTATGAGGGAGTAAATCTAAAGTTTTTAATTTTGGTGAAGTTGTCTTGGGATTACAACTGTAGTTAATAGGACTATGGGAACAATATTGACTGTGTTTACTCGCCACATTCTTGCAATTTCTAATTTGAGGTCTCAATACTTTGAAAGTTTCTCTGCTATGGTATTTTGTAGGTTGTGTGTATTTGGTATAGCGATCTCTATAATTTGTGCAGTTTATTAATTGTATCTAGTAAAGTTATGTCAGGTCTATTTTATCCGTTAAAATAGCACGTCGAATTATAGCTTATATGTAAAGTTTTCTAAGACAATTTGCGGTGAATATTTGTAATAGGGTGTTGGCGGCGAAATGATCAGTTTTTATTTCATTGCTAGTTTTTCATGGATAATGTGGATATTAGCTAATTGATCATGCCTGTGTGTGCAGTCAATTTGAACTATTGTTTTACATGCTCCTGTAATGTGTTGGATAGTCTCTGAGGTGCAACTATATCATCTACAAATATCTATTGTTGAAGGAACACGCATAATGTATTTTTGTAATTACAGGTCTCAAGAACCTGGTCTTGAATCGCTCGCCTGAAACTCTCTGTCTCAGGGAATAGGTCTTCACTACTCAACCATGCGTTCGATGCAATCTTATCGACAGTAGGTTTGTGTAGTTCGTGAACATGTCCGTGTAGCGACTTCTGGCTCCATGTTTCAATTTTCGTTTGTACGTCAGTCTGCCTTTCATTTCATCAACATCAACAGCCTATACTAGTCCACTGCTGGACACAGGCCTCTCCTTAGAAAGGAGGTTTTGGCCTACTATACCACACTGGCCAGACGGGTTGGTATAGGGTTTGTTTCAAGTTTTCCTTCTCTTTGCAGTGCTGTTGTCCTGCTTAGTTTGCTCCCTTAGTCGGCTCTTACGACACCCACGGGATGAATTGGGGTGGTGACAATTTGTATTCTTAATCCGTCACCACACGGACACTTAATCCGTCGGACACTTAATCCGTCACCATACGTCACCACACGTATTATTATTATGTTAAATTTGTTTTTTCTGAGCTTTCGCTGGTAGTATTTTGTGACATTTACGGACATATTATTATTATTGTATTTATTTATCTATACTAATATTATAAAGCTGAAGAGTTTGTTTGTTTGTTTGTTTGTTTGTTTGTTTGAACGCGCTAATCTCAGGAACTACTGGTCCGATTTGAAAAATTCTTTCAGTGTTAGATAGCCTATTTATCGAGGAAGGCTATAGGCTATATATCATCACGCTAAGACCAATAGGAGCGGAGCACCAATGAAGAATGTTTCAAAAACGGAGAAAATTTATTACTATTGAGAGACGCAGACGAAGTTGCGCGGGTCAGCTAGTCTGTAATAACAACCTGTTGGTTCATATCCAAGTTCTAGTACGCCAGTTCCCGGTTCACTATTGATGTTGACATGCAAAGTGCGATAAAGGATCTCTTGTTGATAAGGCACCCCGTTGAGAAGCTTACCGCCATCAGCATTTATCCTTAGCACAATACTCAAATCAGACCTGTGAGCTGTAAATATAAACAGGAACAAATTATAATCATTGATCTATATAAATAAATAAAATTGAGGTCCGTTTGTAATGACAAAATAATAGGATTTTCCATGCTCACACGGTTTGCACGAGACCTATGCCTAAAAACCATTTTAAATATTTTTGTCTGTCTGTTTGTTCCAGTTCTAAACGGCTGGGCCGATTTTGATAACATTTTACTACTAGGTAGCTGTCTATATAACGAATAACTTAGGCTATTTTTCCTCTCAGAAAAACCCTATAAAATTTTGGCCAGTCCGGGAATCGAACCCGAGGCTTCATGGACTGCAGTCGCGTATCGCTAAGGCAGCGTTTTTTAAATTCCACGCAAACGAAGTCGTGGGTACCAGCTCGTATTATAATAAATTCTTGAAAAACAAATAAATAAAAAATCTGTTAAAATTAATAACTTTATGAAATGGTGTTTTTAGCTTTTGCTGACTATTTGATCCCACAGTTTATTTTAACGCATTTTAAAAGTCACGAGTACTTAAGAATAACTGCTATTTGTATGTAGAAAATAAACTTTCTACAGCAAAATACTTTTTAAGTTTAATTTTATATAACATTTCCTTAATCAGTGCACTTGTGTGACGGATTCCTTTGTACGCTCTATGTGAACGCCTAGGAGTATATTTTAAATCTAAATAAAATCACGATTGAATTAGCCTATGTCAACAAAGAGTATTTTAGCAATAATAATTGTGCAATATTTAAAATGAAAAAAAGACTTAATAAGAGTGACTATGGGCACGTTAAAACTTACTGCTCACATTTATCGTGTAGACCTGCGGTATTCCATCAGGTCTCTCGCAGAACTCCTTCATCACCAGATCAGTTGAAGTTATCTTGCTGGTCGTATAATCTGGGTTTCTCACCCAACCGGATATACAACTTAAACAAATTAATTCAATATATGATATTGATTTTCATTTAAATTTTAAGCATCGAAGAGTTGTAGCATGATGGGGATATTATTCCATTGAAAAGTATTTTAATCCGCCAAGTCGGAAAAAAGAGCAAAACGGCACAGCCGTTATATCCTTTTATCGGAGCCATTCAAGCAATTTTCGATTTAATAATTTTGTTTACACTATTATACGGCACAAAGCAATATCATATGCACAGGGTGCTTAAATAAATTGTATTAGAATATATTTTAAGAAAAGAGATACATCCATATATAATAGGTAAATAATACATAAGTATTTATGTTTACATAATAATATACATTTATACATACATATAATTATACATATTATATATATACATATGCATACATACACACAATAAATTCTAGAAGAGAGAGGTATCAAGGTAGATCTGATAAGGAGTTTAAGAGATGTTTCCGCAACAGGTATTTAAAGGTTTGCCGAGTTTTTGCCATCATGCCATTTTCTTACTTGTTATTATAAATATGAGAGGTAATATGACAATTAATTACTGAATCACGCTAGAAAGATTTATCGGATGGAATTTGGCATAGAAATAGGTTACAGTTTGGAATATCTATTATATTTTTCGATCCCGGCAAATAACTGATGATGAAATGATAAATAAACATTAACGCAAACGAAACTGCGGATAAAAGCTAATTTACAAGTAAAAACAATCATTTCTTCAACTTTTAACGCTTCATAACTGATTTACTGATCCTTTATAAGTCGTTAATAACTACAGATATACTCACTGAGTCAAAACATTTTTATAAGAAAAACACCGAAGATGCACAGCAGTTCCATCGCGAGCACCTGCAGTGATGGTAATCGAACGCCTGAGCCCCTGATACGCGTGTGGCGCCCAATGTCTTTCTTTTATTCCCCTTGTTCGAAGGTACACACTCTCGTCTATGTCACCGTTTTCGTTGAAGGCTTGAAAGCGTCCTTGGGCTGTGCCCCAAAGAAGCCAGCCTCCTTCCTCCCACTTGCCACTGTTGTAGAAATATTCAATACGATTTAAAAGTTAATGCAAGCGTACTTTACACTACAAAATAATAAGTGCAACAAAATAATATCTATGGAAATAAATAAAATTGAAGTGTCTGTTTGTAATGTCAAAATGATAGGTTTTTTTCATGCTGACACGGTTATTTTCACGATACCTATGCCTGAAAACCAGTTTTTTTTTGTCTGTCTGTTTGTTCCGTGTAATCTTCTAAACAGCTGGACCTATTTCGATAATATTTCACTACCAGGTAGCTGTCTACATAAAGAATAACTTAGGCTATTTTTCCTCTCAGAAAAACCCTTTATAATTTTGCCCGGTCCGGGTATCGAACCGTCTAAGGCTGCGCTTTTCAAATTCCACGCAATTTACAAGCTAGTTTAGAATAAAATACACAGCTAGATTTATGTTTATGTTGTAATTTTAGGTTCAATTAAAGTAGTTTCGATTGACCACATTTAAATTCTCATGTAATTATGTGGATATTTCGTGAATATTGTTAATATCTATGTTTAGATATGTTTTAATTAACTTACAGCATATAAGGCCACTTGTCATCACGCCAGTTCTCAAGAGCTAACGTTTGTGCTGCCAGCTCGTTACTCCAATCATCGGGGAAGCGAATTGGTTTTGTCCCTGACGACCAGCTGATAACAAAAGAAAATAAGATTTTTTTACATGAAAATTTATGAAACCTGCAAGTTTTCGACTTAATAAGAAACGAATCTCTGGAACTATTTTCTGGAATACTCTAAGGAAAAGTACGATTGATGGCCATCATTATTCTCGTTTACAATGAAAATTGTAGGTGTAAATGTCCCTAATTCCGATAACTAGCACTACAACTCTAAATTCTTCTTAGAGGGGTATTAATAAATATATAAGAATGGTCACCCATCCATAGACTGATCTGGCTAGTAAACTATAAATATTTCATATTTTCAGTTATTATTTCATAACATCTCCTTACATCCTAATTAGTAACTATGATGTTATAAGATATACTGACATCAAATTAAGTTTGGCATGCTGCGTGACACCGTCTCCGTCCCTTGTCATGCATCCATTGAACAGAATCCTGTATCTTTTTTGTGGCTCCAATACTTGTATTTTAAGTCCACCAGCGCTCCAACCACCTTCAACATTTTCCCAAACACTCACCACGGTGTCTGGATGTTCTGGAATTAGAGCAAATTCAGAATAAAGCAATAAAAGGTTACTACTTACACACCAAGTAATCGGTGTGTCTGTTGCCCTCAATTAACTGTTATTAAAGTTAAACTCCATGTCACATGACTTTATAATTTGGATCTCAATATATATGGCCAAAATGACTACTGGTATCCGCAGTAATCATTATTGGTAAAGTCAAAGCTTTTTCTAACCTTTGAACCTCCGCTCGAAGGGGGAATTCTGTCCAGAACGCAAAAATTAGGTCACTTAATTAACCATAATACATCCTTATACAATACTTTTTTTTCTTTTTTCCGTGCGGGAATCCCCTCGGATACCACCTGTCCGTGACATGTCGGACTCGAACCGACTAAAACCGCACGCCGTCTCGGGTACTAATAGTCGGGGAACCAGGTATACCCTAGAAAGGAAGTCCCTGGTGCCCCGACATATTTTTTTTTTACTGTCCCACTAAAATTAATAATTAGTATACACAATTTGTATTCTAGGATAACTTTATAACTATTAGACATCTCGAACCGATTGTTTATTTTCCAGTTATGAAGTACATCATATTCCTGACAAAAGCGTATGCAATTTTATTTGTATCATAGTCAATATCGCGAATATACGAATATATCTGTATCCACCTCACAAAGATATACATTTGTCGAGTATACTCGTAGTAATATTCTTGGTTTGTGCGAACTTTGGACACAATACACCTGTATACCTAATTGTATTTTTCTATCTTATCTATATTATATGATTACAGACAAGTGTGGCTGGATTAAGTTGTGTACATTCTATTACCAGGTGTTTAATCGCATCAGATGAATATTAAGTAAGTACACGTATTTATAATTAAATTTCGATGGGACGAGGAAGTAAAAAAGAAGGAACTGCTACACAAGTATTACCTAAGTTAAAAATACTACGTATGTCTTAAAATGAAGACAGTGTATCGTAATTACTTCTCCAGCCCACACAATACTCAAGTTTCTAATTTCTATCTGATGAAACCTGGAAGAGATCACAAATCACATGACATGGTTGCCATTTCGTGACGCCAATTAAACAGGTATTTTAATGGTCATTTGTTTTAAGTTTTAATTATAGCTGGTAGGAATTTAATGAATGCAACTATCAACCAAACGTGGAGACTTCTAAATTGAGTTGTTGAGGTAGATTCTATTTAATAGTAAGGAGTTTAAAAACAGTGACTCTTTTACTTACGCAGTAGTTTGTAAGAAGTTCCATCTGGTAGCTTGACGTATAACACCACCTCTGCCAATGGTTGTCCACCACACTGCTTGCGGATGCCTAATAATACTGTTGAACCGTCCGTGGCCGAAGTGCGCAAAGCAAAGTTGTCCCATCCCTCATATTGTTTGGGCCGGGGCCACTCGTGTAACAGTGTCGGGGTCAGCTGTGATTTCCACCGTCTTACAGAAAATCTCGCCAGTAACAGCTTCAATTGAAAATTCCAACCTGTAACCGGTTAATATTACTTTAAAAACGCAAATCTTTCTCAAAAGGATAAATCACAGAGCGCTCTCTGGACTTACCCTTAAGGTTCTTGGATACCTTTTCATTTGCAAAATACACCTAACTATGAACCAATGTAAAATAGCCATATATACAGGAATATACAAATACACTTGGGAAAAATGAATCCGCACTGGTCTTCCACTCTGGCGTCCCACACATTGAATGCTTGAGATCTGAAAATTTATTTAGGACTCCTTAGTAGGCCAAAACCTCTTTTCTAAAGAGAGCCCTATGTCCAGCAGTGGACTATTAAAGGCTGTTGATGATTATGATTACTCCTTATTGTAAATAATTCAATACATATTTATATTGTCATAAGCAACTAAAAAAAGGGGGAAAATTCCACCCCTACACGCCCTAACTCTACCAACTGTCAAAATATGTCACATGGGCGTAAGGTAAAAAAATATTCACTGTTCATTATTTTTGTCTGTAAAACAATAGTTCTTATCTTAACGAAACGGCAGAGCCACATTTTGACTCATATAGGTATAGAATTTGTGAAGTTCGGGCTTGTAGAGTTAGAAGCTTGGCTCTAAATGATATCTGATAACTTTTTAACAGTGGTGTCGTCTTGCCAACATTTTTCATGAAAATGTTTTAGGTGGAATAATATGTGTGGTACTGAGTGAGTGAGGTTACCGGAGCCCTCCCGCTGACTCGAGCGGGAGGGACTCCAAGGGCAGCAACGCACTTGTGACTTTTGAGTTGCAAGTGTCCATGGGCTGCGGTAGTTGCTTACCATCAGGTGACCCGTCTGCTCGTTTGCCTCCTTATACCAAAAAAAAAGCACTTCTGCAACACTGGCTTTGAAACAATCTCTAAATTTTAGAACCCGTATTGCGAACCGCGAATTAGTATTGGGGAGAACATTGAGCAAAGACCCGCGCTTCAGGTCTTGATATGAGCAGCTAACACTCACAGGTAGCATTATAAGGGTCAACTTGACGACTAACATTCTACCATTACCTGCCGTCCCACGACAGTCATGAATGTGTCGATATCGACAATCTTCCGAAAATTTAAAGATTAATTTAATGCAAGGTCATTGAGATTATCAAAGCTGGCATTATGGACCTCAACTGTATCGATATGGTGAGTGTTGTGTGAGACCTAAAAATAAATAAAGTTGGGCCAGCTTTAGATATACTTAATAAGGTGAATGATGTAAACGCAAAATTGAATAGAGCCTACATTGTTTTGCAAAACATCATTGTGTAATGCAAGATCTGATAAGATAAACTGTTTATTATTATATAATAATAGTTTCAATTACGGTATAACTTTGTGTATGTACTCTAACACAGCATAACGATATTAAAGTGCTGTTATTGGAAATGTAACATTAAATAATTATTTTTCTGGTATAGAGGGACAAACATACAGATGACTCACTTGATAGTAATTGACTACATGGACACCTGCAGCACAAGATTTACCAGAACTTTGTCGCCCTTTCAGGTCCTCAGTCAGAATTACCTGTTTCCCTTTGGGGGGTTTGGGCACCGGTTTGCCAGTCGAGCCTGGCCCATATGTTCCTAAGCATGGCACTCTCACGATCTATCACAATCTCAACATATCTTTCACTTTCTTTAAATTTAGCAAAAAAATTGCATCCCAGATCCCATGGCGGAGAACTATAAACTATATTTATTTATATACGAACAGTAACTGGTCTCATGAAATTGCGAACATGAGTTTTGCAAAAAGTTATTGTTATGACTCAAGGACATCACCCGACCCTTTTGCAGCACCCATTATTGCCAAATTTTATCGAAACCAGTTTCAGGAATAATTGCTCGTTTAAATCAAATGTTGTCATAAGATTGCCCTCGGCAGTTATAAATTCAAATTCCCAATCTAGTTAAAGTAGAAGTACTACATTTGAGGTACCAGGTTTGTGGCCTCTGTTTAGCATATTGACTTCAGGCAGGAAATATCCTGGCCCGCTACTGTGTGAGCGCCCGCGTGTAATGCCGATCAAGCTGTCCTTTTTTCCGTGCGACAATCCCAATTCGGATACCCCCCATCGGACAACCGATATTAGTGTGTATTAGTTCTCAGTCTGTAACTTGTTGAAATTTTTTAAGAGGCAATGCCAACAGCTTGCACGTGTTTATTCTGACTGACTAACTACTAAAATAATTGCAAGTGCTCCTTTTTACGCAAAACCAAATTTTTTTTAAGTAACTTTAAAATAATGTGACATATTCTCCCTATATCAGGATTTCCATTTGTGTAATTTGATCGAAATACGTGTAACGATATGTGTCCAAACTCAAAAATATCTTAATGTTTAAACACTACATTGGCATGTATTGCAACTGTTAGTTACATGAAGATAATGGATATTGTTCGTGTTAAACATTTCTACAAAATTCTACGATATATCTAATTACCATTAAAAATATATTTATCTCTTTACTATGCACATTAGGTAGTAGGTATTAAATTAATTCTTATCAAAATACTTTTATCGCTATACATTTAAAGTAGATAAACTTTGTCCTTTACGCAACTGGGACATACCTATTCATATTAAGACGAGGAAACAAACTAATTTTGTTTGGAACAATGGGGCTACTTTGGCAAATTGAGGCCAAACGAACGGGGCTACGGTTTGCTGCTCGTCACTGTTTTGGTACGTTTACACGCTTAGCAAGTCTCGACGAGTGTCCACAAACACAAACGTACAAACGGGGTGTTTGGCTTGGCTTACGTGAGCTTGTCGTCGATTAGGGCTAATGTCGGATTTGAACACAGAAAAAAAAAAGCTTGTTGGCGCGGTGTTTTCCCACTGCTCGATTGGAGTCCTCAACTTGATAATATTTGAGAAGTCGTGAATCAAAATGAAGTCCCAATGCTCTACTTGTTGAGCAATTTACGTACGTGTACGGCTAGAGGATTTTTGAAACGAAGTTCCTTATCCTCCAGCGAGATCGAATAATGTGTAACAAGACTTTTTTCCGACCCTTCTTGCGGAACTTCGTTCTAACCGGGGGTCCTATAGACCCCTCACGCCGTTTTTATTATTTATTGCGTGTTTAGTGCCGCTTTTCATATTTTGAATAAAAATATATCAAGCCAAACGCAATAGCAGACACAACTTTAACGTCAACGTCTGCTATGTTTACCTGTCCAGAACACACTAACTTACTGACAAGCAAGCGTTTGTAAAGGCTTGTAAAGCTTGTAGACGTTTGCAAAATAATACATCTGTACCTAGGTACTTACACTAGAAATGCGAAGTCTAATCGTAGTAGTCTAAGTCTAGTAGCAGTCTACTTACACTAGTAGTCTAGTAGAAGTAGTAGAAGACATTTCATAATTTAAAAGTAGATATAAAAAAAAAACTTACTGGCTCTTTTGTAGTTTCCGCTGTCAGGTGTCGATTTCTTAAAGAGTAATAAATATAACACTAGTACACCAGTTGTAAGCCCCGACAGTAGGAAGAAATCAAATATAATTTCCATTTTGAAACTATCACAGAGACACCGTGTATAGTAAACAGAACAATTGTAACAACTGTTCAATGTCAACTAGTTTAATATACACACACACACACCGCCAAAGCGCGACGCGGTTCGAAAGGGACTATTAACATCATATTCATAATACTTAATCACGATGGATGTTCAAATCGTAATCACCTCAATACTGTTATCAGTCTTCGGTAACTATACAGATAAATCTGTCACGGTGATTAACAATCTATGTAATACTGTCTAGTTTAAAATAAAGTACAGTCGAAGTTATCCATACATAGCTATACCTATCTACACATACACTCATTCCCGTCCAGGGTAGGCAGAGATGATAGAACGCATTAGGGTGGCCTACACTGTCAAGTAGGGCGATAATTTTATTAGATAATAAGAAAAAAGTTCGCAAAATAATTTCATTTTTCTTATTATCTAATAAAATTATCGCCCTACTTGACAGTGTAGGCTACTATAATTATAATAAGGTAAAAATGGCAAGAAGCTCCGGCTTAGCAGACAGGGTCTCTAACCATCAGACCAACAAGCTCGTTGATGTAAGTAACTTTGTGTACACTACATAAACAAACCGATCTATGCATCATCATCATCATCATCATCAACAGCTCTCTGATAGTCCACTGTTGGACATAGGCCTCTCCTTAAAAAGGAGGTTTTGGGCTACTATACCAAGCTGGCTAGACGGGTTGGTATAGGATTTGTGTCAAGTTCGCTCCATGGCCGGTAGTGATAGTTGTTTTACCACGGTCGCATCCTTCTGCGAAGATGTTTTCGCGCATAAGGAGGCGGCGGAGAGGGCCCGCGAGGATAATCTCCACTCGGACCCAATTCGACGCCGACGAACCGGGCGGCGGAGGCGCGCTTACCACCGCCTCATGCCGCTCTGAGTGTGGCCGCGGGTGGACGGGACGGGTTTTCCCCTCCACCCGTCACAAGGGCCAGCCGCGAGGAGGCGACGTCTGCTTGTGCCGGACGTCTCCTAAATGGAGAATATACCCGAAGGTGTGGATGGCTCAATAATAGCAGTTCCCGGATCCCTCCTATTACAGGCGTAGAGTGGCACACCGTGTGGTTTTAGTCGGTCCGATTCCGACACACCACTCCGCCGTAACCCCGGTGGGGTGACGGCCCGAGGTGGTTTCCACACGTAAAAAAAAAAAGGTTTTGTGTCAAGTTTTAATTCTCTTTGTAGTACTGTTGTCTTGCGTAGTTACAACACCCGCGGGATGGATAGGCGTGGTGACACTCCGGATTCTTAATCCTTCACCACACGGACAGATCTACTTATACAAAAACGGTTTATTGTCCAAAAACATAAAAATTGATACACAAATAAACCTTCATACGTTTTCCTTATAAACCATAGACCTTATGCAATTGGCGACCTTATTGCATTTTGCGGTCTCTTCCAGACCACCATTTGTCATTGGATGGAAAGAGAATTCGCGAGTTGGCAGTAGGTACATACACAGATCTATTGAAAGTAAGCAATAAGTAATATAAGTAAATGAAGCTAAGATAATTATTAGGGAGTATGTGGTGTTTCTACTAAAAACCGCCCTGACGGCCTGTCTCAGACTACTCGCCTACGGCCCCTACTCTGAGGAGGACCCGGACAACGAACGTAAAACTATCGCCCAGTATGGTATATATGGGAACCCCGCGCCTTCGTCTTGATGGATTCATATTATACATACTTACGTTTAATAAAGTAATTTGAAGCTTTATAACCGTTTATATTTATTTTCGTGCACCTATCAATAGATGTTACTATTATGACATAATAAAAATATATTTAACATGAAAATTATGAGAATGTTTCGTTTTCATTTCGATTTCTGTTATTCTCTTGTACGGTGCACGCTCTGCACACCCGTAACCGGAGGCCGTGAGGCTTCCGTCTTATGAGGTTGCAACTCTTAGATCCAGACCGCTGATCTTTCGGACAACACAAGCCGCCCCTAACTCGGCGAACTCCAGGACCTCCTGGAAGCTATAATACCCAGCCAGTACCAGATTATATTATGTACTAGCTGACCCTGCAAACGTTGTTTTGCTATTTACATTGTTTATTTTTTTATTTTTCTGAATTTCTTAAAATCCGTTCTTGGCTGACCTCTACTCGGTGAAAAGAATATTCCTACCAAATTTCAAGTCTTTAGCTCTAATGGTTTCAGAGATATCGTGCTGAGTGACTATATACGTGGAAATCTCTTATATATATATAGATAACAAACTTCATTATAAATTTGGTATTTTTTTTACTATCTACTTATTTTTACGGACCAAAAATATTTAAATATATTTAGCAAATTACATACAAAATTTTAGAATATCGTGTTTTGTATACAAACCGCGATATTCTAGACCTTTGTTAGAACCTTTTTTTTAGCCAATTTAAATCTTTTTTTAGAAGGAAATTGCTGCGCAGACATTCTCTTTACCGAGGCTTTTGTAATAATTTAGTTACATTAAATCGCAAGGTTTTTCTGAATAATACAGTTTAAATAAACTCACAAAAAATAATTTTGTTTAATTTGTGTTTGGAGACTTAAATGTTACTTCCTAATGAAGCAAATAATTACATCTAACTCTACGTACTCAGCAATTGTGCGTAGATGTTAGAGGTTAAAATGAAAAATATATTTTTTTTCTCTTTAATTTGTAAGTAATTGTTATATGTTGGCAGCCCGTCACACTCTACTGCGGCTTATAATATTGCTAGCTTTGGCCCGCGGCTCCGCCCGCGTTACTTTTTGAATGTTAAAAAACGCTCTCCTGTAAATTGGAAATTTTCAAGATAATTATTATACTAAGTATTGGAGAAAAGAGGCGAATATGTAGCTCATATGGTGTCACACATCAACAGCCTTTAATAGTCCACTGCTGGACATAGGCCTCTCCTTAGAAAGAAGGTTTTGGCCTACTATACCACGCTGGCCAGGCGGGTTGGTATAGGGTTTGTGTCAAGTTTTCCTTCTTTTTGCAGTGCTGGTGTCCTGCGTTGTTTTGCGCCCTTAGTCGGCTCTTACGACACCCACGGGATGAATTGGGGTAGTGACATTCCGTATTCTTAATCCGTCACTACACGTGTAGTTTAAGGAAATTACTTAAGATTTGCGAAATCATGGCTAGTTATATCTGAAACGTGTCAAGTTGTCACAGGTATGATATGAAAAAAATTACATAACCACAAATGATATTATAATACGTCATTGGAACAACCACGGACATTTTGAACAGGTAGGTACGTAGTGGTGACAAAAGTTGATAATGCGTGGTCGTGACATTCTACGAGTATAGCATTTGTATGATTGATTGGCTTTTGTTGTTATGGTAAATTATTTGATTTCATATGAACCTTTTGGAAAGGGGGCTTTACTATGTTTACAATTTTTTTAACACAAAACTTCAAAAACACAAAAAATACAGACGAATTGAGAACTTCCTCTTTTGTGTTTTTGAGGTCGGTTAAAACGAGAAGGGAATCAATTCGGTTGTATTTTTTTGTATGTTTGGTACGCGATATCTAACTACGTTAAATGTAGACCAATTTTCCAAATTATTTTTGTAATCGAAAGGGTATACTCCCGAGGTGGTCCCATTACCACCAAATCAGGATCCAATTATGGGATCCTCCTAGGGAAACCCCTTAAATTTTACAGCCCCGACAACGTGTTTTAGCTTTTTGCTCTAGCTATTTGCGTACATAGGTATTTGCGATTAGTAGTCGTTATGTCATGTTTCTGAGCTGAGGATAGAAGGTTCCTTGACCTGGAGTTAGAGGATCACGCTTTCGAAAATCTTATCATGTATTAACCTTGTTTTATTCTTTCTTTCCTTGTTAGATGTTTGTGTTGGGTTACAGAGATATCTGCACAAGAGAATAATAAATGAGATTAAAAAACATTTAGACAAAAAAAATGTTTGTTACGCAATTATTTTCATGTTTATTACATCAAAACTCTTTCATTTGTAAAGTGATATGGTTTTTTTTCAAAATTATTTTTGTAATCGAAAGGGTATATCTACTCCCGAGGGGTCCTTAATGGACTACATTACCACCACATCAGGATTTAATGATGGGCTTCGGCTTCACGTTATTGCTCTCCTGCGTCCTTCATCTTTAAGGACCTAGCAACAGCCACGCACGTTTTCTTGCGTGATGACACCGTCCGGAGAGCGTTACAGGCGCCCTATACTGGTCCTCACAAAGAGGTCAATCATAAGGACAAAAGCCTTGTCATTGAGGTTGCAGGCAAATTGGTCGAGGTTAGTTTTGACCGCACCAAGCCCGCATTCATCTCCTCAGAACAACACCCAAATCACCCAATCACTTCCGCCTCTCGACCTCCTGTAGTCGTGCTCCCCCTGATATATGGTAGCCCTTCTGGCCCACTTGTCCGACAACCGGTTACCACCAGGTCCTGCCAAACTGTCAAATTTAAATTTCCACATTGACAATTTTAATTCTAATTTCTAACTTTAGATGTAACTTAGACGTAGTTAATTATAAGTTCTTTTTACATACTACCTTTTATAAACACTGTTCATATATTTTAAACATTTTGTTGCAGTTACTTTCTAGCAACTAGCCAGACTTTGTTTTGTATTCTGTTACACAACTTTGGCTTATTTTAGCATTTTGTGTTTTAAATTTTCTCAAATTTAACTAATTTGTTGCTATTTTTCTCTGTGGGGGGTGGTGTGGCGTTACACATTACTACACGTACTGCACGTCACTACGCCTTGGGCTAATGTTACATCACTCTCCGACGCGATGACGTAGTTCCGCTCCCGGGAACTCTCTCTTATTCAGTTTGACTGTCAAATGGTTCGAAACACGAACACACGGCTAGTTCATATATTGTTGTTAACAAGTTAATATCAGTGCTGATGTCTGTTAATTCTCACTTGTGAATTACAAATACAAAGAAAATAATTATATGAAAATCAAGTGCTTTTCTTTTGGACCTTAATAACCCAAAGGCGATTCTGCCCTACATATTATAGAAATCAAATAAGGCTCACTTAGAACCCATAATATTTTGTGACCGTGTGGTGTGTGGTGCTTCCCTGTTTAAAAGGGTGTATGTCTATTTTACTTCATGTTGTCTTTCGCCTTGATTAGGAGGGAAGTGGAATTATTATATTTCTAACTCCTCCTCCTTCTGATTAATTTCGTTGCGGGTTCCATGACAATTAAATTTTTTTCCTGGGACTTCCCAAGTGTCATAACTCGGTGTGTTCGTGGGTCACTGCTGTCGATCCTGGTGTACAGGAGTTACAGTGGTCGGCGTGTGGAAAAGATTAGTCCCAAGTTTTAAGTTTGGTAATACACTTTAAAGTACGAGTACGTTTTAAATTTCGTACTTACCTACTCATTAAAAATGGTAAATTAAATGGTTTTTTATTTAACCGCTTTCAAATAATACTGACAAAGAGTCATAAATTAAAAAATAATTACAAAATTATAATACGTGCGACCCTCAATATAACAGTTACCATTATAATGGCAATAGTCCCTTTTAGTGCTCTTTGTCAGTATTGTTTGAAGTCGGTAAAAAAAGGATTTATTTCCTATTCTGAATCTGTAGATGCCACGAAAAAAAAATGACGACCACACGTCAGAAGCAAGAAAAAAGCAAGGCGGGAATAAGAAAGGAGGAGGGGAGCAGATTTATTTCTAGAAGAAAGCTGAAATTACTTGTAGTATTATTCTCAATTTTACTAATTAAAATATATATATTACATGATAAAAATTAGTCCTGATACTCAGTTATTATGTTTAGTTTTATTTATATTTTATTTTAAAAATACTGATTATATTTACTAATTTTAAGTACTATGCTATATGTGACAATGCTCCCTGTTACCAGATAGTTCTGAAAATAAGAGACTGATTTCTTGTATTAGTCGTTAGAAAGATTACGTGACGCTATTTTCAACGGGATCTCAATTGTAATTTTTAGATAAGTATTTGATGTTTAAAAAGAAGTATACCAAATAAATACCGTTGATTAAATCAATTCCGAGTTTCATTCCTTGCTTATTCATTCTGAACTATAGTGATGCTTTAATATTAATAAATATAAGAAAAAATATACAACTGATACGACGGACAATCAGTCACAGCTGTGTTTATGAACTATTTTTTTTTTGTCTTTCCTGAGGGTATTAATTTTGTTGATATACATAATGATTTAGGATTCATAATGTCACTGGCGATGTACATCAAAACGTCCTTTTGATGTACATCGCCATATGTAGAAAAAAATCTTCTTTTTTTTTGTGCTATATGAAAACTATTAAAAATCACCCAAAAGCTAGTGACATTATAAATCCAAAATCATTGGTTAAAAAAACTTCACACATCTCACACTCTCACGGCAATTTAATCCCAAACTAGGCAAAGTAGCCTTTGCTGTGGTAACCAGATTGCTGAAAAACATACTTTAATAATTCTGAATACATACATACTCGTAGTATAGATAAATTACACGCAGACTGAACAAATGACCGTGCTCATCACGCAATTATTTGTCCTCGACCTTCGGCTTAGGAGGCCGCTAACCACTAAACCAACAAGCCCGTCAAACAGATATCAAATTATTTTTGCAGCGTATGGTCGTACATGCGAACTGTACTGTTTGGCTCCAAGATATTACGTAACCAAATCTTGTATGTAGAAATCATTAGACATTTTTCTTTTGAAGGCTTTCCGACAATTGCCAATTCGTGTATTAACCCTGTTCTCATCATTGTCACATTCCCCAATCCATCCATATATCAATATCCATGTTCTACTATTGCCTTCTCTTCTTAGCTATCTTTCCTTTCAATTTACTGTCCACTTTACGTCCAAAGTCGTCATCTTGGATATATGATAAGTATAATAATTTAAGGAAATGGAACCGACAGTTTAGCTTGGCAGTAAAATCTTTACTAAGAAATAGAGATCGAGTTCTATTTATCCCGTGGGTGTCGTAACTGCACTGCATAGACAAGGCAAACTTGAAACAATCCCTATACCACCCTGACTGGCCAACGTGTTATAATAGGCCAAAAATTCCTTTCTAAGGCTAACTATTCAAGGCTATTTACGAGGAGTATTCTAATTAGTACATACCTAAAGACGATAACATTATCTTTTGTTTAGAAAGATTAAATATCCAATTTGGCGAAGTATAAAATCATTTCATTCGTTGTAATTCACAATTTATATCTTCATAACATCGCGAGAATAATTAAGAACTAACGATGTTCACAAAACCAATTTACATTAATAATTATAGCAAACTCGTTTTTTTTTTTACAATATAATAGACAGGATTAGGGCAGATAGGATAGTCAGTAAAATTAAAAAATATATTCTAATTCATTATTGCGATCAGCGAAAGTACCAATTTATTTACAACTTTTAAACAATCAATTCGTATCGTATATACAAACAATGCTCATTTTATACAGAATAATATTAAATAATAATTAGTCACAACTTATAAGTGGAGGGTTGCTCATTAAGATTATATAAATAAATAAATAACTATATAATATGAAAAAAAAGGTTTTAACTTGCGTTAATATAGTCAATTCACCTGAGTCAAATAATGTAATATCAATATTCTGAAAATTGACGTTCGTATCATTTTAAACTTTACATTTTTATAATAAATCATTATTGAAAAATTGTCATAAAAGTGAATATCTTGAACAGTAAAGCGTGACGCTAATGACATGACTTTACCGTGTATAGATCAGCTGATCCCCTAATTCATCATTTATCATCAATCATTGTTTAACAATCTCTGGATAATTAGTCACTTCGCAGATTTACTAAATACTTGCGTGTCTTAATAACATGATCTAAGTGAAGAACAGATTTTTTAGCGCGATCTTCAAGTTTGAGAAATTTGGAAAAAATCAACAACAAATTGGGGCACAAATTTTTCCAGATTCTATAATTATATTCTTAAATGATGTTATTAGTTATAGTTTCTCAAAAATTTATTTTATGCTGTTGGTATTCCGAAAATATATAGTTCATGTGGTGACGGATTAAGAATACGGAGTGTCACCACCCCTGTTCATCCCGTGGGTGTCATACACAGGACAACAGCACTGCAAAGAGAAGGAAAACTTGACACAAACCCTATATCAACCCGTCTGTCCAGCGTGGTATAGTAGGCCAAAACCTCCCTTCTAAGGAGATGCCTACGTCAGTAGCAGTGGACAGTGAAAATAATAAAATAATATTCTCCTAAGCCATATGAAAAAAAAACAGCGAGAGTTATCTTTTTATAGCTTAAGTTATGCGACCTAAGCTAAGTACGATGTGATTAACGTTAAACAATTCTTTCGTTGCATTTTACCAAGTGAATGAGATTAAAGGAGGCCCAGGAGTGGCAGTGACACCATAAGTTGCACTTCTGTCAGTAAGTGACAGAAGTTATGGTGTCACTGCCACTAATACATGACCAGTGTGCTAGCTTCCACCTACACCATAAAAAAAGAGAGCATTGTCCTTCTTGTTAACATATAGAATGAGAAATATAAAATTAACCTCTAAACCTATGATGTATTGTGTATGTAATTATTTTTAAGAATTCATATATTTGGCCGCTTGATCAAATACATATCTGATTTCCTAGAAGTCAATCAAATTAATTTTAAAATATGTATGTATTACAAAATTAAACGCAACTAAACCAAGATCTATTCAAAGAATTGTTTTCTCTTTCACAACTTAATCCATAAGTTTTTAATTGAACACTTTAACAAGCAATCTAATTGTAAATGCACTGCAATACATATGTCACTACACACCTTACATAGCTTTTTCTATAACAACATCTTCTAATTTCTAGTTCGATACAGTTAAAATACATTACACACAATATTATTATTCGATAATCAACATGACATGCTTAATACATACAGTATTTTGAAAATCAAGTCAATATAATTTTTTTTATTTATTTAAAATTTAATGAACATGTTATCCGTGTGGTGACGGATTGAGAATACTGAGTGTCACCACCCCTATTCATCCCGTGGGTGTAGTAAGAAAGAACTAAGGGAGCATACTACGCAGGACAACAGCACTGCAAGTAGAAGGAAAACTTGACAAAAACCCTATACCAACCTGTCTGGCTAGCGTGGTATAGTAGGCCAAAACCTCCACTCTAAGGAAATGCCTATGTCTAGATGTGGACTATTAAACATTGTTGATGTGATGAATGCACATATTGTACAAAGGCAGACTTCATGCCATGAGGCTCTCTCTCCCAGTTGAGTGATGTAGAAATACGATGCGTTAGGTGCAAGGTAAAGTGTTAAATTTGTGGTAGTTAGTAATTATATTCATCCAAAAGTTAGATTTACCAACCGTGTCAAATGTTTATAATTTATTTTTAAATAAATATCATCGACTTCGATGCGACTACATCAAAATGAATTTTATAAAACTGTATTCTTAATTCCACAAATAAATACCACCTCTAAGGAGACATTTTTTTATCAAATTTAGATGGGACCAAACTGGAAGTACGTCCTCCCAACTAAAAAAAACAAATCGGGTTGTCCAAATCACGGATTTCTGAGGTAACAAACATACAAACAAATTGAGAACCCTCCTTTTTGAAGTCGTTTAAAAACATTCACTCATTAGTTATTTTAATATTGGCAGAACACAAATTTACATTAAAAAAACAAAATACTTACAATATCATGGTTCGCAACGTCTATTATTCATTACTTATTATTTAAATTATACAAAAGACAACAATTTTCTGAATAGAATTGAAAACTGTAAAATATTTAGATAATTTTTTCAACATATAAATAACGTCTAACCAGTCATGGTGCTGTCACCGGTAGCACCTCAAACAGCCTCTTGGGGTACAAAAAATATTTAAATGTGTTAATTATTCGTCAATATTTAATCGTCTTTTTTCTTGGCAGCTTCCTTAAGAGGTTCGAACTCTTCTGGATTTTCATCCATACTGCCACCTGTATCTGTGCGGGTCTTATCTACCGGATACAACCTGAAATAAAAAAAATGAAATGTACAGTAAGGAAATTAATAAATTCTATTAAACACTAATATGGAAGTTCACATTGAAAGTTTTTAGAAAATAAAAGTAGTCTCTGTTCCTTTCTGAGCGCTGTCGTATGCAATGAAGAAACCCGCGGGCCCGCTCTTATTTAGGTAACTCTTCCGCGCCTTTTTAAACGCAGCCACGAATCTTCAGGGTTCATAGAACGAATCCCTTTCAGTTTATCTTTAATTTTTGGAAATAAATAAAAGTCACAAGATGCCAGGTCGGGACTTTAAGGAGGATGACTCACTAGCTCCACACCTTCGAAATAAATATTCGATAGTCCGTCTGGTGGAGTGAGCTGGAGCGTCCTACTTCATCGCGGCACCTACTTCATGGCGCTGTTGTCTCACATTTTCCAAGACAACTGACTGACATACCAATCTGCAATAACACTCCTATAATCTTCTAGAATGATTGTTACGAAATGACCCGTCCGTCCAAAGAATGAGGCAATCATCTTTTTCTCTTGAATTCTGCCCTTCTTTACTTTTGTCGGCAAATCTTCGAATAGAAACACCCATGTACGGATTAGTAACAATATATATCCAGCTTTCATTATCTTTGACGATATACAGCATTATTCGAGTCACCTCCATCATACTTTTCAAGCATTGGGCGACACCAATCCGAACGACAGAGCTTATGATTGAATTATGAGGTGTACATCTAGTACAAAGCATGGTGACGCCTAAATGTTCATGTATTACTTTTTGTACTTGACTTATACCAATGACTAAAGCTGCCCGAATCTGTTGATATATCACCCTTTTATCAGCTGCTATTATTGGCCGCGCATCACTCTCGTTACCTTCAGTACTGGCGACTTCTGAAGACGTCCTAACGGCGGTAGAAGGACTACTCGTAATTCTCGAGAATCATCAGTTTGCTTCGACCACGTTTAAGCTCATTTAACCAGTTACAAACAGTGGCACGAGATAGGGCTTCGTAATTAAATGCCAACCGAAGTCTATCGTAACATTGTTGTTGAGTAAGACCGCTACGAAAGTCGTAATAAATAATTGAGCGAAAATTTTCCCTAGTTAAATCCATGTCGATGCACGACAAACAGCTTTGTAAAAACAAATGACAGAGACCTATTTCTTAGCGTTCCATGAATTCACTGTACGGATGCCGGGTCCATCGCATGATTTGTATTTGTATTTTTTTTTTAAAAAGACAGCTCCCGCATTAGGAATAAATCCTGTGTCGCGGGGGACTTTACAAATATACATGAAACGGACACAAAGAACACCCAGACTCAGAACAACAATTTGTGGATCACACAAAGTGTCGTCCCATGTGGGGTTTGAACCCACAACACTCGGCGTAGTAGGAAGCGGCGTGGCGACCGCTTAAACCACTACGCCATCCGTGCAGTCAATGATAAATGGGAGCAACACATGCGACTTCGACAGTGCCTAGGAATTGCCACCCAGTAATAGGTTTAGGGAGTACTCCTTGCGACGCATCAGCGCTGACCTCCACTGTCTGCTGTGTTACCCCCTCTACCTAACCATATTTGATACGAGCGTAGCAATGCCGCTTTAGATATTCTCTCTCTCTCTATAGATAGTGATAAACTTATAGCTTCGCGTGTGATTTGTAATACCCTATCATGGCAACGTGAATAATGACCCCGGTTAAATGGCGCCTTACAACCTTCTTCACGAAATCATTAAACATCTACAGATTCCTAAAGAGTTCTGAATTCGAAATTTAAATTGTTCATTGGCTGCTTTTCTTACTGGCCTATTCTAAAAACTTTCAATGTGACGTAACTCCACGCAAAACTAGTCTTTCCTTTGACTTGTTTCGATTTTATTTGAACTTAAGGACAATATGTTATGTAGGTACTTATGTGCGGTAATGGTATTCTAGTTTGTATCTATTTTTATTCCATTCGTTTTGTTCCAAAAAGGGCATTTTTTTGCGAATACAGATTTCCTCTTTATGTTAACCAACATAGCCCAGACAGTATAATCAGGTTTGTGTATGAGCCATTGTCATCTATGCCTTTATAGTTCCCTTTCGGTGAAAGCCATCGCAGTAATACATATTTTCACTTTGCTTAAGTGTAACTTGAACGTGGAAAACAATATCAAAAAGGAAACTCACCATCTCTGATACAAATACACTAAGAAGACAAGATCGTCTCTGAAGCATGCTACTCGATGTGCCGTCGGCATAGTTATAATAAAGGCGAAAATATCATCTATGAAAGTGTTGAAAGCCTTGTACATAAAGGCTCGCCACGGTAACGCAGCGACAGAACGTAGGCGATAGTTTACGAATAACTGTGGTAGCATGAACAGGAAACCGAATGCGTAAACTCCGTTCACTATGCTGTGTAGCGCCCACGAGTACCAGCTGAAAAAAAAAAGGGGTAAACATAATGATTGGCACAGGACTTGAAAGCGTATAGTAAGAACAAAACTAAGCGTTAAAGAATTTGATGTGGCAAACTGAAAAACATTAAATTCAATAGAGAACTAAGTTTAAAACCAAAATAAGTGAGTAACCTCTGCAAAAACTTAGTTTTTTCTTCAATTACAAAATTCAACTCTACGCTTTTTTCATGTTATATTTGAAGGTATGATTTATGAATTCGAAACGCCTAGTTATGTCTAACATGTTCTTAGTATTCAGTTGTATACGTACCTCTTATGTGGCTCATATACTAGTGAATATATTGCTCCAGCAATGCACAACGGGTAAAGCAGCATGGACAAGTATCTCATGGCCTCGGCATCAGCACGCGCTGTGCTACGTTCGCCAGCATCAGCGCTCGTGTCTCGCCAAACGCGAATCTTCCAACCAGACCATGCTACTCGCAAATGTAACACTTTTGTCACTTTCCATAACTAGAATTAAAAATAGAAATATTCTGTTAGGAGCTAGGTACTTATGTATAGCAAAACTAGATTGTATGCATACGCCATCGCGGCGGGTACATATGTATCTATAGGCCCGTCTTATCCCATAGAAAGTCACAGGAATTTGTAAAGTTTGCCCTAAAATCTCGTAATAAGCCGGCCGCCTGAACGACCCTCTAGAATCTGTTAGAACCCCGTTCTAAAACCTTCTAACCTTTTAAAGATTTTCCGTTTAGTTCCACATGTTACATCTTCAGGCGATCGTTAACAATACTATTATTTAGTCGTTTAGGAAGTAGGACTTTTCTGCAACGAACCGATTTACAGGCATTACCCTATCCTACTGTTTACAGTTCTCCATCTGTATAAGCAAAATATATTTATTGCTTCCCTTTCTTACTGCCTTTTCCATTTGCTAATTTTCCCATTTCTTTTAATATTACAATAGACAATGGGCTTAATCCTGATTACTTGAGTGCAACTAAATGTTTGCAACGCGTTATGCTCAAAAACTACTGGACCGATTTTAACCATTTTTTCACTAATAAAAAGCTACATTATCAGAAAGTAACATAGGCTACATATAATTTATTTCTAAAAAACTTAGACGTGCAATAAAAACAGGTTACGTTAACAAAGGTGTAAAAATTCTCTCAAAAATTTCCTTTCTTCTGTGTGCGCTGCTTAAATCGTTAAAGATAAGGCGAAATAATGTGCTAATGAATTGTAGGACTAAAAAAGATCTACAAAAAGTTCGCGAGGGGGTATATCTATTTATAACAGCAAAGCTATAAAAAACATTTTATATTTTTAAAATTATGAAATTTTCGCTACATACTTTAGATGTATTTTTTCGTGTGATATAAATCCTTATGAAATTAAAGTGTTTCATCATCGAGATAATTCGAAGTAGATAATTTTTGGTCTTTACATCATTAAAAATGGTCAATTCGATAAGCAAATATCATTTAATTATGAACATGAATCGCCGTAATGATATTAAGAAACTTTTACCACCAAATCTATGTAATAGGACAAGAGTTTTATCGTAAACATTCCGCGTATTCCAATGATACCGACGGATTTGCCCATATCATTTAAGAGGCTTCAGTGCCCAGTTAAACTATCATTTGCACTAACTATTAATAAGTCCCAGGGACAAACAATTTCATTGTTCGGCATTGACTTGAGAAAAGAGTGCTTCTTCCATGGACAACTGTACGTTAGCCTGTCTGGCGTGGTTTGCTTTATAGTAAATCAAATATAGTTTATAGAGAAGCCTTGAAATGATACTTTATAGGTATTTACTTTCTTTTTTACCTGACTGCGGAAAGGTTATATTTTATTTAGTTACGGACTAATCTCACTAATATTGTAAATACGAAAGTTGGTGAGTGTGTGTCTGTGTGTATGTTTGTTACTTCTTCACGCTAAAACGCCTGGACAGATTTGAATGAGATTTAGTACACAAATAGAATATGAACTAGAATAACACATAGGCTACTTTTTATAGCGGCAAAATACCTTATCTCCTGGAAAAAATCTAATAAGTCAATATTCGGTAAATAGGTGGCGGCATCTATACTGTTAGGTTTTGCAGAAAGTTCACGCTGGCGAAGCCGCGCGGGTCAGCTAGTTTAATATATTCGATGCTAGCAATTTCCCTCGCTTGATGTAATATCTACTATGGCATTAGTTCATAAACGAAATGGCTTAGAATCGATAGTCATTATCATTTCAATGAAAACAAGTCGCTAACTAGTTTAAAAATCAAACTTTTGACCTTGGTAACATCAAGAAAAATATCAAACATATCCCCTAAGTATACTTTGTTTACGCGACTTCTTTTTATTATTACTTTGAGGTTAAAGTTCAAAACTGTCAAAGGCTAGGCAACGCGTTCTTGTTGAGAAAAGTCTAAATGCAAGGAGTTTTTTGTGCCTGGGTCGCCAAATTTTTAAGTACCTTTTACGCTCTCGTCAATGTCACCTCTGAGACTCGTTAGGTAAGTAGTGATATACTGGGACTGGTTAAACTGAATAATAATACTTTTAAAAGCGAGTGTTTAGCGAGCTACAGCATGTCAACAGAAACGGATTTTCCATAAAATTTAGAGTTTATTATTATATTATCATATAAACCTCTATATAAAAACTATATTGGTCCAACCGGTCTTCACAACGCGATCATCTTAAATTAAAGTAGGACGTATAATGATGAAAGTATTTGTTGCTTTGATAGCACTTTTCGCGCTAAATGCGTCAGTTTATTCAAAGTACACGTTTTCCACGAAAGTCGTAGATTGTGAAGCTGATTACGATATAATTCAAAACTACCGAGATGACATGTACGAAATTACCGCACACTTGTATCAACATATCGGCCCTAACGCAATTAACAACTTCGTCTTCTCTCCATTATCAATATGGATCACATTGAGCGCCATCGCCGAAGGATTGGCATATCCAGAACAGCTCGTGATGCTCCAAGTATTAAGACTTCCCACTGACCTGTGTGCTCGTCTAAAGTATTACCAGTTGGCAACTAGTCGTTTCGTTTCTAGTAACGATGTTGACATTTCAAGCATACGCGTCTTAGTAATCGACGAAGGAGTTTTAATCAATTCTACTTTTCATCAATTTGTATATAAGCACTCTCTAATCGATGTAGTATCGGCGCCGTTACGCTCTAATCCGGACAAGGCTATTGAAGAGATACGACGGGTGGTTACGGTAACTTCACCAAATATAGACACAAGTGGCAATTCAGTGATACTGGATGCAGTGGACTACAATGGACTTTGGAGTACTGCCTTTGATGATGCAGTGTTAGAAAGATCACCGTTTTATAGTTCGTTAGGGGATCAAATTGGTGCCGTTGATATAATGAAGGTTAAAAGACGTGCAAGAATTTCGCATTTCCCAGCTTTAAATTTAAACTGTCTCGAGCTGCCTGTTGGTTATAATGACCGTTATCGGATGATGTTTGGTATAATACTTGACGAGAATGCAGCAAAAACAGTTAACCTCGTAACAAGCGCGGCAATGATAGACGATTTCTTGAATAATGTAACTGATAGCTACATCCCGATTGAAATCGCCATACCGCGCTTTAGTTTAACCTCAGAGTACGATGTAAAGGCGATATTAGAAAACTCAGGAGTAAAAGATCTTTGGACAGATCCTGCAGTGACTAGGTATGTTCATGATTTTTTTATACTAAAACAAATATCACAAATGGACAAGGCAAATAACGTATTTGAAAAAATAAAAATAAATTTTGGTTTGTCTCAGAATGCATTTACTCGTGTTTTGCTTGATATAGTTGTTTGGACTTGCGTTTCGTATTTCTTAAATTCATAAAGGTGTCATTGATAATTTTCCGGTTAGAAAACTGGGATTGGTTAGAAGCTACTGTTTAGCCCTATGACAAAATAGGCATTAGTGTATGTATGTACCGATGTATGTAGTCGAGATCCCTTGGCCAAATGAAAATGAATTAACAAAATTTCGGTGGTTTGCAATGGCGATTAAACTAAACAGCATATAATTTATTATTCTTTAAAATTAGACTGAATTTAAAGAATTAACTATTTTATCCACTTTTTATACAGGTTGATATCAGACCCCGCGGTACTGCCAAGCGCATTTGTGCATCGCTCCACTATCGTCTTGGATAAGGCTGGTTTGAAATCTGCAGAATTTGAATCCCAGCTCTTGACGACAGAGTATAATCCTGCATTTGAACTAAACTTCATCGCCAACCGACCTTTCCTATTATGGTTATTCGATGCAGAATCTCACAGCGTTCTTATGGCTGGTGCATTCACAAAACCTACATACAGTAATTAATTATCAAAAATAGTGATAAAAGAAAAATGTTCGCTTATAAGATACGGATTAAAATTCTTCAAAAATATATATATATTTTCTTATTATCCCATAGCATCTAAATATTTGAAAGATAATATCGGCTCTTGCTCGCAAGCTCACACGTGAATCAAAAACTGGATGTCACTAGACTGAAGGACGTCCAGGTGCGTCAAGCTAAACTATTTTCGTAAATATTTCATTGCATATTTATTAAAACTCGTAAAACGTACATTGACCTCGTCTTTATGGCATCCGGTAAAATGTATTATTAAGTGCCTTGATTATCGCGTACCGTGATCTTTTTGACTAATGCTAAATGCAGCAATGCGTTTTTTATTTTATATTGTATTTTAATACATAAACAGATTATTAGAAATATAATGTATGGTTTCCATTCAGTTTTTTTTTTCACGTCACCAAATAAAAAAAAATGATTTTTTTAAATAGTGATGTGAATTGATCTAAAGTATTAGATTTCTCGCAAATATAGACACGAATAGCGCCAAAAGCAGATTAAGTATCAAGAGCGCCCTAGGCAAGCATCTCATCGGCCCCCCGAATCTCTCTAACGCCCATACTACATTATAAATAATTACTGTATTATAGGTATATAAGGACACAGACCAGGTGGAGTGACGATTTGCGCAAGATGGCTGGCAGGAGCTGGATGCGAGAAGCCCAAAATCGATCTAAGTGGCGTGCAATGGGAGAGCTATGGCCATTTCTTTTTTTTTTTTTCTTTTTTTGATAAAGACACCGCATTAGGAATGTATCCTGTGTCGCGGGGGACTTTACAAACATACATGAAACGGACATAAAGAACACCCAGACTCAGAACAACAATTTGTGGATCACACAAAGTGTCGTCCCATGTAGGGATCGGACCCACAACACTCAGCGTAGTTGGAAGCGGCTAGGCGACCCTATAAACCACTACGCCATCCGTGTAGTGGACTGCGATAGGCTGATGATGAAGTATATAAGTCTAGTTTAAATATTGGTGAAGCGTGTATGTGAGTACTTCTAGGCACACAGTTAGAAATCTACGTTGTTTACTGCTGCAACCCCCAACACAACATACTATCCTAAAATTGAGTCAAAAAAATATGTATATACAACTTTTAATCCTTTTTGGGTCCCAGTTTTGCTAACTTTTTAATACATAAGTAGGTATTCCACTTTGGCAAAAATCTTCTATATTTCGATAAAGTCAATTATCTTGATGTACTCCACAACTGTATTCATAATAATTATTTATATACAAAATAATAATTACCTCGATAAGAGCACTTATGCCAGCTGGTATTAGCACCAGAAGTGAGGTCTGTTCATCCATAAGATAAAAGAATATAACCATTTGCGAAAATGCTCGCCAGAATATAGTACGCGCCGACAAGCCAGCCAAGGAACGCTTGCGCCGCCAAAAGGATACGTCATTCTTGAAGGCCAGGAAGTCAAATAATAACTGGAACAGTAAAAATATGTTAGTAGTATATCAACAAAACAAGCCTTAGTGTTCATAGAATAATATCCTAGTTTCACCAGTTTTTACTATTATGTAAACTTGTACCATTTACTGAAATAAGAGTATTACTATAACTCCTATATCTTCAATGATAAGCAAGCTTGACCAAAAGCCTTATAGAATAACATGTCACCGGAGTGCCCGTTTCGGCACAACTGAACTGGCTTGATGGGAGTGATATCAAGGTCTCACAGAAAACCTGTGTTAAACAATTCTTTACTTTTCATTGAATGAGTGATGGTCACTTCACTACAAATTATCAGACTTCCTAAAAAAATTTCAGCACTCAATTCATTTTTTGCAATCTTTAAATTTTTTTTATATACCACAAGACTACTCTAATCTTGATTGGTTGACATTTGCAGACACTACACACACTATATTTATTATATATTCAAACTTAAAAAATATTATTATATTAAAGTATCACAATAAACCATTTAGTTTTAATGTAACATATTTTATTTTGTAGCAACATGTTCTTATATATATATATAAATTAAATATATCTGACTTACATGAAAGCTAGCAATCAAGACAGTTGCCGAGAGTAAATATAAATTAGTATCAGCAAATATCCCTTTTACATCATCTACGTCTTTCTCACTAAAGCCAAGTGAGAAAAGCTGTTCTAAAGCCAGCCTTACATGTAGAGACAGTCTTAAAGAACCATATGATGTTGGTGAAACATTCACAGTGACATTCGCTTCATGTGAACTACTGCTCAAAAGCTGGAAGTGGGATAGTCTGGACTTTAGAACATTGTGCTGAATTATGGGCAAAAATTTTCCATTTCTGATCCTGTAAAATAAATGGTCTATATAAGTTTGAAATATTTATATTAATGCTTCCCACTATGCAATGCAATGAATAAAATGTGTCCTTAAAGGCCAATACTGTATTTTGAATATATGTAAGTAGTCACAATAATTTTTGTGATTGTGGGTATACACTGTGTATTATTAAACATTATGCAATTTAAAATTATATCTTAAACTAGCTGACCCGCGCAACTTCGTCTGCGTCTCTCAATAGTAATGAATTTTGTCCGTTTTTGAAACATTCTTCATTGGTGCTCCGCTCCTATTGGTCTTAGCGTGATGATCTATAGCCTATAGCCTTCCTCGATAAATGGGCTATCTAACACTGAAAGAATTTTTAAAATCGGACCAGTAGTTCCTGAGATTAGCGCGTTCAAACAAACAAACAAACTCAGCTTTATAATATTAGTATAGATGACTGGATTATTGACACAAATATGTTTACATTTTATCTAGAATTGGCATATCTATCTGAGTAAAAATTATCATTGACTTGTTCAAAGTAGTGACAAATAATTTGCCTAACTTGAATGACAATGATTAGCAAACTTTTTTTATATTGTATCATGTATATGTAAGTTTTTATAACTTTAATCCACCCTTTCATTTAATAATCAAAGTACAGCCTTATATTTTTGCTCTATCACTTACATTCACACAAAAAACATACAATGTTATTCAATGTTTCAACCCATATGTTTTTTTTTTATAGCTCATCATATTGATTGACAGGCCTGTTGGGTTAGTGGTTAGTGACCCTGACTGCTGAACCGGAGGTCGTGGGTTTGATTCCCACCCAGGACAAATATTGTGTGATGAGCACGGTCATTTGTTCTGTCTGGATGCAATTTATCTATCATATGTATCAATTTAAAAATATATAAGTATGTTTATCAGGAGTCTGGTTACCATAGTACAGGCTCTGCCTAGTTAGGGATCAGACGGCCATGTGTGAGATATATTATATTATATACATTTATGAAATTATATTGAAAGCTCAGGACTCAAAAGGCCTATGAGTATGTGCTATATGCTTTATAAGGTTTATTATTTTACAATAAAAATGAAATTTAAATCTTACCTGATGTAGGGATACAGTTCACCGGGTATTTTATTTGAAGGGAGGTTTAAATCATCAGTGAGGATGGCTATTGGTGCCACTGTTGTTATATGGGAGTAAGGACGAACTCCTTGAACCTTTCCCTTCTCTTTGTTACTTTCTGCCTAAAAATAATAAAAGGATTCTACTACTTCTACTGGAATAAAATAACAATCACCTGTGATAAATCATATTATTCATAAATCCTATTATCACACCTGTGGCTAATTTAAAAAACCACTGCAACTTATTATTATTATTGCCAGACTCACAAAAGGTCTAAATCTAAAAAGTGATTTTGATATCATTTATTATTGCCTATGACCAAATCACAATCACAGGTGAAATCGAACCAACTAATACCAATGATTTCGGCATATTATTATGATTTAATAGTAGCAATAATTTGCATGTCTAGATTCTAATATTTTCATTGTATAAATGTTGTCTAAAGTAATAATTGCAAAAAAGATTTTTGTTTTTACTCACATTTTGTTGAAGAAGATTAAATGTTGCTGCCTGAGGTTCGGTATGGGTCACTAAAGGTAATGTGTGTATAGATTCTGAACGAATAATCTCATCAAAATCTTTGTATAGACTGCTTTCATCTAATAATACAGCGTGCATAAATAATGTTCCATTATTTCTAGTTTTACGTGGTACTTTTAATGTTATATCACTAAAACATTTGAATTTACATTTAGTACAAACTTTCAATTTTATCATTTACTTGTTTATTACTATTTAATGTGTCACTCACATGGTCGCCGGTTTTCGATAGTCAAACTTGAGGGAAGTATGAACTTTTGTTACACTGCTTACTGATGCCCCTTGTAAATAGGGTTGCTCTTTTACAGAAGTAAATAGAACCAGATGCTGTACGGGATTAGAAGCTAGATAGGATGAGAAACATCTCTCGCCACGACTGCATTCTGGCGGTATAAATATTTCCGATAATGTCCATATGGTATTAATAACATAAACCGTAAAAATTAAAGACAAAAGAAAACTGACCGATAGAAATTTCATTACGACCTTTTTAACTCTAATTCTTTATAATTTCCTAATAATTCCTATCCTCTACTTTAAGTAGAAAAATGTCTGTTTGACAACATTGACATATGTCAAAGTGACTACAATGCAACTGAAAAATATTTTTAGTTTTATTGAGGGCAGCACTGACGATTGACTGTAAGGACTATAAATTGTGAATGATGTTTAGTATTATAAAAAAAATATAATGAACATAACCGTCACCATCATTTTATTTATTAATATAAAAAATATTTATTTATCATTTTAATTCTCTTAATTAAAAAAATAGTGTTTATCATTTCTTTTTCAGCTAGCTATTCATAAATGCAACACCCAAATTCTCGAAAATATAGTATTCCGAATTACGATGTTCCGATTTGCTAAAGTCCGAATTTCATGATACCTAAGAATTATAATATCTTTTTAAATTACGAAATTTATTTTACCGAAAGTCGTAAATGCGATTGGTTTGTTTTTCGATTTTTATACGTTTGAAGAATTAAATGCTCGATAAGTTCTCGGTCCGAAAAACCACATGCCATTTTTTAATACTTCGAGTAAACTGCTAAAATTAGGATTCTAATTCAGTTAGTTATAACAATATTCAGTTACGCATATAAATCTAAAAGTAACATTTAATGTAATTTAAAAACGTCAACTTTGTTATTAATCTTATTATTATTAATTTATTTATTATTAATTTATAATTGATTAATAGTATTTTTTTGTGTTTTCTTCTCCTTTTATATACCTTACGGCGATTAACGCCCGATCTCCTCCATTGTTGGTGAAAGAAAATATCTTATTTTAAAAGTAAACAATCATCTGTATTTACTACTAGGTACTACGTACTTTGCTAATCGGCATTTGAATTTTTGATGTTTCGAATTATCATTAAGTCGGACGTTTTGTTATTCGATCTATTGAAACTCGGTATTTCGGGCATAGTAATTATAAACGTTAGGAATATTGAAATTTGAATTATAAAAATTGAATTATAAAAATAGGATGAATGATACATCGGAGTTGTTATAATAGGAATTTTGGACTATTCGGAATTATTAAAATCGGTATTTTGAAATTCGTATTTCTGTAGCGTACCCCTTTTATCCTTGTAGAAACTTAAGGGAATCACACTACCACAGTCATAAAACAATAAAATCTATATAAGGGCCCACCCATAAATCACGTCACACGTTAAGGGGGAGGAGGGGGTTGGCGAAGTGTGACATTGTGTGATAAGGGGTGGAAACGGTTATAAAATTTGTGAAGTCACATTTTAAATCTTAACATATCTAAATTTGAATTATTGACAGTAATACAGTTTATCGTTTTGTTAATTTTGTGGATTTTTCAATACCTAGTTTGATTTGATGTTAATTCAAGGCAAGGCAATACAAAGAGATTATAAAATATTGCCACTTTCTTTCTCTTTAAACATTTTAAACACCTGTGCTGTAACACCACAATCACCAGTTATACCGTGAACAAGAAATATAAATATTCCCTAGGCTTGTTAATGAATTCTCAAAAGTGTTCTAGTGACATCGAATGACTCCTTTCTTACCTATTTAAAAGTTCCTAGTTTGAAATTAACGGCATTATGATAATTGCTAAATACATTATTTTAATCTAATCTTTCACTGCTCCGTTCTTATATTTGCAGCGAATGCAACTGAATAATATTACAATCAACTGTATGTTTTATGTGTGTTTAGTACAGTATACTAAAATTATCAGAATGCCGTTCCATATTAATTCACTACTGTGTGATTTTATTAGATTTATTGTCTTAGTCTGGAGGTAGGAACTTTGAATTGGGCCGAAGTTATCAAACTGGAGCGTACTAGAGTCGCATTTGTATGGTTAATGTAAGCAGTTTTTTTTTTTCGGTAGCATCCTCAACAATATAAATTATAGGTTTAGAGCTTTTAGGTATAGAGACTACGAGCCCCGATGCAAAATAGTTCGTCTAGTATGGAAAGTAGTGCAAAGCGTAAAATATAGAAAGTAAATACTGATCGGAAGTCCAATTTAAACGATCACGAGCAAACTTCAACCTCTTTTTCTTTTGTACAGCAGTCAACAGTGGTTTCTCCTTAGCGGTGTAAGATCCGTAACCCATTCTTTTTAGGACTCTTTTGCAAGTATCAACTGAGACGTCTTTGTGAATCATGTCCTTCCATTGCACCGTGAGTTCTCCAGCTCGAGCACGACAATTATTTTTGATAATTTTCTTTAGGATTCTGTTTTCTACTGCACTTGTGATGCGTGGTCGACCAGTTTTCTTCAAACAAGAAGTCATTCTATTCTTTTTATAGTACTGAATGATAGATTGGACTGTAGACCTGGGAAGTATCAAGTCTTTAGATATTTTGTAACTTGATTTGCCAGCATCGACCCCACAAACTATTCGCTTTCGAAGCTCTTCACACACGGGTTTGCCACGACCCATTGTTATTTGAAAACTAATGAAAAAGACTGAAATTTTCAGAATTTATACTGTCTCACTTGACAAATGACACAAAATTACTTTTACAAATTTAAATTATGCAACATAATTGTACAAAGAAGGAATAATCTTATTGAACTCACCGATAGATTCGTCTAATTGTTAATTGATGCAAAAGAGTTCGTTTGCATCAATTAACAATTAGACGAACTATTTTACTTATAACTTCTTCGAATTTAAAACAGGATATGTATAAATTTAAAGAGCTAAAATAGTTTATTGGTTCATAATTAAAAAAATGGCAAAAGTAACGCGACATGTGATAATAGAACAGCTTTATATTTTATGTAGATATACAAAAATAATGAAGTTAGAAAAAATCTCACAGAGAAAATTTCACACTAGACGAACTATTTTGCATCAGGGCTCGTATAAATTTGTGGCATTTTCCCGGTTTGAATTTTAATAAAGAAAATCTACATTTCAAAAATATGGAAATGACTTGAAAGTTAGTCAACAGATATGATAGTCAAGTACCTTTTACTCGACTAATAACTTAAACATACGAACTGTAGATTTAGCTACAACATTATTGTTTTTGTGTTATGGTAACACATTAATTCATGGGCGACTTCAAAACTTAATAAATCGGTGTTTCCTTGGAAATAATATTGATGTTTCTTAGTAATAAAGGTAATACACAAGAAATACTGTAAATTTTATTTGAGAAGTCTATAACTTTAGTTTTTAAACTAAAATAAACTGGGCCTATGTGGCATATTGTTTTGACAGTTGTCAGTGCAGGTATCTAATATTTTGTTTATATTTCAGAATGAAAATGGTGTTTTGCAACCTCTGCATTTTGAGTTATTCCAAGAAGTTAGCCTTAGTCCAAAATTAAAAAATGTTAACACCGCATAAGAATATGTGTCCAGGTTTCCGTGGCCATGGATGCTAAAGATTTAAGAACTGAACCTGCTCTGAGTGAACGCAATAATGACAGTGGCAAGTACTCTCAGAGCAGTGGCATCGCACTCCACTGCGACAGAAATAAATCATATCAAGATATCGGATCTAACTCATTACCCAAAGTGGAAGTACAGAGTGCACGGCCGTGCGCTGTCATAGGTCCCGATAGAGTTGTCCCTCCGACTATATCTAACGAATCATACATAAAAAAAGGGCCTACTGAACCATGGCCTTGCATGGACAACTCTTACCACACGCGACGACCACCAGAATACCCCCATAAGTTAGCCAACTTTCAAAACTCGACACGAAATATATCTCCAAGACAAACCTTCCAAGAAAACATGCAGCGTATTATGGTGCCCCCGTCTTACAACTCAGTAAAACTTTGTGAAGACACCAACTATACTCAATTGTCAGAACGAAGCAATGTTCTACCTAAAAATATAAAAATAAATGTGCCTTCAGAGGCAAAATTTTGTGATGTGCCTTATACAGTTTTCCCTCCTAATAATGAACAAAAAAATGTTAGGAATCCAGACATGTGTTTGCCTAATGTGAATCCAAATCTTACACGAACTGCTCCTCACGGGTGGCCAGGCAGTGTTAATGTACGCCCTTCAAGGACATATGGTGCTCCAGATCTATATCAATATCAAGATTACTCCAACTGTGCTGGACCACGACCAGTTATGTCTCGACCGAACAGAACTGGTCCTGAAGATCCAGGATATGTTTATGCTGACCCTTTTTATCATCAAGAAGGAAATATACGGTTTAAGCCTTACCCGACGCCAAAGGAAAGATTTCCACAGCAAAGGTATGATTATGTTAGTAATTATGCAAATTCATTCCATCCACAACCTACATTCCAATCTCATAAATATGAGTTACAAAAACCTGTGCCACCTCACCCTTATCCCCCATATCCCCCAATTAAGTATGTGGATAGAGTTTCTGAACCTACTATTGATGGTTATCAAAGAAATCAACAAGGTAACTATAATATATCTTACCGTAATCAATTAATCCATCCAAATTTTGGACCAGTTCTTGGTAGCTGTCCCCAAAATAAAGTACATTCATATCCACCTGATGGGCATATTAAAACAATAGGTCCTAATAAAATGCCTTATGAAAATGCTAAGGGTTATATTGAATATGAGAATGGTCGTCCAAAAATGTACCCTCAATCTGAAGGTTATCTTGTCAATGAAATGGGTAGAATGCACCCCATGAAAAGTCAAGTAATTATGCCTAACTATTCATCACTAAATATGCATGGCATGCCCCCAAATCCATACTATAAAAAAGATAGTCAACAATTAAAAAATTATGAATATATACAAGCTCATTTTAGGACTATGGATCCTAATATAAATATGCACAATCCTATGGCTAGACACCCACAGATATTCTCACCGAATGCTATTTCACCTACTGACTCCAGTGCAAGCAATGACACATCACACGCTCTAGGAACACCTCAAGAAGACTGTGGCTATGCCAGCCAATCATCAACTGCAAGTGTTCGAAGTATAGACTCAGGAATGAACAGAATGCCTAATGATTATATTAGGAAGTACTATGACAGTAGATTTGGGCCAATCAATAGAACTTCCGCTATGATGTCAAAATCAGAATTAACCCCTACCAATGGTTCTAAAGAGAAAAAAAATATTGATGTCAGACAATTTCTACAAATGTGGAACGAAGGTGATGAAGAAACAGAGGAAAATATTCCTAAAGGCATTATTCAGGCCGGTTCTAAGACTGATGGTAACTATAGTAAGACTCATGAAGTTATTAGTCAAGCAAACCAAGAACAACTGTATGTTCTAGGTTTGGTTAATGTTTCAAGTGAAGAACTGGGTAAATATGAACATATTCAAAAGGTTTCTAAATTACCAGAGAACATCAAAGGTTACAACCATATAGAGCTATTGAATCAGTTTGAAGAAGCTATTGAATCTTCTAATATAACTAATTACAAAACATCAAAAAAATTTCAAATGGCACCAAAGGTAACCTCCCTTAATAAGGGTACTTGTGCCATACCGCCTAGACCTTTGTCACCATTAGACGTTGAAGCTAAGATTAGCCAATCTGTTATCCACAAAGAAGTTGGCTGTAATTTTGAAATAAAACCATGCAGTCCTAAAATGATGAATGTTGAAGTTGCTACTCCAGTTCAAAATATCTTACTAGAGAGAGTTATAGAGAAAGTAGCAAATCCTGTGATGCTGAAATCTCCTCGACTTAATGAAGTGGATGAAAATATTGACTGTAATATAATGAAAAAAGATCACAGATTAAATATGAATGATGAAGCAAATAGAATTCCGAGTTGCAAAATGATTAATACTCAATTTTCTAACAACAATAATATAGACACAATCAAAAACAGTTACAGCTTACAAGATTTAGAGAGTAACTCTGGTTTATGTTTGGCTTCTTTGCCCAGACTTGATAATGATATTGAATTAAACTTTCCTGAAGTTAACCAACAGTTTATCAATGCAAATAAAAGAGATTCTAGTTGCTTGACAAATTCTCCAAGGGATTTACCTACATTAGAGGTATTGGAGCAAGATAATCAAAGCAAAGACAAACTCAAAGATTTAAATTTATTAACTTGTGAAACTGATAATCTAAAATCTCCATGTGTACCTGAATCAGAAAAAGAATTTTCGAAGTTAAGTAAGTACCGTAAAACAAGAATTCATTCAACAATCCCTAAGGATAACATACATGCTGTACGAACAGACAGTGTCATTATAAAAAATCCAGATAATGTTAAGAATTATGATGAGCATTTGGTACTCTCACCGAATCCTGTGATTAAAGAGGTTATTGATATTCAACAAGCTCCAATTAATCTAACCTCTCAAGGAAATATTACAGAAAATTCAAATAATATTCCAATACTTGCTGAACAAAATAATAGGGAAAGAGATTCAGCTATTGACATTGCCATCGACTTCCGTCTAAAGAACATAACTAATGATGATGACGAATGTATGGATGAAAATATTGATAAAAAAGCCGAAAGCTTGTCACAAAACCTATCTGAAACAAATAATTCAATACTTGATCAACATATAAGTAAACCTGCAAATACGGACACTCATCAAAATGACTGCAGCAGTCATGTTAAAATAGATGAAAATGTTCCAAATTCGGAAATATGTAGCAATACACGAACTGCAAAAGAGATAAGCTCAGTAGATACACCAATAGAAGAGGCTTTTACTAACAATGAATACATTTCTGCTGCCATTAATGAGGCAAAGGAAGAATACGTATCACCTGTGTCATGTGTAAATGACGTAAATGACGATGATAGTAATCCACTATTACCCATAGACTTTGTTACGCCACCAGTTGAACTTTCACCAACCACTGATGGTAGCAGCAGTGATTATTTGATGGATATTACAATGAAAAATGTAGCAAATAGCGATAAAAGTCAAAATCCATCTGCAACGGCGCACGTCGAAGAACTAAAAACTTGTAACGAACATGGACCAGTTAACTCTGATACTTACCCAAGAGACACTGAAATAACGATTCTGAAAGGAACAATAGAATCAGAGTCAAAAATTAATGCCTCTAAAGACACTAAAATTAATCGCCTTTTGAAAGTTACAGAATTTTCAAACACTCAACAATCTGACAGTAATAATATAGTTTTGTCAAAAGAGCAAAAAGAAACAAGAGATACATTAAAATTAGAGACCACCGAGGAAAACATCAATTCAAATTTTGATTTATCTTCCTTGAGTAGCAATAGTAGTGCAAATAATTATCATTCAGAAACTATTAACGAGGAAACTCATTCTAATTTTGATTTATCGTCGACTAACAGTGTAATCGAACAGAATAGTAGCGATTACCTATCAGAGACAGCTAAACAAAAACTGTTTGGTAACAACTGTCCAAATAATATGTATGACGAGAGTAATGTCTCATTAGAGAAAAGTGATCAAGAAAGTAACGATGCGACAGAGAATATCGAACGAGATTTTTTTTCTAATTTTAATATACCGTCTCCAAATCACACTCTAATAAGTAAACAAGATAATCCATCAGAGACCACAGTTGGAGAAAGTGGCTCTAATTTTGACATGACAGACATAGCTTACCGAGCTGATACTTCTTCAGTAACTACTGAAGTGATAACTGTTTCTAATTTAAATTCAACATCACCTAAACATAGTTATAAATCAGACCTTAGGCACTTAGATACTGATTCTAATGTGACTGACATTGCATCTCTTAAGGAAACATACGACCGAAATAATGTTGAGTTAAATAGTATACAAGGTAGGACGGAAGACTTACTTACAGAAGAGGAAGCTGATGTAAAAGATACTTTAGGTATTGATGATACGTCATGTGAAGGTTCGTTAATTGAAAATACAGATGTAAATATAACAACTAAATGCACAATAGAAAATGTAAAAGAAGTTCACCGAGATGTTAGATATTTATCTTATGGTAGTAAAGAAATGTATTCACAAACAATTCAAAATTTAATTATGTTCCATGAAGGAAATACTTTTAACAAACATAGTATTTGTGGTACATTATCAGAACTAGAAACAGGACAAGTAAAAGTTTTGGATGATTTTAGTAGTGATAATGCTACTCAACATAATACTGATGATACGGAAAATTCTATATCACCGGTTGATGCTAAATCCCCAATAGAAAAACCTTTTGAATATGAAATATTTCAAAATGATTGTGAGAATATCGAGGATATAAATAATATCTCTAAAATTGATAAACTCCTTAACACAGATCTTATGAACCATGAAGAGTCAAAATCCCCCAAAGCATTTGAAGCTGACAATAACCGTGACATTGATGATACTCGTACGTGGCCAATAAAAGCGAAGAACACTATTTGTAACTTAGAACAAAAATGTGACAAATTAGATACGCAGTGTAATGTTGACCGGACTCCATATTCTTCGGCTTCAGAAATTCACGAGGAACGTGATAAGCAAACTGATTTCAATTTCGAAATAACCGATGAAGATAGCCATTGTATTGTTGATGAAGCAAACTCTGAGCAATTAGAGAAAGAAAATAAGGCTGAGGATGAAATACCTCAGCAATTAGAAAATAAAATTAAACATAGTAACGAAACACTAGGACAGTGGGATAAATCATCTCAACCTTACGTTGATTCGCCTGTACAGGTTAAAGAGGATACAAGCTTAAAATGTTATAATGAGTTACCTAAACAAAGGGATAAACTAGACATAAGTAATAAGCAAACGTTTGAAGATTGGGAGAAACAACCTAGCTTGAATGACGAAGTGGTAGAGCAATGGGAAGGGCCATCTAATAGGAATGATGAAATAGGTCCGCAGGACGATAAACAATCGAACTGCAGCAGTGAACTACTCAGCCAATGTAATATAGAACCTGGATGTAATAATGTTCTCTTTGAACCAAATGGACAATCTGAAGATTGGCACAAGCAGTCTCAGGTTAATAAAATATCTAGAGAATGTGATAGACCAACCAGTGGTAAATCGGAGTCGCTTGACAAACTAGATAAACATTCTAAGAGCGAAGATATAGAAATAGAAACGTCTATTACTGCACCAAGTAATGATCTTACTTGTTCTAAGGTTCAAAGTACTGAACATTTCTCATTGACAAAAAGTCGTCAACCCCTTAAAAGATCGCTTTCAGATTCTGCACTAAATTTTTATAAAAGCAATGAATCTTCACAATTACAAAATGAGGAAAGAGTCCATTTTATATGGCCATTTAAGCGCAGAAAAATGAATAGTGTAGATAACAACGTTTTGGCCCAAAATTTATGTAATATAATACAAAGTAACAGACGTAATTCCATCTCTTCTTTTTACAATGAAGAAAATGTATCTTTTTGTATATTGATAGATAATAGTTGCGTGATATCAGAAGAAGAGAATGATAACGAAGAAAACATATGCTATACAGAAATTTCTGAAGAATGTCTGCCTAGAGTACAAAATGATTGTATAAAAGACGATGGAGACGCTGAAATAATACCAGAAATGATACTTACACTAGAACCACTTACCCAAGAAGAAAATCACTGTCAATATTCAGAATCTTATGCATTGGAAAGTGAAGACAGCAAACTTGAAGAGTCGTGGGTGGAAGACGTGGCGTGTGTAGAAACCATTTTCAATGATGACATTGCTGAAGACATTGAAATCAGTGGGCCTTCATCTCCTAAAGACGAAGATATATTCTCCGACAACGATGAATCAGGAATTTTTAGCTCCACAGAACATACCGATAAAGTTAAATACATCTACGGCGATAAAATGTGTAATGATGATGCTCAATTCGTAGAGACACTTTATAACACGCCACAAATGGATGTTAATAAGACATTGATTCAAAGAGAAACCCACATACCAGGTGAATATTATGATAACGATTCCTTAGAAAAAATTCTGTCAGAATCTAACGATCAAGAACAAGCACCATCATATATGCCCGCACATAGTGAACCTGAAAATATGAGCTTAAAAACCAAGTCTACAATAGAAAATATTGACAAGACTGCAGAGGTTACAGACACTGTTATCCTAAAAATTGAGGATAGGAACGAAAATAAAGGCCATTTTAATAAATCTCAAGATAATACTGTTCATTCATGCGAGTCTAGCATTGATAATGTTTTTACATATAAGGAGGAGGATGAAAACGCTGGATACATAACTTCTAGTTCTCCAGAAGTGTCGTCAACGACATCTGAAGAAAAAAGTTCTGCCATTTTATTAAAAATTACAAACTATAAAGGGTCTAGAATATCACAAATTAATGATAATATTAGAGATAATAAAAGTCCACGTTGTAAATTTACTGAAGATAAAGGTTATGCCCAGTCTCAAAGTAATTTTACAACACATCGTCCTCTATTAACTAAAGCAGCTCAAAAATACATTCCACCTTTAAAGGAATCTATACGCGACCTTAAAGTTAAGCTTTCCTTACCTCAACATAGTCTCATAAAACTAAAGCAATTAAAACAATCCAAAGATGAACCAAAGGTGTGCAAACAAAGCATTTCAGTTACTAAAATTTCAATGAAACCAAAACCAAAATTTGAAGATGTTCTCAAAAGCATAGATGAAATACAATTTCAAATGCATAAAGAGAAAACCAAAAAGTCAAAGAAATCTATTCCTAAGGTAGTAATTAAGAAAAATGAGAATGGTTCTCATTATGCTAGTACTTCAAATAAAAATGAATATAACCCAGACTTGACAGGTAGGAAGTGGCAACCATGGGTGTTTATAGAAAAAAACCATTTCATTGATAAAATGGCAATCAAAAAGAAAACGAAAGCTGTATACAGCCACAGGAAACGGACCTATGTTTTAGCAGAGAAGTTTCAAAAATATAAGTCTGTACACGCTAAGTTTGTGATATCACCGCCGTTATCAGATTGTCCGTCTTCGGGACTCAAATATACTATAAGACTGAAACATAACTACTGAGGTAGATTGTTTCGAGTTCCTGGACTTAGCCACGTTGGCTATCGTGTCACTAAATCCCACCCTGAAAAAGGTATCGTATTATCATTCCGACGATTCCATAGTAGTTTTTATTTTAGTAGTTACCCAAATTAGTTACTGTGTAGTTCGTATAATGAAGCCAAATTGTGTACTAAGTGTGATATGGGAAAAAAAAGACATTAATATATAATGTCCATTAGTGCAACTTGATCTGATTCGTATTTTGTTAATATTCTTCAAAGTTTATTTATATCGTTTTACCTCCTGTCATTCCATTTTCATAAATTTTATTTTAAATATTATTTATTCCACAATATTGCAAATTTTATATTTTAAGTAGCCATAATTTATGAGTATTATCTTGTTATTATTGTTATTTTCAAGTAATACTGATATTTTTAATATTTTTAATTAGATTGTATTTCTATTGTTTATATTTTAACGTTGACGATTTCATGTTTTATTTTTATTTTGGCGGCGGATTTTAATATGTTAAGCCTTGCCTCAATTATTGTAAATAATATCTTTAAGGAAGTTGTATAAAACGTGTCTAATATTTTATATGATTGAGAGGCGTGGATCATGTTGTATAACATATTTTCGTGTATATTATATCAGAGTTTTATTTATATCGTAACATATATCACTTCAATGTCATGAATACACTTGTGGTAATACTCCTTCGGTCTTCCGTCGCCAAGGATGGAATACTAATAGTTTTTGGGCATTAACTTCAATTCTCTTTCTGGTACCGAGCTTGAAAGAGAATTGAAATAAATATAAGCATGTGTCATGGTGCACCGTCTGTATATCTTCTGTCAAAAATCCAGTTCGCCGAAGACGACTAGCAGACGATATTTAGTTGTACGAATAGATTCCGATGTTCATATAGGCAGCTATAATCACTTTTGTGTAGTTTGACAAAGATATTTGTTATGCTAGGGTTAGTACGACCGATACAGTTCGGTACGGTCAACAATCTTGCTCACATAAATTGTAAGCACATGTTTATAATGATATCTATATATATTGGTATGACTGTGACATGTGTGTATTACGCTATTGTGTAGATGAAGTACAAATATGCACACTAATTATTACTAATACAATATAATCTTAACGTGTATTTTGTAAGAAAATGTTCGTTCAATATCATTCAATAATTTTGTTTGTAATGATGTTGCAGTGAAACAACATAGTGTGTAGGTAGGTAATAAAATTAAAGCGTGAAATAACCAAAGCCAATACTCAGAAATAATAGATGTTGAGAAAGTGTGTAGGTACCTACTTCAAATGTGTACCCTACTCGACAACGTGCCGCTACCGATAGCATACTGGCACCGGCCAGGCAGACACAGTCATAATGAATATAATATATCCAATTTAGATTATTGTTATCTTTATATAGCAGACAGAATGTATGTATGTCCGGTATATTTTCATATACGTACCTAATTTGTTAGTTTTTTAACTGATACAGGTACCATGTTGAAAAACATAGATATATATATATATGCATCGTCAGTGCCTTTAACAACATACTGATATTATAGTATAATACCAACTAAATATTATATGTAGGTTTACTGTTATATCTTCATACATTTTTGGCCATTCGATAAATATTTCGAAAATATCTGTTGATCTCATAAAAAAGGCACTTACCTTTTCATATTTTGCCTTATTGTGCCTATAAATATATTTTATTATTAAATACACTATTTTGATATCATGTACAGGGTGTTCAAATAATATACCAAATACGTGCTTTTAAGTCCTGCATACATGTATTTGCAAAGTGTTGCCTTCGTAGATAAAATGTTTTAGGGTAAAAATGAGTTGTAATTTTAAATACGCGTTATGAATTTCGAGTGATCGGTGGAAACTATTTATTTGTAAATCATAATTGTATTTTATGAGTAAATTTAATTTAAGAGATACATTAAGTTTTATGGATAATAAATGTACAAAGGTAAAGTTAAGAAGTAAAGTAATTTCCTGTCCAGTGAGGATGTTTGGGCATGAAACTCATATTTTGATGTCGAGGTGGCTGGTGGATATTTACCAATGTTAGGCTTTCCTAGAGCCACGTGTATGTAGTGATTAGAGTGAGGGCTGGGACACAGTCGCGAAGTCGTGCTGTATCCTGCAGCTCGCTACTTCTCAATGACTGATTACTTCGTTTATTTATCCATACAGTTTAAACTCGCATTGTAATTTTTGAATGTTTGTTATGCACTATTGAGTGGATTGTTGTTTTAAGTTTTCATGCACTTGTTGGCCATTGTTATAAGTTAATGATATCATATTCTATTGTGGTTAAATTATTTAGTAAAGGGTTATGGATTAGTTATAACTGAATTTAATTACTAGTTATTTGTTTTGTCGATTAAATATTGATGCATATCTTCATATGCCTGTAACGCACGTGATAATGTATGGTGATAGATATAATATTGGACACACTTGCTCTAAAATTGGGTGTACATAAGTGTGACACAATAATACTATATTGTTAATTAATGGGAAGTAATTATGTATTACATTTTCGAGTGGTAACTAGTTTTGAAAATTGTTCTATAAATGACCAAATAAATGTGTTCTCAGTAATATGTTTATTATTTATCAATATTATCAGTATCATAGTCATCAGTAACATTTACATAGGTATGTTCACTTTCACAGCTTCTTGACGTATGGCGCCTATTAAGTCTTGATTCACTAGAAATATGAAGCGTAGTCCGGCAATCTGTATAAAATAAAAATATTTCATTAAAACATACAAAAAAATAATACCCTCCTCTTTTGTGTTTTGAAGTCGTTTAAAAACAAACTTAATACAGGGAAACATTAACAACATGCGAGCTCATCGTGTTAATAAAATTTTAATTAGACTACCAAAATCGGTCATAAGGACTAATGATACCTAAGATATTTACCTCAATAATACTGTTATGATTGAGCTTCACTTTGTTTCCCTGGAGCACCGGCCTGCCGTCTACGAATATAGGTCTTTTGCCCTCAGATGACATAAAGAAATCACCACTATTCCTCAGCCTAATGGTTGCCTGCTTTCTGGATACCTTCGCTGCCGGCCCCTCCAGACTAAGATCCACATCGATTGCATGGTCCCGAGTGCTGCGGCCCACTGCAATCTAAGATAAAAGTGAAACATTTGTGTTAATTTGAAATGAATCCCACAAACTTTATATCAAAGATTTGCATACAATATGTTTACTTAATTAATGCTACGAAAACGTTATGACTGGTTTATTGTTGGTATAAAAAATAAAACAACTTCATGGTTATAAATTAGTCCGTATGTGCCTTGAACAACAATGTAGTATTCAAGTAATATTATTACCCTAAGCCATAATGCACATGCTAATTGATATGCTTGATTGAAGTGGAATGGATCGATGCAATACTAACTCATAAAAATTCACCTATCTAAGCTATAAACCTACAGACATTTTCAAATTAAAACGTACAACAACCAATAAATTTCAACATTGCAATAACTCCGAGTACATCAAATAAAATCACGTTTTTCTCTTAAATTCGTGGCCATTGATAATGTCGCCCACGTGTAACGTAGATCATTCTTCACATGCTCCTACTGAAGCTATGCAACTACTGAAACAAGCAGAATCAAGCTTTGCGTAAAATCGACGTTTATTAAACACGCAAGCAATTAAAACACAAACGAAATCGGAAACTATTTAATGTAGTTACTCTGAAACGAATGGCTCTGTTAATGGATGTTTAAAACAATACCTGGTTAAAATAATTTATGAACCGCATGAAAACGTCAGCATAAAAAAAATTGATCTACTGTCTGACCTGGAGCGAGTGCACAGAATTTACATTTTTATTTTAGATAATTTCTAATTGCTTAAAATACTATACTATTTAGTATGTATGGTAGTGGCTAATTTATTAAAAATGATATAATTTTTGAAATATTGAGAAGAATGATTTAATTTTTAAGTTTTTGTAGTTGACTGTACCTACAACAAATAATAGTGTTCATTACTAGGTACCGCTAATAATAAGCCAGATAGAGCTGTTGGCACACTAATTGAACAGATAGTGTTATCAAGTGACTAGTTATTGGTAAAGCTACTTGTAGAGTGCCAGTTAACAGTTGAACTGTGTGTATTATTTATCGCTTAGTACTGCCAATAACCGTTACTTTAGTACACATATGTTGTACGGCGCGGTCCACCTCTTTTTTTCTCTTAGTATTATTAGTCGTTCACATTTCTTTTCAGATATCTGAACAACTTGTTACTATAATAATTAGTTCATTCTTTCCTCTTTTCAACTACTTTAAATGTTATGTTTTACTAGTATTATTGGCACACGCAGATAATTAAATCTAGTATTAGATAAATAATCTAGTAAATTATAAAATATTATTGTCCGAAATATTACAGTTCTAGAAGAATGGAAGGTAACAAAAAAAAACAAAAGATGTGATTATTTGTAACAATTTGCTAGAAATATATGAAGAAATATAAAACCCAAGTTAGGAAGTATACTTTCAATTAAAACCGAAACATATAAGCGCTCATTTTTTTCTTTTATTTATTGGGGTCTTACAAAGGCGGAAAACAGAAAAGTATGAAGGGCTATGCTGACATGAACAAAAGATCTTATATATATGGTTGGTTTTCTTCAATATAACTAGTTTTGAATTGCATTGTTTCTTGCTCTAATACTTTGAGTAAGTTACGTCGCAAGAAGCGGTAGATGTTTAAACTAAACAAGTGTCGTATAACGGCATAGCCGCAGAGTCCAAATAAATAAGTCTAAAACGCCTTTCAGAATACGCATACAACGGGATACAACACGATACAACAATGTTTATCAGAAAACAATCAATTAGAAACACCCATTCGCATACAATATACCTAATTCCTAAGACAATTAAAAATCCAGATCGATTTTTTTATTTTATACATTTATTTATATTCATATAAGTCTTGAAAAGTAAATAATTTACTTAGTTTAAACAAAAAAAGCTCTCCAAGAGAGCATATCGGGTATAAGAAACAGCGTTTACAAATAATAACATACTGTATATACGTATTTCTTGTCGTTCTATATTTGCATAAATGAATATTGGGCATGTCTGTGAAATTTCGTTTTAGTTCATTATCAAACAAGTACAGGTGTTGTTATTGTAGAATATCAACGAACAAGTTTCACAGTGTTAGAAATATCTAAGGAGTTTTAGCATGAATCAGTTTTAATGTATCTAGGGAGGGGATCGTGAAGAAGCGTGGTGTACTTGTTTTTTTTCTGCTAATGAATTAGTTATCAGGCATAGAATAAGTATGTGATTTGAATAATATGGTAAGTTATGAGCGTTCGTCATCGAAACCTGGCTGATTAGGCTTTTTCATCATCATTTATCTTTCCTTTATGTATGAGCGTATGCAGGTTAGTCGCCACTGCAAAGAGTATGTTATCCTTCACTGTGACCATGTATGTTTTTTTTGTCTTTTCCATCGGTCAAGGTAAAACAACATGCGTTGTATATTTGTGCTACTTTCCATAATGTCATAATTCATTTACGCAATAAATAACAAAATCCCAAACACTTTTTCCAGTTTCATCATCATTCATCCATCAACAGCCTTTAACAGTCCACTGCTGGACATAGGCCTCTCCTTAGAAAGGAGGTTTTGGCCTACTTGGTTGGTTGGTTTGGTTTTCCAGTTTACTAATAAAAAAATACTAATTACAACAGTTTGTAATCGCTAATGGGGAATCCATCGACCCTTCCGACTGAGTCTTCAGTTTTTCTTCCACGAGTCTTTTCTGGTAGGTCGCGTAACGAACCTTAGGTTTAGTTTTAAGCCTGACGGCAGACTAGACCTTTCTCTTAAATAGTGTTTTGTTTTTTTTAATATATTTTTTTGTATCCTATTGACACTTGAAAATGCAAGGCGTACTCAATAAAGATTGTTTGAGTTTCCTGCGGCATTTTAAGCTTAAATTTTTTGAATAATCCCCAGTTTGTTATCAGGTGAGTCTGTTTGTAGGGCGCTACAAATAGATCAGTTATCAACTGCGCCCTGAACTCTTCATCTAGATCGGTGTACCTACTACGGACATTCACGTAAGCTGTGGTTGATATTAATCGACCCAAGACTGAAGTACGAGTATTCATCATAAACCATATGAAATCATCTGTATTTATAGTATTCCTAGGAAAACATCTTTTTATTATAGTGATTAGAATTACTTTTTCATCACAACTATGTAGATAAATGATTTTGGACGGTTTTGGACCAGTAATCAGCGTTAAGACCAGTTATTTAGTGGATTGAATTGTTTCTGCACAACACGGTTAAATTAACAATCGATTTCTGTTGTAGTAGAGTTTATAGAATCCATACTAATATTATAAATGCGAGTGTGTCTGTCTGTTCCTCTTTACGCTTAAACTGCTATATTATTACTACATATTTAAGATAACTTCCTAAGGTATAAACATTATTTTTATATTATAATGTGTAGCCATAACCCAATAGTTTGTGTAACACCCAAATATACATTTAGATGTTTTTTTATAGAGATGGTTTGAGTCCCGAGAAAAAATATGGGATAGTTTTTACCCCAGAAATGATGGAAAACGGGGGTGGAATTTTGTATGGGGAATCAATAACCGCGATTTGGATATAATTTGGTATGGCGATAGTTTAATTCTTGAGGAAGGACATAGGCTTTTTCCGCAATAACCAACATACACGCGGGCAGAGTCGTGGGCAAAAGCTAGTTCATAATATATGAAATGGACAATATTTTTCACACGCACGAGTCACGCGTTAAATCGCCAGTAGTGTTTGTTTGAAACGTATAAAAAATTATAAAATCAAACAAAATTGCATCAGTTATAGGCACTTGTGTATCTTCATTATCCTTTTACCTCTTATTAAAGAAACACGAAAAATGCACTTATTAACAGTAAAAAAATAATACCCTATATATTCACAGGCAAATAAGAATGGTGGCAAGTATTGAAATAATGTAAAAGATAATTTGTTATCGATAAAATTATAGATAATTTAAACACAAAGACTTCTTACATAACTATGATATCTAATTACTACCTACTTAAACAATATCTTTATTATTTAAGACATGTACACGTAGCTATTTGCAATCGGTAAAAATTACTAATATGTGGTAAAAAAACACTGTTTTCGAGGTATTTAATTAAATATGACTATCTAACGAAACCAATTACAATTAATAACTTGACAGTATCTTGACATGTCCACTTGAACATGTCAAAGTCCCTGTTCTAAGATGTCTGGAAGACAGTACAGGAAGACAGAGGCGTACTTGGCCATGTAGGGAGGGAGATATTCACAATTTCAATAATACAAGTAGCGGATAAAGTAAAGACGCATCTGTAACAGAAGATCAAGAATTTAAAATGGAAATGTGTGACAACTTAAAAATCATATATTTTAACACAATTTATGCACATAGTTCATTTTAATAAAGTCTGAATAATTAAAAGAAACTTAATATAAAAAATATATATTAATGTCCTTCTTTATATTTAAACAATTGCAGATCCTTTACGAAAAAGCAATAATAACCACAAATATTATTGTGTAAGTACATATTAAGTTAGACAATGCTACTTACTACACAACAACGAATAAGATTGGAACTGTTCAATCAGGGCTACTTATTTACCTACTGAATTCTCGACGCAATACACTATTCGTGGCCGACACTTAACATGTCCTTATCAATACACTGAGGTAATTAAACGCTCACTTATCAAATAAATATGCTTACTTTGAAAATATGTAAACAGCCATGCGCGATAAACGTTGCTACATTTAGATATCATTTAAAAGCAACAATCGCTCATCGTTATAAAAGACAAGTGTTTTATTGTCGACGGTCGCTCATCTACTTCTTTTCAAAGAGAGAATAAAACAGCAAAACCACAACATCGCGTTGTACGGTATTCTAAATTAACACCTATTTATAATTTGTGCATAATCAAGACACATTTTAACTCTCGTCAAATCAAATTTTATTCGATTTCAGGTATGCTGTTCTTAGAAAATAACAATGTACATCAATTCAATAATAATGACAACATGGTTTTCACTGTGTA